TAGGCAAGGTCAAAGGTCGTCTGGTTTGTGGCTGAGCGAAGAAATCACACCAGGTCGAACGGATGGGGAGTTAGAAATCATTTATTCCCTATGATCTGTGGGGTCCAGCATTTGTTAGTCAAAATATTCGGCCAGCATTATCGTCAGTGTCCCGTATCGGAGAGTGATAGGGTCCTCGATGTCGATCATCAACATCGCCAGGAAAGAAGCACTATGCTAGCGCAGGCCCTCCATTTCCACGTCTTTAAATCCAATCGGCGGATGAACCATGTGTAGGATATGTACTGAGCGCAAGGACTGTGCATTTGTACGAATGTCCATATGATATAGAGACCTCATGGCGTGTCCAGATATCCTGCTAGTCAATCGAGGTTTTGTAGGTCGCATTCGCGGTGGCCGACCAGCCTCAAATGTAACCATCTGTCAACAACTCCCACGAGGTCTCGGAAAAGCATCGCGAGGTAGAATCTAGCACTCAATGACCTCATTTGACAGCAGGAATACTGGACATCGTATCGCACGGGGTGAGGCTCCGGCGCGAGACGGTGCGCATTGGTCGAGGGATTGGCAGGGCCTGCGGGGATCGCGACTTGCTCGAATTTCAAAGACTTACCAGGTAGATAGATTTTTAAGATAAGATCGACAGAAGCACAAATCGCGGGGACACTATGCAGATGCGAGGGTCGCGGGTCAAGAAAAGCGCGAAAGAGAGAGGCTAAAGGAGCTTTCCTTTCCGGCGTTGAAACTCTCCGCTTTGATTGTGAAGGAAAAAAAATTATAGTGGCAAACACCGCTTTCTACCCCAACATTGCATATTCCGAAGTTTGATATCTGTGTTTTCACATTATTTACGTTATTTACACTTGTTTTATTTGTTTTGTGAATGCTTTGCTGATACTGTTGTCTTATTTGGAATTCGATTAACATAGGGTCGAATTAATAGTGTCGCATACAGCCCTTCTAGTCTGGATCCATGGACCATCCATGAAAGCTATAGATTGTCCTGGGAAGAGGCGCTGGCATAAGTCAGCCTCTACATGGTCAAAGGTCCGCTTCAAACGTGCACGTGTGCCAATGAATAGGACGCGTTTGAAGATAGGCATTCAACACAGAAGCCTTAAGCTTGCAAATGATCCTATGGGTGAATGGGTTCGAAGTGTACATTCTGGGGAGCAATATTCTGCCACGAGTCTTTTGCTGAAGAATGTGGTACATCTCTGATATTGCTTGGCGCAGTGGAAGTCGTGCATTGTGTGCCTGTTGCTTGAAGCCACATAGTTGCAGACTTGGAGACTCGTGGGGTCATGGGCCAATGGATAGAAGTCGGATGTAGAAAGACCCGAGGGGTTAGGATTCTCAAGGGTATGGGCTTGCATTTAAATTTGAGCCACGACAAAGAAGTTTTGCGGATATCACATCCTCTGAAGGTGGCACTATTTTCTCATTGCCTTCGGCTTGCGCTTCTTGAAGACGACACCAGGCGTAGCATCTTCACTCTGCGGCTTCTCTTCAATAACTGGCTCTACTGAAGATTGAGCGGGCTCTTCAGTCTTGATCTCACTTGACTCATTCGTCTCTTGCGCCTCTGGCTTGAAAGAATCATCTTCTGTCTTTGCAGTGAGGGTAGGTTGTTCAGTAGCTGTCTCTTGCTCATCAAGCTCGACTTTCGGAATGAAGGTTTTCGTCCTCTTAATATCTTTTGTGGATGCAATCAAGTCATCCAAGCCCTCGTCCTCTTGTGCAACAGGGTATTGCCTCATCCTCGAGCCCCAACCTTTGTTGATAATAGGTTCAGGCGCGTGCTCATCCTCCTCCTCATCGCCTTCAAGTTTGCGCTTGCGTATTCCAACTGACTTTGTGGGGCCTTCTAATCCTTGTTGGACCTCGATCCTTGTCTCAGATGTCGTCTGCCAATCCCCTGCTAAGGCCATATTAGCGCGGAATTCCTCGGGGACGGCGACACCCATTGCCACGAGCTGTGCCATCTGTTTCTTTCGTTCTTCTAGGGAAGCAGGCCGGGCTGTGGATTTAGGGGCTGGCGGTGCGTTTCCTTTCGCGCTGTCTTTGTCGGTGGAGGACCCGCCACTGACAGCCTGTCGCAATCGTTCGACTTCGGTTTTCGCGCGTTGTGAGTCTCTTTGTTTTTGTTCATTGTCATTGTGTATTTGTCTAAGGAAGCGCTTGAGATTGCCTTGATGTTTTGGGCTGGCTTCGTGTTGGGTCTTTTCGAAGGGCGTGTCACGGATGAAGACCTTGCACTGTTTGCACCAGTAGCGCGGCTGTGAAATAGTCAGCAGGGTTCTAGACAGGTAAATTTCACACTTACTGCTGATTTCCAGAATTCAGACATGCCGGAGTACTGAGTTGGAATAAGAGGAGGTGGATTGATCGAGACTTTGATCGCATTGATATTGCCCGGCAGAAAGCTACGTAGGTACCCCACTCCGTTGGCCAATCAACCGGAACTTCCCTTCACCACCTAGGAACATAGCTCTATACCGAGTACTCCGTATATATTTGTACTATTTGGACTACCTCCACTTCTATGGGACTAAGCAGATCTTAGCAAAGGATGCTCAGGTCAGTGACATGTGTATATTACTAAGTTGTCCCTAAGAACTCGGGAAATTGTCATATTAAGTCTTATAAGAGCTATCAATCTTCCGAACCAAGAATTTCCAGTTCGGTAACTAATTACAAAATCGGCAGTCCTGCTCGAGATTATAGTATATCTGCAAAGCAGAAAGGTTCTGTATAGTAGAGAGAAAGAAGGACGACCAAACAGGCAAAGAGGACGACGACGTATTATCGGGTTTATAAGTAAACAGCAAAGAGAGAGAGAGAGAGAGATTGATAGAAGGGTTCATTTCTGAAAACACATTTTCATGACAATCTGGGATCATGCTAGATCAAAGCATAGGTTTATGGGCGCTGTGGCAAGGTATAGGCGTGATTCAATCCAGTTCCGCCGTCGAGACGCCCAAAGCCCAAGGTCCATCATCATAGATCGTAGAACGACGAACATCCCTCGCAGTCATCGTCGCGGTATATGGGTTGGCACGATGCATCGATTGGCTATAAAAATCAGTAAAGAATAATATAAGACGGGTGAGACTTACCGATTATCCCACCAGACCATATCACCCCCAGACAACCACTCCATGCTGAAGACATACTGCTCTAGTTAGCCCTGGATTTTAACAGAATACGGCTGACTTGAACTCACTTTTGATTGTGTACAGTGTTTAATCAACTCCCAAATCAGCCTTTGGCTCTCTTCAATATCCTTTCCAACGATCCGTTTGGCATGCGCCGCCAGATACAATGTTTTCCGCCCGTCTGGTGCTGTTTGTACGAGACGGTGGTAGGCCGGTGGTTTGGCTGCCAGTTCGTGGGGAAGGGGATTTCCAAACACAGTTGGTGCCGCGAGCTTTCGGGAATGCCAGAGACTTAATGAAGTTAGCTTCAGACACGGGGAGATTTCGAAACAGCTGGCTTACTCGTGCTCGACAACGAGGTTCTCAATCTCGTCCTTTTTCGCTTGAGATAGATCACCGTACGCACGACGTGTGTCTGCAAAATGGGTCCATGATCCGCCTGCGACTGGGTTTCCATGAGAAAGCAGTATGGAATACTTGGACCGATGTTGGTGATATGTGGAGTCCTAGATTGTGTTAGTACCCATGTGGCTTTTTGGGGACGATGATGATTACAGTGTGCCATAGCGCATTGCCCAGACTGTGGTAGTACCTGCGACTATCCATCTTCACCAGAGAGCCATCCTGCTCGATGCTATTCTCATCAGAATGTGATATATATTTAAGTTTGCATGTGGAATACTCACTTGGCAACGTCGAAGAGTAACGGTTCACCTAATCGGTCATTTTCACGTCCGTAAAAGAACGGATTGATTTCTAGTTTGTCACCCAATTGTTGCGAGAAAGCAATGTGCCGAATATTGTCTAGCCCCGTCTTTCGAAAGATCAGTACTGCATACTTGTCTTGCAAAGCGATCAACTAGCATCTTGTCAGTGGTTTCTTCCAACCTCTCAAATATTAACTCACTTGCGCGACGACGTCATCTGATACAGGTTTGCTCCAGTCAACACCGTATACTTCGGCACCAAAGAATGAATCTTCCGAGTGGAGTATTGGGTGGATAGACAATGTGCCTTCTTGGATCGTTTCTTGAGCACCTGTCCGAGAAGGACATGTATTATCGTACACCAAGATGTGCATATCGTCCACCAAGCTATGCATATCGTCAGACATTGAATTGCGAAGTGAGTTGTGTGATCTCTTGATTTGAGAGGCACTCCTCGTTTTTGATATCTCCAGATAAACCCGCACGCGGCTTCAAGCCCGCGCGGCCCGACCCCGAAGATGCCGATGCAAGAGCTACGGCCACTCAAATAGGATAGCATTTCCTACCTGTGAGAAAAGCTAATGATTTTACTTCTTCTCATATCACCATAATGACCTCCATCCTAATAAAAGCCGGTCCATACCGGTTCCGTGCGAGGTTCGAATCGTCAGCTCCCAAAACAGTGGCCCTCTTCCGCACTCTCCTCCCATACCGCCAGAAACTCATCCATGTTCGTTGGAGCGGGGAGGGTATGTGGATCCCATTAGGAGAAACTGATTTCGGACTACCGTTTGAGAACCATACGGCTCACCCTTCTGCGGGTCAAATTCTATTGTATCCTGGTGGTATCTCCGAAACCGAGATTCTGTTCTGTTATGGAGGTGTTGCCTTCGCAAGTAAGATGGGACCGCTGGCGGCAAATCATTTCTTGACTATCGTTGAGGGAATTGAAAACCTAAAGGCACTGGGTGAGCTGGTGCTTTGGGAGGGAGCGCAAGATATTTTGTTCGAGTTGGATGATGCTGATAGGTAAGTCTGTTCTATTGTATAGACTACGACCTCCTCTCAATACTAATTATGTATCGAAATTCTCGTATAGGCCTTGTTCTGCAAAGCTATGATATTCTACTATCAGTCATGAAAGCATCCCGTCCATATTCAACTCTGGGAAATCAAGCGACTCCCCGAAAAGATTCCCTGCCCAGTCAACACCAGAATCATTCATCAAATCTAGCAGAGACTGGATTGCCATATCATCAATCTCCGTTTCCTCGATATGCTGCTCGTTCTTCTCAGAGATTAACACCAAAGCAACTGTATAGTGAACAATGGCTTGGAAGTCGTGCGCAAAATGAAATCTCGTGGCCAGAGACACGCTGTCAAAGATGTCTATCGCAAGGAGGAGGAGTCGAGCGAGAACCGAAGAAGAAGAGGAGGGAAGGCGTGTACATAATTTCCCTTTCTCTTGACTAGAGTCTTCGCTGCAAATTTGTAGGTTTTCTGTTTCTCATGTTGTCAGTTATTGATGGACTCAGATCATCACGTCAAAATATCTATATGAATATCTCACCATCGATGATGCCCCGAATATAGCAAAGACATAAGAATATGATAGCGAACGTATGCGAAATCCAGGTCGAGTCCACCGCATAGTATAATCGACTCACGGATGCACGATCCACATTGTATGTCCCACCGGGAAAGGTAGATAGTTCCTGCGAATCCAGCGAGAAGACAATATCTGGCTTGAAGCTCGATTGTGCTAATATTATCTGCGCTGCTGCGGTCAAGCTCACTGAAAGCGCTTGTTGAACATGTGGTTTACTTAAATCCGTCGATCGATGTACCCGTGGGGAAGAAAGTAGTGGTGCAAGGGATGCACAATTGAGGGAGAGTCGGTACCACTACATCGCAGGTTAGATTAAGTTCCTGAATAGATGTAGTTAGGTAACTGCATACCCGGGCCGAAGTGAATGGCAAATGATTGTAATGGGATTCTGATTTCTCTGATGATTGTTAATTACTGTGAGGATAGGATGCCAAATGAACGCACCTAAACGAGAAAACCAAGATCTGCGAACCGTCAGTAAGACCAAAAATAACTCCAGGAAGATTCACTTGCCTCTCCCAATCATCTAAATCACTATTCAACCGTTGCAAGCAACTCGGTTGCAATCGACGGCCAGATATATCCCCAGAACTAGACATAGCAAGGTGAACTATTCCGACTAGTTCCACAAGTCCCCTTACCCGAAGGTCCGCAGGGGACTGCATCATCTCATGAGAGACAAACCTCCACGCCACCTGGACCGATGGAGTAGGATCAATTGATGCGGGTAGACCGGATGTAAGCATGAGGTTGAAGTTGCATGTGAGCAAGTTGTACCACACTCGTAGCTTTTTCACATCCTCTATGGATGGTACCTTGTCAGGGGGTTTGAATAGTGATGTGGCTGATTGTTCGAGGCCCAGTAGGGCAGAGTATCGCTCTGCTAATCCCAAGACAACCCAAGCACTGATTTCGTTGTACCGGCTTTTGGTCTTGGGTTCGTCATAGGTACTTGGGCGCAAGGAATCCTCGTCTTCACCCTCTTTGCTGCATGGCATCCACTGGGCATAGAGAAGAAGCACACAGATAGAATCTAAATTGACATCTGATGGGGTGGGCCGGAGTAGGAGCCTGGAGACCGCTTTGTCGAGTAATTTTGTCAGATCATAAAATCGGGGATGACCGACAATAGAATCGTCACTGCACACGAGTATTGTTAGCCTAGCTTTTGGGTCTAGAACTTTTCGCTCACGTTCGATCACCTATATCCCAGAACCGGGTACCAACTGAGCATATTGTCAAAATAAGTGTTGGGCTTGTTTGAAGATATTCATGCCATGTATCCCGAATACTTTCATCTAATACAGGCGCTGAGTGATGGCAATGATCAAAGAATCTGCTGAATATCAGTAGGTGGCATTTTTCCCAGATGGAGTTGTAGAATACATTTCGACTGCTCGCCGGACCTCTTCGGCTGTAAGGAGCCCCTGGTAAATAGGATCGTACATGTTCTTGTATCTCTGCGCTCTCAGAGTTGACTCATCAACTCTCTCTTCCGCAAGCACTCTTAACGATCGCAGTGTTGCGATAGGAGGACCTAGATGGATTCCGTCGATTTCTGACTCGGGAGAATCATATATGTTGCTTTGACTTTTCGGGAGAGCTTCTTGATGCTCAGGCTGAATGTCTCCGGGTCTTTCTTTTGTATTGTGGTCAAATGGACTCTTCTGATTTTCAAGCTCAGATATTCGGGTTTCATGTTGGTTGAGTCTGCTTCTGGTCTTAGCGTCTGCTCTTGACTGAATCGCAATTTTCAATCCCACCGATTTTGAAGTTCAATAACCAGTTGTACTAGACCCGATGGACTTTGAGTCAGGTCCAATGTTGGTGCTCTATCTGTCTCAAATGAACAAGTGATGCTTAGTCTTTGACATCGCTTGCATGGTAATTGTAGATTGGATACGTCGGATGGTAAACATCGCTGTTTCCGTGTGTGACACTAAAGCGCCTATATTAAGTACTGCGTTTCTATATTGAATACGCAATACTCACTTGTAGACAAGCCCGGGCAATCCGACGCACTTTAGCAGGGCGCTCATTATCTGTTTGATTGTCTGACCAATTGGCATTGAAGGGCATTGCTGTTTGGTGTTTGAACAAGAAGAAGACACATCTTAGAGAATCAGATCAAAAAAGGGCCAATCTGGGGTTATTTGCTCTGATAACATCTCGGACGCTGATTTGCTGCCGATACCCTCGGTGTTGAGGCTTTCATGAAAGTCTTATTTATGGGCCTCGCGGCTTATTTGACACTTTAACCTTAACAGAAGTGCCTGTATTCGAGTTAATTGTGTATTCCGCTGGGATTCGCAGAGTACGTACTCAGCATATTTAATCTCAGCTCCTGCCAACTCATACTCTGGGAATGCATTGGCAAGAGATTGGGTTTTTCCATCTTTGACCCCGATACAATATTTGCTTTAATTCGTTAGCGACCGTGAGTCTGTCAAATCACCAAAAGCCCCGTGGCTGATGTCGCTGGCAGTCACAACTGTCGCATTAATCACAACCAAATCAAATTTAGGCCATACTCTCAATAGTGTCAGTTAAAATTTGGGTGTCGCATTGGCATAGTAAGGCACAACATGCGGCACGCACGGCTTTCTAGCCGACTCCATCGGCTAGTGCCGCTTATCTGGCCACAACGTTGTTTGAGATATAGAATTCTATCGCTATCATTTGATTACGAACAATATCCCGATAACTATCGCGTTGCTAAATTTCCTTATCGTCCCACAAGACACGTTGTGCTAGGTTTGGTAGGCCTTACGGAGTATAGTTCGGAGAAACTCGATACAGGGCCCACTACAACTTGGGGAGAAAGACAGAGACAATACATTCAAATTGAAAGAAGCAGATTGACAATGTATATAGCAATAAAATAAGGTTGTCCTGTTAAACACACAGAGTCGACGCGAGAAAATTATGATTTAGATTCTGTCGGAAATCTTCTGCCACAGATTCTGGGCAGTTTCCTAGGCCAACGATTAATTATATGAAAGGTTTGAGTTAAGATGGGACTAACCTTCTCGATAACCTCGCTCGAAGAGCCGGTGACAAAGTCCATCTCTGCATAATCGACCATCTTTGACTTGGTCCAGAACTTGTATCCAAAGAAGAGGACGGCAAAGAACGGAATTGGAAAGTAAGTAGTAACAAAAGAGGAAGCGTCAAAGCTCGGCACTTTGAAGGAGATCAGTAAGTGGAAGAGGTGCTTCATATCTTGCGAACTCACTGAAGGAACCAAACCCGCCGAAGATGATGACCATAACGCAAATTGAAATTCCATCTAAATCGTCACATATATTAGTATCTCCGCACGAAATAGAGAATTTGGAAGCTGACAGTATGAAAGATATGGTTGAAGAGGTGCCATATATGGGAGTGTCTTTCGATCGATGCCCTGCGCCTTGAGACCTTTGTTCCATCGGATGCTGGTCCACAAGATCCCTGTCCAGGAGATCATACCACACATCGCAGTCATGTTAGAGACTTTATTGATGTTAGCTTCATAGCCTAGCACGGATTTCCTCAAGATGTCCACTCACAATAGCCAAACACTGTGCCCGCTTCTCCATGGGCGGCGGCCATAAATGAGAGGAAAGAGAAAGCACCACAGAAAAGAAAGCAGACCCAGGGGAACCCATCTGCTCGAGTCTTGAGAAAGATCTTTGGGGCATGTCCGCGGGTTGCTAGTCCGTATAGGGTTCTTGATGAGACAAAAAGATCAGCTGTACCGGCAGACCAGGCGCTAGTGAGAAGAGCTGCATTAATAATGGAAGGGAGGACCGAGATCCCGGAGTTCTATTGGGATATGTTAGCTTTTCAGTCTTGGGTAAGGGTTTGCACGGTGAATTACCTGGATAGCGATAACAAAGGGACTCTTGGCTGCAGTAGAAGTAAGATTGGCTGCAGTAGAAGTAAGATTGAGAGAAGGGTCGGAGGGAGACACGAGAAGTCCGATCTGGGATTGTAAGTAGACTGCAAGTAATCGTTGGGTTTTGAAACTTACCAAGAAAGCACTGCAGATATAGACTGGATTGAAGAGAAGGGAAGTTAGTGAATTGACGTCTGGGAAACAAAGTAGCTGAGCTCACAGAGTACAAGCCTAATCCAAACACTCTTGATGGCTCGCGGCACATTCTTTCGTGGCTGTAATATGATGTAAGTGAGAGGAACTCGCGATCGGGTTGACAAACTCTCACGTTTGAAGTCTCAGCAGCTGCAATTGCCGTAATCTCAGATCCAATGAATGCGAATGCAGCATTGATCAAAACTATAAACCGATGAGTTATTCGGTACGAGCTGATAGTTCGAAACTGGTCTCACCGCTGAAAAATCCGAGGAAGCGTCCTTTCGAACCGGCTTTATTGAATGTTAGATACCAGTAAGTGGGTATTGAATTGATCGACTTACCAATTCCTTCATACTGTACGAATCCACCAGTCTCGTTTCAATATTTGAATCCGATTGCCTCGTGGTTAGGTCCGCCACCGGCACTAATGATAATACCAGTAATAATAAGGCCAATGATAGTCACAACCTATATCAAATGTCAGTTCTCTCCATTTTTGAGGCTGCGCTCTTCTTATCTTACCTTGATTGAACAAAACCAGAATTCCATCTCACCAAAGACTCGTGTTCCCGCATAGTTTATGGCAAACTAGATGATCATCAGTATCATTTGTAGTCCAATTCTTTGCACAAAAGCATACCACGACGATCAGCATCAGCCCAACCCACATGGCATTATTACAGATTCCAGTAGAGCATGTAGAATCTGTCTGTCCGGCCGGAGTCCAAAATGTGACCAGAAGAGCCGCAGCGGAAATTTCAGCCGGTAAGACAACTGGAGAAATTAGTTAGATGCATCCTGCTTTCCCAGAATAAACAAGAATAGTCGTACCAATATAACTAAAGCATTTGTCAGGCCAGGTTCTCATGGTTCAGAATACAACTTCACTTACTTATACCAGAACAGGATACCCATAGCAAATCCAAGCTCGGGCGAGGTGAACCGGCCAGCCAAAGCAAATTGACCGCCAGGAATGGGAAATTGCGATGCCATCTCACCGAGAGCAACCTGCGGATGGTCGTCAGTCTTTTTGGAAGATTTGAAAGCGTCGGCAGTTGCCTTACCATTACTGAGTACAGCAACGAAGCCATAATACAGTATCCAATAAGAAGACCGGCTGGACCACCATGCTGGAGATCGCTCGCTGTGCCTAGAAAGAGGCCAGTACCCTAGGGACTCATCAGCACGAAAGTGAATTGAGGTGACAGTAGGACGGATGACTGACGATAACACCTCCGATGGCAATCATTTGTCTATATCGAATCGTGAGTCCCTATATATCAAGTCCCGCGTGTGGTACTTACAGATGCCGTGGCTATATTAAGTTTTAGTTCATCCCTGTTGCCATCAAAAAGGTGTGGCTCGACGTACCCTGAGCTGTCGTTGGAGACCATGATTGCTACCTATGTCTTGGGTAGTTCCCATGCTGACGGGGACTTCGTTGGCATCATAAGCCATTTCTTTAGTTTTCTGAAATGTAGGTTAATATAAAAACCATGGATCTTACTCCCAAAGGAGATATATCTCACGTCGTGCTGCATATTGTTCCACCTAGCTGGTTGTCGATGAATGAATTACTTTCGTTGGAAAAGGATTGGATGATCCTATATACATATGTGATTATCAACGCCATCTACAAAAACGCCACATGAAGGTTAAATCAAACTTATCTTCGAGATAAGGCTCTTACACGGTTCATCACCGTGGCGTGCGGGTCGAACCGAGATTTCCCGCGCCTGTCTTATCAGCGGGTAGAGACCGATGCTCCCGACGCTCACCCTCCTCAAAGGTACGAGGGATCGTCAAAGATTGAATGTTTGAACCAATCTGAAAATCTGGAATTTGACTTTGTGGCGACTATTCAAGTGATTGCTGTCTTAAAATGGCATATTCTACACGGCCTCTACGGCCGGGAGTATACGTGCCACTACCCACGTTCTTTGATGAACACCAAGAAATTGACTATGACAGCTATCGGAGACATCTGCTAGGTAAGATAGGGCTCTTATTGAAAATTACCAATGACATGAACTTATCTGACACCGATCACAGCTATGGTCACTCGCGGCATGGGTAAGTTGTTTGAGCGTGTATTATGAAACCACATATTAATGGGACTCCGCGTTCAGTACCAGTATGTGCTGGATCGTTAGGGGAAGCTGTTCACCTGGTGAGTTTGGTTCTTTCCTATCATGCCTTTAGATGATAGTACTGATGGTCTTAGGATTTTGATGAGCGTGTATCCCTTATCCGCTTCATCAGGGAAACTCTGGATGGGGAAGGGTTGCAATCTACCCCCATAGTCGCTGGTGTAGGAGGACTCAGTACCAGAGAGACTATTAGTTTCTCCAAAGCTGCTGCAGATGCTGGAGCGTAAGTGAATACTGAATTCCGGCGATTATCTTCCTTCTAACAATGACAGAGATGCGGGTATGGTTATTTTACCTGCCTATTATGCCGCGAGTCTGAACACAGACATGGACCAAGTCATTCAATACTATGTGGATATTTGCGAAGCATCGCCAGTATGGGTTGTCCATAACGCACTAAATGCATCATTGCTAATGAAGTGATAGATTCCTCTGTTGCTATACAACTTCCCATCCAACGCTGGCGGCCAGGATATGTCTTCAGAAGTTATCAGCGCGATCATGAAGAAAACATCTAACTTATGTGGAGTGAAGTTGACGTGAGTCTTAGCCTTCTTGGCAACTCTCATTTTGACAGCGCTGATAAGAACAGATGCGGTGGAAGCATGGGGAAGCTGATCCGTCTTCAAGCCCTGATCTCCGAAGATACCACAATAAATGAGACTCGCAAATTTCCATTTCTTTTACTGGACGGTCTTATTGCTGATCTGACCCCCTGGATGCAATGTGCTGGTCATGGCACTGTGAGCGGTATTCCTAACTTTGTGCCAGTGGCTTCTATGAGGCTCTGGTCACTACTGAACTTGCCATCCCCAACAGAGACAGAACGCAATGAAGCGAGAAATATTCAAGCGATTCTTGCGCGGGCTGATGCTGCTGCGGTTCCAGGTGGTATTCGGGCTATGAGTGAGTATATCCATAAAGAATTTCGAGGGTACTAGGCTGATTACATGTAGAATATGCATTGAACAAGATGCATGGGTATGGGATTGCTCCGCGAAGACCATTGCTTCCGTTGGGGGAAGCTGAAGGGGGCGAGTTTATGAATGCTTTGGGTGAGGCAATGCGACTTGAGTCTGAATTAAGAGAGGCAACGTCAACTCCATAGCATGGTAGTCTGTTGTCGCGACTATGTTGGACCAAGTGTCCTTTCTTACTTCACCTTTCCTGCGGTCGTTGATACTCTTTGTATATGTAGCCAATCAATATCTATCGGAGTATTATGGAGTATACTAAACGTTGTAATTCTTATTCATATCATACTAAAAGTACGAAAGAAGCGGGACGAAATAAACAACCAGTTAATACAAGCAAAGTTCTTTTAGTCCCGGGAATTAGCAACGTCTACTCACTTTCTAGCTAGCTACACTATTGATAATAGGACCACCATCTATCCATACATACTAATTTTCATCAGTTATCAAGTTTCGGTTAATTAGAGCTTTAAATCCAAGGGTCATTCTTAGATACAATGCACTATGCTATGGACGATCAAAATAACTTTGCCCCAAACTCTTCAAAAGCCTGTCTTCAAAGGTCCGCCTGTTCCGGAACTGGGCTCTTTAGTTTTCCAACTTCAAGAGCCATACGGATGTTCTCAATTGTCCATTCTTCTATGGCAAGAATTGTCTTTTGTCAAGTCAGTCTCACACCACTACTTATGGGGAAATACAAAACTCACCTCACTAGTCCAAGTGCCCATATGGGGAACCAGAATCACATTCTGGTTACTGAGCAACCCAGGATGAATCCGAGGCTCTTCCTCAAAGACGTCGAGGCCAGCCGAGAACACTTTACCACTATCTAGGGCATCAACCAGAGCAGCCTCGTCCATGACAGCGCCGCGGGCAGTGTTGACCACTACCACGCCGTCCTTCATCTTAGCGAACTCAGCTTTGCCGATAATATGGCGCGTGTTTTTCTTCAAGCGATTAGTATCATACCACATTTGCTTCCCTTTTGGAACAAGAAATCACTTACATTCAATGGCAGGTTCAAGCTGATCACGTCACTGGTGGACAGGAGTTCATCAAAAGAAACATATTTCGCACCCGCTGACATCTCATCACTGAGTCTGCGGCGGTTATGATAGATGACCTTCATCCCAAAGGCCTCTGCCTTTTTCTTCAAATTACGTCCAATACCACCCATTCCCAGAATCCCAAGGACCTTTCCCTGGGGATCATGGCCGAGAGGAGGCGCCGGGTGGCCACGCCATTTACCCTCGCGCAAGGCGTTCATGCCGGTGTTGAAGTTGCGCAATGCACCAAGAATCAGGAACATGTTCACGTCGGCAGTGGCATCGTCCACTGCAGTTGGGACATTGGAAACCAGAATCGGGGGGTTGCGCGCACTGCAGGCATGAACGTCCACTTGGTCATATCCGGCTCCTATAGATTTTGCATGTCAACATATACATATTTGAGCACTCATATCATAAGCTCAACGTACCACAATGCGCGATATATCGGAGTGAGCTTGGTAGCACATTCACTAGCTCCTCGTCTACAAGCCCTGTTTGGCTCAAAGACCCCATTGTTCGGTATATCGCAACAACACCATCCAGCTTGCCGTCTTTGCACTCTTGGATGAACTCGGCTCGGGTGGTCGCCGCTGACTCAACTAGCTGTGCTACCTCTCCCAATGCATTCCAGGCTGCCTGTGCACTGTGTTTGAAGAATGTCAATTTCATGAAATGGATATCAATGGTGCGAAAAGATGGGGTGAACGTACTAGTCGATACTTCCAAGGCGTAGGACCTTGGGCTTGGGGCCGGTAGAACCCATTCCGATGGTATTAAGGGCAGTTGATTCTGTGTTGATCCAGACAATTAGCAATTTGAGCAGAGGAGGAATGTATAGCAATGCTAGAACATTAACTCTGAGTCAATTTTTCAAAGATTTTCCCTCCAATTTTACTTCGGGTCGAAATACCCCGACGCCTTTTCTTGACATATTTGAACTTACCGATAAGCAAGCAGTCCGATCAAGATGATAAGTGACTTAGTTGTTGCAAAAGAGGTTTGAAGACACAAATGAAGTCAAAGGAACAAGAGACAGAGACATTAGACAATAAGAGTCATAACTATATATATTTTACTAAGCATCGGCCGAGAAGCAAAGCAAGTGCCCTCAACTGCGGAATACCTAACCGACGTCAGCCATCGGCTCGATTGCCGATGTCGTTATCTCATGACACACTAAGATGCTGGCTATGAGTGGTGCTTTTATTCTAGTCCACTGTGATATTGTGTGGAATAGAAAATATTTCGAGAACATTGGGGACTTCGTGTTTTCAACTCCCGGAATGAAACTTGCGACGGTTCGAGTAAATGTATCTAGCCAGATGTATACTATACAGTGCGTCAAGGGGCTATTTCCAGGCTCACTAGCCTTCAATTAGAATACGGGTCCAGTCAAACTTCTTCCAGCGCTTTCTGAATCCGTCAACCCTGCGATCACCACGGTTCCAGCGTCCTTGTCGTTTGATAACGTCCGGTGCAACATCCAGCATTCCACCGATGATCTCTCGGGCAAAGAGATCTCCACGAGGCCAGCGGTTGTCGTCCTCCACAATATGACCCAGGCCACCATCTAGTTCAAACCAAACGTGGAAGTAGGGCATCTCCTTCACAAGGGTTCGGCGGAAGGCAGACCGGCCTAAACCTTGCTTTGATTTAGCAAGGGTATCGATAAGTTTGCGGTGCTGCGACCATTCCGACTCGGCACTGAGAATTGCCTCTTTGAAAAACGCAGGAGCGGTTTCTCCTAGACTGTAGGGTAAAGGCACGACTTCCATGGATGCATGTCGCTTGCGCTGTGGCTGGGCTGCATTCTCGTAGAAGATCACATCTCGACCTTGGTCGTGGTACATACGCGTGAGACTCTTCATAAAGTTGCGGATCTCTTCCCACTCGTCGTCATCGCATTCCATCAAATTAGTGCGATGTTGGATTGGTACGATAGTAGCACCCCCTTCACTGATTTCGGGTTCGGTAGGAAGTGTGAGGAAGACCCTGGTCGCAAGGGAAACCACTGGGGCAAGAGGAGGCGTGCCCTTGTCTTCGTTGTGACAAAGCGGGCAGTTGTCCAATATCCGGTTCATCTTGTGGAAGTCATTGATCGTTGTGTTCTTGAGGTCAATCTCAGATCGATGAACCCTTTTGGCCAACTTGGACGCATTGTCATCCATATACTCCAAGTCGTTCTATACATTGGTTAGCAGGGGAAACAGGAGTCATCACACATAAGTCTAGGACTGACCTCAAACTTGGCATCACGGCCAATTTGATCTGCTAGGCGCCGGCCTTCTCCGCCGAGTTGGCCACGGGTCTTGCGCTCTTCGCGCACCATATCTTCAATGGTCATATCTTCATTTGCTTCCACCTGGCCTCTTTCCCGGCCTCTCTTAGTATCGACAGCTTTGACCTCATTCCTAGAGCCTGCTAGCATCGGGTTATGCATAACATCAAGGACCACAACATCGGACTCCTTGCGGTTTGACATAGCTGCCGCGGCTGTATTGTACTGTTCCTCGAGATCGGCGGCATTTGGTGCTTTTCTGAGCTTTGCCTTCATCATCTGGGCTTTGAGACGATTCAGTGCCGTCATATCGAGGTGACGGGTAGTGTTCGGAGGAGGCACAGTGTCCATTTTCTTGCCTTGGCCTTCGGCCTTCAGTTCCTGCTCTGGATCACGAACATGTTCGAGTGGACCTCTTCGAATATCATTTTGGAGTTTCCTTTCCTGGAACAGCTCCCCACTAGGTTTATCTTTGCCCACATAGGACTTGCCATACGTTTTGCGCCGATCAATCTCAGTTTCCTCCTCCCGAGCGTCGTCAAAGGAGCGAAGGTCTCCAAAACGCTCAGTAGCAATATCTTCAATAGGCCTGCCACTTTCCTCCGCCTCTCTGTATACACCTTTGAGTTTGGTCATTCTCCATTGTGACCCCGAATCCCCAAAAGTATAGTCCACCTCGTGCTGAGCAGGTTCATCTTCTATATCTTCGAGTGTTTTTCCATCTTTGAGATCACGAAGATGGTCGTTGAGCTCCTTGTCATGAATCTTGAGTTCGTAGTCCGCTGAAAGCATTATTGGTTTCGGCTCCTCCTGTCGCGTCGAATCCGGTCGATGAACATATTCAACGTCGAGACCCGAGGGCGCTTCCATCCAGGCGTCCCGTTTGAGATTACTGGGCTCTTCCTGTACTATTACCGGAGGAGCGGTGGATTTGCCCTCATCTTTGGAATTCCGGTGATGGCGTTTATGGCCATGTTCGTCTCCTTGGTCGTCGGAACGACGTGAACGCTTGTGTCGGCGGCCATCGTCGTCGCGATGCCTGGACTCGCGAACTCGCTCGCTGTCTCGATCGCGAGATCTGGAGGAATGCCGCCGGTGATGGTGGTCGGAATGATGACGGTGTTGTCTCGAGCGCTCTTTGCTGCGATCGCGATCGCGGTTTCGGTCTCGATGATGTCGCCCTTCACTTTTCTCGTGTCGCGGCTCTTTCCCGTCTGCCAATGATTTCTCAAAATCTTCTAGAGTCATGGTGTTCCTGATATGTGGAAAAGGGATGAGAAAGGCAAAATATGGAATGACGTTTATAAAATGCCGGGCGGTCCAATTGTAGATCTTTCCCCGCGACAAAAAAGATTTCGAACAGAAGAGAAGAGCTTATCTTTCATCACTTGGCTTCTTGTCTTCCACCCTTGAACAATACATAATCGACTACAGAGGTCTCTGTAATTTTATTCGCTTGATCGAGTCTATCTTTCTATAAATTTCCTTCACCATGGCATCTCCGGTGGCCGTGGTCTGCGTGGGCATGGCAGGTAAGGATGCTGATCGCCCCTCACCTATCTACAACGATCTAATCGTCAGTGTTATGGATTGAATAGGCTCAGGCAAGACGACCTTCATGCAAAGAATCAACTCCTATCTGCATGAAAAGAAGACCGTGCCGTATGTGATCAATCTCGACCCCGCGGTGCATTCGGTACCCTTCGAGAGCAACATCGATATCCGTGACTCCATTAATTACAAAGAAGTGATGAAGCAGTACAACCTGGGTCCTAACGGAGGAATTTTGACTTCATTAAATCTGTTCGCCACCAAAGTCGATCAAATTATCTCGCTCCTAGAGAAACGCACCGCCCCGAACCCTGAAAACCCTTCCGCAACACCAATCAAGCACATCTTGGTCGACACACCCGGCCAAATCGAAGTCTTTGTCTGGAGTGCATCGGGCAGTATCCTTCTCGAGACTATGGCGACATCATTCCCAACGGTCATCGCATATGTTATCGATACGCCTCGCGCAAGCTCTACCAGCACCTTCATGAGCAACATGCTGTACGCATGTAGTATCTTGTACAAGACCAAGCTCCCCATGATCTTGGTCTTCAACAAGACTGACGTCAAGGATGCTGAGTTTGCCAAGGAATGGATGACCGACTTTGATGCATTCCAGCAGGCTCTGCGGCAGGAGGAAGACGCGGGGGCCTTTGGAGCTGAGGGCGGTGCCGGTGGCTTTGGTTCTGGCAGTGGATACATGGGCTCCCTTCTGAACAGCATGAGTCTCATGTTGGAAGAATTCTATCGACACCTCAGCGTCGTTGGCGTCAGCTCAATGACGGGCGATGGTGTCGAGGAGTTCTTCGAGGCTGTGGAGACAAAGCGACAGGAGTTTGAACGTGACTACAAGCCCGAATTGGAGCGCAAGAAGAAAGAGCGCGAAGAGCAATCATCATCCCAGCGGGAGCTTGAACTTGGAAAATTAATGAAAGACATGAATGTGTCTGGGTCAAGCCGGCAGCCGCCGAGGAAACCCACCGAGGAGCCTGAGACTGTCAGTGAAGCCGAAGATGAAGAAGATGATATCATCAAGCGTGGATTGGCAGATGGAGAAGACAGTGACTATGAGGACTACGTGGGGCCTAACGCTGGCAATGATGAGGGTCTTACTCAACGTTACCAGGAGGCTCTGGCAGGCTCACAAAGTACTCCATCAGAGCAGGATAACAGCTTCACAAGATATCTGCGCGCAAGCAATATGCAACAGTGAAGCAATCTGTCCAAATGGGTCTTACTTGTTCTGAACAGGCTCGGCTTACGGCGTTTGTGGTCTTAGAGGCGCATTTCATTATATCAAAGTAATCAAATATCATCTTAGTCTATTTTGTCTTCGCCTTGGTATAGTAACACATACCGGGTGAACCTTTGCAAACAAGTCAAACGGCAATGTTGCTGTATGACGTCACTTGCTCATAATGCAGCAGCCTTAGGAAATGATCGCCCAGAAGCTTCATCTTCTCCCCATTTCTGATACGAGCTACTTCAATCTCGCGAGAATTTCAATTCCATTCGAACACATACTAGCGAATTTCCATCATGGATGTGAGCCAATGCTATTACTGTCTCCAAGCGTCGGAAGATAGACCTCGAAACCGGAGCCAAAAGCTAACTTGACAGGTCTTTCGCGCCTACACATACACGACAGCCGCATGGCTGTCACTTCAGAGTCTACCTCTGATAGCCGGACCGAGCATGATAGTGACCCTGCTCTTGGATGAGACTCGGCCTGCTTCCCGTATGTGGCCTACCTCCTGAATGTGCCGCGCGCACCCGTTTACGAGCCATGCTAACCTTTCGCCCTTGAAAAGCCATTGAACTATACTTCGCCCGGTGTTTCGGCTTCAGTCTTCTCACAATTGCCGTTTTGACCATGATGCTGACCGGCTCCATCCCCCTGACGGCCGGGATCAGGGAGTCTGTGTCAACAGAGGACGACGATCCCAAAGCACCATACGCTGTGCCAACTCTGATGGTGACCTCTGTTTTCCACACCACATGTGCATTTTACGCGTACACCTGGTATGTTTCCGGTGGATCGGGTATATTTGCTGTTGGTGTTGCTGGATACTCTACTATTGCGGCCATTGGGTTGTGGTGCATGCTCTTTGGCAGCAGCAATGGAAGGATCAGTCGCCGTAACGGTGCAGACAAGAGGACAGCGGGGTTTCCTTTCAAGAACTCGGAAGCAGCGAAGAAACATAACAAGGGTCTGTAAGCTGCCGAGGCTGGAATCAACACTGCATCCATAGATTCAATGTGAATATCGTATCCCAGTGTTTTAGTAGAATAAATCTGCTATTCATCATTAATTCCAAAAAGATAATTCATAGAAGCCGTTTTTTTTTTGTACCTGAGATCCTCATGATGATCCGAGCTTCCCTTAACCCCACAATGCCGCTTCAACCGTCCTTCTTCTCCTCAAAAGCAGCACGCCTCTCCACAACTTTATATTGTTTACAAGATGGACTCTGAGCTACGACTGTCGTCGCCCCGCTTAGGACCTTCAATGTCAATAAATGATCAGTCTAACCTACAGTTAGGCCAATTTGACCCGGAATCGCAACCCTTCGGGCCATTCCGTCCCCCGACCGAAACTGAATCACAGCTCCAGAACGCGACGCATGCGTTTATTCGTCCTCCACGATCAGGCGAGTCGGCGAATAACTTCATCACTACGTCTCAATCCACACAGCAGCACCCAGGTCACCCTAGCAATGGAGTTGCCTCGCACTTACGACCGCAAGGGCAATCCTGTGGTTTAGATCAATCGCAGGACTACAATAATGGCGTCGCTCATGCAGCGAATATGAGTGGGGCATTGCATGGCGCTACTGCTGGACAAATGGCACCTCCAGCATCGCTGTCTCAAAACGAGCTAGCGATGGGAAACAACGCGCATCAAACTCAGAATAACAGCTTAACGCTGCAGTCCCAAGGCCAACCGTTTCAACCAGACTTCATCGAGCTGGATACTGGCTCCACGGATTCAGTGGCCTTCAATGGGCCCGGAGAACTGCAAGGCTTCAAAGTGGTCCCGAACCCTCCAAATCTGGATTACTGGAGAGATAGGTTATTCAACGTCGATGAAATGATCACCCTAAGCGAAGAGGAGTATGCAGGCTCCATTGTTGGAATGATTTATACCCTACTAGAGGCTGACTCGCACATTTCTACAGATTCCAAACCTACTTCCCCCACGTTGACAATGTATACTCTCATCGCTCCACCCAGCGGTACAAGCGTAAACCCTTTGTCTCCCATTACTGGGACTGTCGACTCAAAGGACGACCACCCGGAACCCCCAAATCCGACGACCCAGAAAAAAAGAAGCGCAAGCGTACCGCCAGAGAACGGGATCTCTGCCATGTTAAAATCAAAGTCGTGGAATACTTCCCAGTGTCCGAAATATCAAATTTGCCCGATGCAGTCGAGCCCTTGCCATCTAACATCTTACCTGGCATGTATACTTTCTCTCTGAATGACGACTCCGCGATCCGAAATGTCCAAACATTCGGTATGCTCACGCCCAATCCTGGTCTACCACCAAATCACCCGGGATCGAACGGTGGAAGATATTTCACTATACAGCGGGTGAATGGCAATGGTGCCAACGGGAAGAACGACGGAGTGAGCGGCGGTCATCAACATACGCTTGAAGAAAGTGATCGTGTCAAGAAAAGTAGTGTGCAACGATACATTCTGAAGGAAAAGAAAGATAAAAGGATGAGAGCGGTATGTTGATCCTGTTTTGTTGTGTTCAATTGCACAAGAGTATCCCCGCCGGCTACGTCACAAGTCTACATTGACTTCATACTTCCCACATGCGAAAGATCTTGTCTCATCCTTTTGTTTTCATTTCTATCATTTTTAATTGTGCAGATTTAACACGAAATACACAATAGGACCGAGTCATGTCTCGACCAGGCCAAAAATCATACCATACAAAAGCAACGGGTCTGGCCGCTGAAACTGCGATCAAACACTCTGCCGATGTTAATCTCAAGCTATTTGGGAGCTGCTTCTGGTGAGATCCTCCCAAATTTAATTGTTCTGACGAAATCTTGTTGTGTATTGACTTGACCTGCATTTGTAGCCCATTCGTGCAACGGGTATGGATCGCATTGGAACTGAAAGGTATCCCGTATCAATACATCGAAGTGGATCCGTACGAAAAGCCCCAGTCACTGTTAGAGGTGAATCCAAGAGGGCTTGTTCCTGCTTTGCGCCACGACGACTGGGGATGCTATGAAAGCAACGTGTTGTTGGAATATGTAAGAAACCCCGAAGAGCCAATTTCTCATTTTCCTCACTGATCAATCCCTTGCAGCTGGAGGACCTGGGTGTAGGGGCTGCAATGCTTCCAGTAGACCCAAAGCTGCGCGCCCATTGCCGATTATGGGCGGATCATGTAAGTAGACACACAGGTCTGTTCTGGATCATCGCTGATAGCCCTCCAGGTCAATCGGCATATCGTGCCGAGTTTCTACCGTATACTGCAAGAGCAGGACCAACAGAAACAGATCGAGAAGACACAGGAGCTGCGAGATGCGATGGAGAAGCTGCTCGAGGTAGCGCATCCTTCGGGGCCCTTCTTCATGGGCCCGCAGATGTCCCTTGTGGACGTTCAAGCTGCACCGTGGATCATTCGGCTGCGGCGGGTCCTGAAACCATACCGAGGATGGCCAGATGCCGAGGAGGGAAGCAGGCTGGCCATTTGGGTGAATGCAATCGAGACTGATCCGCATGTGCAAGCGACAACTAGCACGGACGAGTTGTACCACGACAGCTATGAGCGATATGCCCGTGAGTATCGCTCGCATGCCTTTTTCAATAGCACTGCTAACGCTTCATGTGACAGAGAACCGTCCAAATACATCCCAAGTCGCAAATGCAATTAACGCAGGACGGGGCCTCCCTTAATACCAGAAAAACGGTATCTGATGGCGTCCTGGGACGAAAAGGTGTTGGCCAAATGTACATTAGCCTGTTTTAGCACCTCGATTGAAATTGAATCCACCCCTCCCACTTGCATCAGGGCCTCGAGGACTGCGCACCGGCTGCTGTGGGGCTTGAGTGTCGGAGCCGCTTCGCTCGACTTGCGGACGGCCACCTCTCTGTAGGAAGGGTGCATTCGACTTGGAAGTAGAGGGATCGTAGAGATGTCTGGACTTGCTCGAGGTCGACGAGGAGTCTCTCTTCTGGTGATCTCTTCCGCCGCCACGTCCTTTTCCTCTGACCCTGCCCTCGCCTGTAGGGGTTTGACGAGGTGGAGTCGTACTACCGCCCGACGAGGTACCCGAGGCTGTAGCAGATGGGCTTCCAAATAGACGTTCGCGCACTTCTTCGTACTTCCGCTGCTTCTCCTCCCGATTCTTCAGTGCAATAGCATGGCGCTCCTCGGGTGTTGGCTGGGGCGGCTTAGTGTCATCGTCCGAGTCGTCATCTTCGTCTAGTCCGAGTCGGCCAAGGCCAGCCGTTGCGGCACTGATTGTTCTTGAAGATGATGAATGTCTTGTCACAAGCTGGGGTTTCCGACTCAGTAGTGTAACTGCGGGCTTGAAGTCTTGCTTAAGAGGAACATCGGCGCGCGCTTCGACGAAGTGAAATGTTTCTGCGGATTCACTGCAACACAATTCAGTCTCTTGAACAACCCAAAGAATGACAAAAGCTAGGTGGCGATTGAAACTTACGCTTCAGCCCATAGCTGACGATTGAACTCGGCCTGTTCCGCCCTGCGTTGCGCCTTGGTCACCTTGGATGAGACTTTCTTCTCGGCTGGCGGGGTAGAATTGGAGTCGAGTCTCTGTAAACGATGACGATCAGCATGCCACCACAGCTTACAAGCATTGAGTAGAATTTGATAGCAGACTAGTGTCTGTCCCAAATGTCACATAATTCCCTGAGATTACATACATCTGCTTGATTTTCCCAGGAATCCTCCCAGGCATCGGGAACTGCACCGGAGTTTGCGCTCATTGCACTCATAATGACGGTTGCAGGATTAAGAATAGAGAAGGATACTGAAAAAAAGAAGGACGACAATATGCTAAACACGAAGGCTAGCAATAACTCGTATGTTCATGCAGCATATAAACTGGGGAAGAAGGAAGAAGAAAATTCATGCGAGCCCCGGGGCCACCGCCTGTCGACCGTTGATCTCTCCACTCCCCGCGCCCTGAAGTCTGAGAACTTTCGAAACTACGAAACCGACCATCGAGCTCATTTCTGCTAATTCCCAACAATGGCGATTGGTAGGTCTCTCCTATTCCCTCACAAGCTACACGATGTAGCCGGGCACAGTGGGCCCCGCGATATCGATAGTGCTCCATACCCACATGTGCACCGGCCTCTTATTCCATGCTACAAACTAGAGACTCCGGGGTTACATCTACTAACAAACACCTTCTAGACCCTAAGGACCCAGACGGCGACTCTACCATGACCTCTTCCGTCGATTCCATCCGGCCCGACGACGGCGCTAGAGCCGGCGCTCGCACTCCAACTGGCACCGCCCAAGCTTCCTCGGCCGGCGTTGACGTATCGGAGCTTTCCCCTCCTGGCTCTCAGACAAAGCAAGAAGCTGGAGTCTCTGCTGGTGGCATTGGGGCTGCGCTGGAACAGCGCGGAGGAGAGTCTGCGGAGAAAACGGTTGACTCAAATATCGCGGCGTGGAAGAGCAAGCGTGCTCAAGAGGAATATCAGCGTGCTATGGAGTATGTCATTGATAAAGATTTCACGCTAGGTATGTGGCTTTCTATATATACTTCGTCTGGCTGGGTGGTTTCCATCCATGGATGTCTGTACAGTGTGCTGACTGGATGCCTTGTGTTCAGATGAATTCGGGGATCCTTTTGATGAACGTGACTTAGCAGAGAAGTTGCTATGAATCTCTGCATGTCGGAGACCATCTACTACCTGGGCAGCATAGATATGAATAATGAGATACGACTTGATTATTTAGCTTGTGATTCTTTTAGTACTTTTGGTTTACGATGAGCTGGCGGTCTTCGCTCACCTATGGTGACATTTGTACGCGGAATTGCTTCGAATCACTGCTATTCAACGTGGAGAAAAGCTGCTCCAGGCTCATTCGGTGCGATCTACAAGTTTCGTTGCCTACTACGCTTGTAGATGACTTTTCCGAAAAGACATCCTATACCCGAGCTTTAGGGAAAATATATGTAGGATATAGCAAATCCTCAGAGCCACTATATGATTCCAATTGGCTTTTTTTTCTCTATGCTTTTGTGCTCTAGTATTGCTATTTGTAGTTCTCAGTTCGTAGTTAGTAGCTTGCTAGTCGGTGAAGATATATAGTCAAGATATATATCGAATTATTTACTCCGTACTATTTGATCGCTGGCAAGGATTGCAATTAATCAACAGACGTCACCACAACCTCCAATGAAATCCCATACATTCATGCTATGATCGCCCGATCTCCACGTTGGGCTCTCCCATGCAGTGGTTGGCAGGGCAACCGGGGGAAAGACATCAAAGCAAAACCCCAACGGCCCGCTTCACGACTTTCACATCTATCACGACAATCCGACAATCCGACATTTTACTGAGGGGCAGGCTCAGTTGCATCCTTCGATTTGCATTTTTAAAGTAGATGACTTGGCTTGATTCATTTAACTCGAACATACTTGGTCCAACATTCCAACAGCTTTGACACATTCCACACGCGTCAACAATCATGGAAAACCATCCTCCTTCACCGCAGGCATGGTAGGTCAATTGTTTCTTTCTTGCTGCTTTTGGATTCAATTTTTTTCCTTCTTTCCTTTCCTTTGTCTTTGAATGATCATACTCGCCTGTCGCTCAGGTGTTTGGTCCCTTTTCCCCTATTTTGAGCCACACCGCTATACAGACTTGAGACTAACGCAACTGCCTTACGCGCTAGCAGCTCTGCCACAAATTCCACTGAAAGTTCCTTCAGTTTCACGCCTATCAAAGCCCTGAGCGCCTTGCCGCGACTGTGGGATCGTAAACCTTCTACGCCTGTCAGGGCCGGAGACAAAACACGAAAGCTGTGGAAGCGCATTCGCTTTCCGTTTACGAGCATGGTTACCACGACAGAAGTCCAGACTACGGGGGTCGGCGCCTCTAAAAACTCAGATTATCAGCGTGGCGTGAAGCGTCTGTGTGTTGATTCCACCGGCGTGGACCAAGACACTGAGGCTGAGCGACGCGGTCGGTCTTTCCTTGAGACTAAATGGGAGATGCAGGCATCTCGTAAACGACGTAAGTTTCTTCCTCGATTATGGGGGGGCATCTGCACATCGCACGTGGCATCCCGTGCTCCTGCATTTAGAAAGACCTTTCATCTGATAATTTGCAGGCAAAATGCCCGAATTCGATTTCAACATCCACGACGAGGGCTCCCAGGAGGTGTTTAGTTTCACTGCGAACCAGCCCAAGGAGACGCCCAATGATGCTGTCGGCGACGTAGCTACGAATGCGGCACCCCAGTCGCTCAGCGATCTGTGGAATACTTCCAAGACGCCGGTCTATAACGATGCCGTGGCGACCGACCTAAATCTTACTGCATCTGACGCGAAGACAGCGCAGTATGTGCAGTCTAGATCATGCAGCCAAGACGCGCCGATTGTGATCGACAATACAGGAGTCGACAACACCAACTTCGTGTCCACCACGGAATCCGTGCAAGCACTGACGCAAGAGCAGGAGGTCAAATTGGTACGATCGGCACTGCGAAGATCCTTGGATGGAGAGAATGCAGAGCTGCTCAACGACTTTCTGTCCAGGGCGAATGCGAAACGGGCCGCCAAGGCCACACATCCCGGAGATGCGAAATCAACGGAGATGGGTTCTAGCCCAGAGGAGTCTCCAGAAGTTAAATGCTCAACACCGCCACCACGCCGCGTGTTGGAGGAATTGACAACCAACTCACCTTCACCCGTCAAGTTGCAGTTCTCGCCTAGTAAATATGACGTCAAGCGTGGTGCCGATGGTGCGGGTGAGCGGGGGGATATTATCACCAAGGAGGATATCATTCCGAAAGAGATCATGGGAGAACAAGCTCCTGCAAGCCCTGCATGTCGTCGCAGCACCCGTACCAAAGGCGCGAATGCCCCGAGCATGCGCAACACGATCTCATTCCGCCGAGCCAAAGGCACGGAATTCGTTTTTCAACAGCGAACTGAGAGCCAGCAGATGGCAATGGCCACAAAGCGCAACACCCGGCTCAACAAAGGCAAAGCTGTAACTCCTATAGTCATTTTGCAAGCGTTGGCTCAACAGCCGAGCGAGGAAGAGCTGTTGCCATGCAATTTACAAAATGAGGGCTCGAGCCACCAGGACACTAACACCGGTGCACTGGCTAAATCGCGAAAGCAGGTGTCGTGGAATGAAGAGCGCATGGCCGAGTATGAAGAATACAGAGAGCCAATGGACGACCAGGAGGATGAAGAGGAGGGCGATCGGTGCACGAATGACGTGGGCGCAACGCCTCGCCCGCAAGCAGAAAGCAAGCGCTCAGCGAAGAAAGCAGAGTCCGGTCATCGCAGCAGCCGTAGCCAAACGCAAAAGGCCGACGCGAATGCAGACAGTGGGGCCACCGCGAGCGGTTCAACCCCGACTACTGCAGCTGCTACTGTAACCCCGCGCTCTCGCCGGGTGAGGCGTTTGGGTGATTCGGGAATTTTGGGGTCTGGACCCCCAGTTAAGACTGCAAGTCGCAGCACAAGCAAGCCTCCTGCAGCCTCGTCTATTGTGGCTGCTGCTGCCCCCTCCACACCTACCAAGGGCCGCCGCAAGCTTACTCCCAAGTCCCCCATTCCCTCAAAGCTTCCCGCACGAGCCTCCAAGAGTGCCAACACCGCGGACCAGCCTTTCGTCAGTGGGATCCCCACTCGCAGCTCACAAAGCACAGATGATGCACAGCGACAGAGTATGCTTCAGATGAGTGCCGGGTGTACGCCCACGGCTCGGCGCGTTCGGTCGAGATATTATTGATTGGATATGCATTCTCATTGGATTACGACTACTCTTCTGACCGTTCTATACCCCGGTTCCCATTGTGACGCTCTTTATTTATCGGGGGAGTTGCTCGTGTTTTAAGATACCAATTGCTGTTTTTTTTCTGTATTTCATGTATGCATTCTTATTGAATTTGTAAATTGTTCCCTTTCCTTCACCTTCATCTTGATCAAGATAAGATTCGCTGCACGGTTCACCTGCTTTATGCAAAATGACGTCTGTGCCGTCGCGCCCCCTCGGCTGCCCCTCGGCTGCCCCTCCAACCTTGGAACCTTCGGGATTTGTCTGAGGGATGGAATTTCCAATCTCAGAGGTTGTGCTGTCCTGTTTTCATTCGGACTACATTCGGACTACGATCTTCGCGTTGAAACCAATATTATGCACCTAACCGCATTGACAAGCTCTAATAGTCTGTTCCGTTGATCCCTCGTGCCAGCGAATCATACGAAGTACTCCGTATATACGGCTGCCTTCCAAGGCTGTTACCTGTACTGATAGCCGATACATGCTGATCTTTGTTCTGGTATTTGCAAATTGTCTCTAAACCGAGCTGGGATTTGCAATGTCTTTCATACAATGCGTATTGTAGATGCAGTTGTATCTCATATGGCGTCCTCGTCGAGCCTACCTTCTATGTTGTAACATGTCCAATATGAAGATTGGAATCCTAAACCAGACTGCTCCACCCCAATGATGCAGTACTCCATATGCTACCCACTCCCTATTATTGAGGCTAGGAAACAAGTTCACAATCCGGCTATGTGCATTCCAATCCTCCGAAGTTCCTCCCCATCGGCTCGTCGGTCAACCCGACCCAAAAGGTCTCAGATTAAAAAGTCAAAGAGCGTTTCATAGCCCAAACAAATGCGGCATTAAACCCCATACAGAATCACAAATAAATCCGATCAATCGGCCCAATGGAAAGAGGAATGCACGTACTCCGTATAGTACAATACAACATACATAGATACTACCTACTATGCACATGCAACATGCATACATACGGAGTCCTCCCCGTACCTATAACTATAACCATCACACCCGATAAACCAATAGCGAATAACCCCCCAAACCGCCAAGCCCCATTCCAACGAACCACCTCGGGACCACCACAATCAAACTATCCCCATCAACTACCCTTACCCTATTCGGCCTTTCGGTGTTAGCCACAAGCAGTATGCCATCCGACTGTAATCTGTAATCTCCAAACATCACACCCGCCATCCGATATCTCCCGGTGGTGTGGTCGGTAGTCAGCAACGCTAAGACCCGATGCGGTAAGTGCGCGCACAACTAAGCGCCTTAAGTGGCGCATGGGGTTCCGAGAGCCACATGGGTCAACGCGAGATGACATCGTCTGCAGGGCTCGGAGCAGTGTGCTCCTTGCTCCTTGTTTTGCATTTTGCACATGGAAATGAAATGGGAGTGGAATTGGAAATGATATCCGCTTTTTAGGGTTGTATTTTTGGGGTTAGGCCAGTTAAATCAGTTGAACAACTTACAACATACAATATATGTTGTACTATGTTATATACGATGGTTGTATGGCTTGTTCCACTTGGCTGCTTTTGTATCGCTATTTCCGTCTTAAGGTGTTGGTGTTGGCTTGGCTTTGGCCCTTGTCAGGTACGGTGTAACCCTACTTTGGCTTTTGGATTATTTTTCTTCGGGGATTTAATTATTGGTTGGAATTGTTAAGGTATGAAGAAGACATAGTCTATGTTGTATACTACACTGTTACAACGGGGTCCTTTTGCAAATTTTGCGTTTTCGGTACTTCGTACCACCTTCCTTAATATTGGGTAATCTTCCCAGTCCGGTTTGACTCGCCTTGATGGTGGATTTGGGGCGGGTGGTTGTGGCAGCCGGTGTATGAGATTAAGTGGTCAGTGTCAGATCAAATGGAAGAGGCGGCTCAAATGATACACAATCTACAGTACGAAGTACAGCTGAAACACAGTAAACACAATAATAGAGTAAGATCATGGTATGTCCAATTCATCTGATAGAGTTCGCTAGTCCTTTCATTAACTCATTTCCACCCACCCCCCTTGGGGTATTGCTCGGGGGGATTATTTTCGTCTTTTTGTAAGATGGTCAGGACCAAATCTAGTCTTTGTGGGGCGCAGTGTGAAGAGGCTCCTCGGGCCAGTTGTTGTAGCCGAAGGTCTCGTGCATGTTGACGAAGCGAGTGTGACGACCCTTGGCCACCGCATTCACAGCCTCGAAGTCTTCATCGGTGAGCTCAATGGTCTGGAAGTTGGACTCAATGCGCGCCGGGTTGGAGCTCTTGGGGACGACACTGTATCCACGACGCAGACCCCAGGCAATCAGGACCTGGGCGAGCGTGTGGCCACCCTTCTTGGCAACATCGTTCAGGGTCTTGTTCTCACTGACCCGCTCGCCTGTCGTGGGGACCTGGTTCTGCGAGCCCAGAGGCGAGTAGGCCTGGGGCAAGATGTTGTGGGCGAAGCAGTACTCCACCAAGGCCTCGTTGGGCAAGAAGGGGTGAATCTCAATCTGGTTGAGCATAGGCTGGACCTTGGCGTACTTGGCCATGGCTTCAAGCTGGGGGATAGTCCAGTTGGACACACCGATGGCCCGGGTCTTGCCATCGGCGTACAGCTTCTCCACGGCGCGCCATGTCTCCTCGTTGTTCTCGGTCAAATCTTTGAGGATCACGTGCTGGAACGGGTTAGCCGGGAGCTGGTCGTGTGCTTTGCGGGGAAAGCTCTTCTTACCTTTCCATCGGGACCGATCAACGGCTTACCCTGACCGTCCTTCTCGCAAGCAATAGGCCAGTGGACAAGGAAGAGGTCCACGTAGTCGAGCTTGAGACGCTCGAGAGAGTTGTTGAGGGACCAGAGGACGTCATCGTAGCGGTGCAGGTGGTTCCAGACCTTGGTGCACACGAAGATGTCCTCACGCTTGACGGAGGGGTTGGCCTTGAGGAAATCATGGATGGCGTCCCCGACCTCACCCTCATTAAGGTAGAACCACGCGCAGTCAAGCTGACGGTAGCCTACCTTGAGGGCAGTCGTGACGGCGGCGTAGGTCTCGCCCTTGGAGCCCTCGTTGGCGAAGGTACCGAAGCCAACGGCGGGCATTTTCACGCCGTTGGCCAATGTGTAAGTCTTTCCAGATGACATGATTGCAATGTAGTTGTTAGAGAACAGAAGGGAAAAAGTACGCAGAAAGTACGAGCTGTTGGAAGTAGAAGATAAAAGTGGGGGAAGCGGTGTTGGAAGTGGGGTAAAAGGGGTTGGAGGGGCAGAAGAACCTTGGGAATGGGAATTATATAACACTTTTTCAATTGACCTTGGAATTGCCGTAACGATGCAATCTACTGCAACTTAGCCTGACCTGCCCTGTTCCACCTGTCGATCCAAGCCACTGGCTCTGATCATCCTGCTCTGGCAGAGTCAAAGACACCATCGAATCCCCAAAATGACTAAAAGAAACGAAAGCGAGGACAAAAATAAAAAGAATAAAAGAAATCAAAAATCAAAACCCCAAAAAGACCGCTAGTAATTTTCAAAGCTCCGTGCGATGACATCATCAACCGAAACGGTGCGCTTGGCCTGATCGTCATCGGCTCCATCGATCTCATGTCGGCCCACGGGTGCACTGCACTCCAGTCCAATCGTCTGCCCGTCTCAGGCCTCTCTCTACCCACTCGGCGTGCTGGGTTGCTTCACATTCGGCCCAGCAACTCTGGTCCTGGCCAATCAGCGTCTTTCCGATTTTATTAGGCCGCGGGAAGCAACACGTCCCGTGTATTGGGTACCTAGCAAGACACGGTGCCAGCCACAATGACGCAGGTACCCTATACACGCCTGTCTCGTTGCGAGAAAACGGTCCACCCTATCGCTCGCCAAATGATGTCTTGCCAAATGATGACGATAATTCCTAGGAATGATGATACCCGGTGAGTGGATCCTTCGTAACCTCAATGGCAAAATACCAATTTCGTTTGTCTCCATTATTTGCGTCCGGTATCAGATATCGCTTGTATATATACTCTCCTGAACTCCCTCCTCCACCACCTCCCTTATCAGTCAATTTTCATTCCCCTTCTCCCTTTTTACAACTTCAATTCTTTCCTTGAGTCCTGAATCCAGTGACTCCTGAGTAGAAGCTCATCCCATCCTTCTACCCCTCTATCAAACTCCATCCAATACCTTCATCATGTCTCGCGTCGAGGACTCTGACCTCGCAGTCGACCTGGCTGAGCAGGATCCCCGCGCCCAGGATCCTCAGGGTGCTCTCTCCCCTCGGGACCAGCGTGCTAGCTCCGGTCTCGCCATCCCATCGGCAGGCGGTAACACCGTCGAGATCCCCGCCACCCGCAGCGCCATCAGTGATGCCGCTCAATTCATGCACAACTTGAGCTTGTCTCCCTCCATGAGGGACCGCCGGGGATCGCGTAACTCCTTTGGCACTTCGCTCCCTATCCCCCGCTCCCCCCGCATGTCCCGCCTCTCGTCCGTGCAGCGCGGTGCTCCCTCAGTCTCCCGCGATATCTTGGCCTCTCAGGTTCAGGATATCAACAAGGAGCTGACTACCAAGGCGAAGAACATGGCCTTTGCTTTCGATATTGATGGTGTGCTGGCACACGGTAACCACGCCATTGACGAGGCCAAGGTCGTCCTCAAGATCCTCAACGGCGACAACGAGTTGGGCATCCGCATCCCCCACATTCTCCTCACCAACGGTGGTGGTAAGACCGAGGAGGCTCGCTGTGCTCAGCTTACCGAGATTCTCGAGCAGCCCATCTCCACCGACCAGTTCATTCAATCCCACACTCCCATGCAGGCCCTGGCAGAGTACTACCAGACCGTTCTGGTCCTCGGTGGTGAAGGCTTTAAGATCCGCGAGGTTGCCGAAAACTACGGCTTCAAGACTGTCGTGCACCCCAAGGATCTCCTCGCCTGGGACCCCTCCATCTCCCCCTGGGCTACTCTCACCGAAGCAGAGAAGGCCGAGGCCAAGCCCCGCGACTTCTCCAAGATGAAGTTCGATGCCATCATGGTCTTCGCTGATTCCCGTGACTACCAGACCGATATCCAGGTCATTATGGATCTGCTGCTCGCCGAGGACGGCATGATCGGCACCAAGGCCAAGGATCCCGTCGCCACCCGCATTCCTATCTACTTCTCCCAGGGTGATCTCCTCATGCCCACCGAGCACAAGGGTCTTCCCCGTCTCACCCAGGGTGCCTTCCGTATCGCCATTGAGGCTCAGTACAAGACACTCACCGGTGTCGACCTCGAGCGTGTTGTCTACGGTAAGCCCGAGCGTGCTACCTACACCTACGCCGACGAGGTCCTGAAGGCCTGGATGGAGGAGCTCCACGGTGTTTCCCGTCTGCCCGATAACGTCTACATGATCGGTGACAACCCCGCTTCCGATATCATCGGTGGAAACATGTATGGCTGGAACACTTGCTTGGTCCGCACTGGTGTCTTCCAGGGCAAGGAGGGCGAGAATGACCCCAACAGCCCTGCCAACTTCGGTGTCTTCAACAATGTCCTCGAAGCCGTCAAGGCTGCCCTCGCCAAGGAGCTCGGCCCCGACTTCAAGCTCAAGTGGAACCCCAAGGTCAACCCCGTCACTCACGGCGACGGTGCCTCCGCCATTGAGTAAACAATTGATCTCTCTGATCATTTCACGCTGAAACGAAACTCGAAAAACATGTGATACTGGGCTTGAGAAGGATTTCCTGGCGTTTCGTGCTTTTTTCCCCCCATATCATAGACTTCTTTTCTTTCCATTTCTCTGTTAAGGCCTTCTGATATCCTTTGTCATGTCGATCTGGATTATCGACTTGATAGACTGATATTTGCTTTCTTTTTTTTACAATGTGGATGGTCGATGGTTTCGACCTGCTTTTTTCCCTTTTAGACTGGATTGCTACATATCTCATGTGCCATGACGCGAATAACCTTTTGTTTTGCTATATCCCGATACTCCAATACCATATCACCAGTTTTTATCATTGATGTCGTCAATTAAATATTCTTAATTTGTATTCCTTTTTCTAGAAAACTGGTGTATTCCAAAAGTTTGATTATTCCAGAAAAAGCACTCATTGACGACATGGTGATGTATTCTCCTTAGTACTAGACCTCTTGTGGAGGGATCTTCTATTATTTCCCACGTCTATATCCAGGTCTATCCATGGATGCGTGTAGTTAGTATTCTTTAATACTTGACTTTTACACATGAAAACAAGCGTCAGAAACAATATATTTACAGAAAATAATATCAAAATCCATATCCGTCAAATTTGTACACTTTCGTCTAGACCACGCCTGGACCACTAATGTTTCGGGAAACCTGGAACCAGAAGAAAAGCAACAACTAACGTAAGACATCGATACAACCGCCAGAGTGGCAAACAAATACCCGGCATTATCTCAAGACACGCACACTGTGAGTCGGGTAGGTACACAATATTTGAGCGGGCATGTATGTGCCTCAGCAACGAGGTATCGGACGAGTTTATTGTCTCGATTGCGCGTACGCTGGCTGAGTCGTTCTTTGGAGGGCGTTGTAAGCTGCAGCCTGCAGTTCCACCCATATATCATAGGATACATATTTGTATACAGAGAACTTTTGCGGGCTCCTTTGCTGGTTTGCTTGTTGTTGTCAGTAAGCAATTGAAGAGCGCATGCTATATCATAGATTCACACGAAAAGGGCGCCAGAATCCAGCTCTACTGATTATCCCACGATTTTGGACGCGAACAAGAAACCGGAAAGGCGCAAAACTTGTAGAGGAAGACTAGTGATATAAAGGAGGACTATGACAGTTAAGTCTAAGAAGACCAAGCTCAGATCAGAGCAGTTCTGTGATAAAGTATATTCAGACCCATTGCTCACCCAGTCCGCGACTATCTCATCGCAGTATTGATTGATCGAACTATTGTATAATTCAATGAGAAAAACCCATTGTATATCCTAGTGTAACTTACGGATCGGTCAGACATTTAAGACCTGTGGAATAAAGATAGCGATCCGTCATAAATGTGGCTGGCTACAATTTAGCACGGGAGTTGTGAGATAGCGACTCTAATAGACGAGTATCTTACTAGGATAAGCAATCGAACCACCTGGAACCATAACATCGGTTGCCTCAGTGCATGCAGTTTGAATGGCTTCTCGCAAGATCAGAGCGACATGTACTTTCACACAGGGCCACAAGTTGCTCGCTAGGGACAATATCAAAGCTTGCACTTCTGCTAGATATCAGCAAACTCAACCCTAATGACATATCTGTACCGTTACGATTCCAAGAAACATACTCAACTCCAATGTAGCCAACCCAGGCAGGACATGATGTTACTGTGGTATTGACTGCGTCGAAGCAGGCATCGCTCAGACCCAGATTATCATATGGCATTTGATAGCCATCGAGCTGTTGGTAGGTGACTAACATGCCAAAGGAGCCCATACAAGACACATGATTATAATCATTGTCGTTTCTTCGGTCACGCTTGTGTTGACCAGGAAGAAAAGGGAAAGATGAGATAAGCAATCCGTCGACGAGATAGTGCTTTAACAAATCCACTCTTCCTCCTTATTTCCTATACCACCGAGACCGGGAGGAAAGAAAAAGGAATGTCGCCTTCGAATGCTAAACTTTTCATTTTAGCCAAAGCTCCAGGCTAAACTAGGAACTTGACTAGTGGGCACAGCGGGACCCCAAGAACCTGCACCTCTTGTCGTTCCAAGGTCATCAATAGAATTTGTTCCCTCAAACTAGAACCCTATCAGGTCATGTGATAGAGACAAGGATTCCTTTTCGGTGGCTGAAACTCCAACTCCTTTTTTACAATTCTTAACAATGTTCAACCTATTCTTAACCGGGCTCGTGGCATTTCTACAACCTGTTTCTAGTCGTATAATCTCCGCATTACATCAGCGCTGTCTACCATGGAGCTCTCTAGCGAGCCTCGGCCGAATCACCAGAAAGCCATAACATCAGGAGACACGCAACATGGACAGCTATAGGCAAATCGTTGCCTCCTCCAAAGATCCCGGGGAAAAGCGAGATCTCCCATGGGGATTCTCGATCTACCACTGTTCTTACAGGGACGAGAGCGTCTGTAATCGTCTACTCCAGTACATAGAGGAACAGGTTAAAGCCGATCTTGAAGGCAACCAGAGAATGGACCTTCTACTACATCACCAGCTGGTCATCAACAATGACATGGCGAAAGTCAATAGTGCTACATCCCATGAGATTCGGAACCATTTCAACGAATGGGTTGCAGATCAACTGCCCCAGGTCGTCGCCAGCCCTGAAATGCTCGAATATCTCCAATCTCAGAAACTTCCTGATCATCTAGGTCCACAGTACGGCCTCGGTGCGCGGTATCATTTTGCCTCTTTGTGGACGATTTCTGCTTGGAGTCAATCAAGTATATCAATGATTATAGGTTCGATCCTGTTGTCAAGGTTCTGTCAGGGTTCTGGGGCAATATGACTCCCCAGGAGAGGGAATACCAAATTCATCCTGATTGGCATGATGGAGAAACAGATGATGAACTCGAAATGGCTGGCTGGATGTATATTCCCATACAAACTTATGTGCGGTCGTATGATGGTCTGGAACAGCCGGGGGATTGGGATGAATATTATGTACGGCCACCCTTGATGTTGAACGGATCCAGTGCATTATTACATCTAGACGAAGAGCTCGCTCAAATTGACCGTGAGTCCTGAGGTATATCAGTGCCGTCTGATATATGTGGTCTCTGGTTATGGTATAAATGCTAGATTAACCGAAAGACAAACCAGGGGTTTGAACTCACAATTTCAACGTAGCATGTCATTTGTTTATAATGTAGTGGCATTTGAGCACGAATTTTGGAATGATTAGTTCAAGAGGATCCATAGAGCAAGGAGAAGGATCAAGACAACATCCGCCTCCTTGTCTAGTTAGCAATGCGGAGAGGCTTGGCGGCATGCACAACTCCGCGGAAGCGCACCTTCATCACGAAGCATGCAGTCAAGCCCGATGCTGTAAAATATACTCACCTCGACAGGCAAATCCAAGTGACTCGCACCTTTGAATCTAGACTGGGTTGCATTGTTACTAGGCTGCATCTCTAGCGCGAGAACTAAGCCTTTGCCAACCCCGTTGGGCAAGTCGTACGAACCTTGGAATGATACAGTGCGAGTCAGCGAGCCAGCCGGTCCGACTTCAACCCGGAATAACAAGGCAAGAGATTGCAGGGATTGTTCTCTTGCCGTAGGAGGTAGGAGGTAGGAGACAGAAACGGGGTTGTATACCTACAACCTATGTTGTAGGCTTCGCTTTGACAGTGGATCAGGAGACAAGCAAAGTCGGTGAGAGTAGGAAGTATTCCGTATGGCGTACGTCGAATACGAAGATAGTACTCCGTACTAGCATCACCCAATTGTTAGACCAAGACTAGTGGATTGGTTCTCCATCGGAGCTCCGAAACCTCGAGATCATCCAATTCGCGTCTGAAAGGGGACAGCCGTGGCCGGCCGTACGTTGTGGGTTCTCATTATGTAATAGCGCCTGGATCCCCGCATGATCGGCTCCGAGAGAGGCGAGTTCTTGGGTTGTCGATGTACATGGGAGGTTTAGCTGCATGGATGGTAATGCGTTAGGTAAAAAGAACTCTGGGGTAGAGGAATCAGGATGCATGGGATTTGATCTGCTGACGTGTGGATATCAGATTATTATTGCGGAGCGAAGCAATTATATCATCCTACTATTTAACTACATGTCACTATTATTGTATTGTCTTATATGTTGTAGTTGTAGTTATTCTGTTCCAAATGTACTAATAGAATGACGGCACGTTTCCGCATGCGTCAAAAAAAGCAACTGGAGTCTGCAGGGGTAGCTCGAACTAACAGAACTTAATAGCTTAGTGATATAAGAAGTATAGATGTAGTAACTATAGAATTTATATTTATATTGCTCTATTTATATATAGATTACCTTCAGAATACTAAGAATACTATAAGAATACAATACAGATCCGTAATCAATCAGTTTATAAAAGTCGCCCCATGTGGCCATGACCCATGGCGCATTTCTTAGCATTTCGTACTCTTCGACCTTCCACTTCACCTCCATTCTGTACTTCGCCCAAAGAACCCCATAAACTCTTAAGCCCTCCTCTTCCGATCGGAGAAAACCCTGAGATTACCTCCAAATTCGTGTAACGTCGGTTCATCCGTTTCTGTGACTAACAGCTTCGTTTTTTTTTCTTCCCCGCCGCCCCTCTGGGCCCTAAACTTGCCCTCCGGTCTCAATACTTCTTTGACTTGACCGGGGCTTTTTTCTTTTCTTTTTCCAATTTGGAGTCCTTTCTCGTTTAAATTTCGGTATACCTTATTATTTTTTTCGTTTTGCCTGCTCTAAGGTACTCCGCGACTAGTCACTGTACACTTAGAGCCCTTTATAGAGGGCCTCTTCCTCTGCACCATGACCTCCGTTACTCCTGCTCCTTCGCAGACCAAGCCGGCCTTCCCCCGACTCTCTTCAATCCCCTGTGGTGATCACTTCCACTCTCGCGAGTCGTCTCCCTCGCCCTGCAGTACCCCGGACGGTTCCAGGTCGAGCAGCCAACGTCGTCCCTCATTCGGTTCTATTAAAGAAGATACGGAGGACGGTACGTACCGCAGATGTGCGAATCCAGGCTGGAGGCTGACGTGATCATGGGTAATCTTAGGAATCGCGCAATCGTTCGTGGACACGCGCGAAGTACCATCTCCCCAAGACCCGGACCAAGACCAAGAGCGTAAGATCGAGCGCCCCACCCAAATGCAGCAGGCCCCGGATTTTTGCTGTCCGTGTGGTGGATTCCTGGGGTGGAAGCAGATTCGATTGGGTGGGAAGAGTCTGAGCCGCAGCTACAGCGATCTCCGTGGACTCGGAAGCCTCCAAGCAAAGGGCTGGGCATGGGAAGCCCAGGAGCCCCAGACTATGGAGCTTCTCCCACCGAAGGTCCCCGAGGTAGAGATTTTGCAGACCCCTCCTGGTAAATCATCGTTGGAGAGGTTCCCGCCGGAGGTTCTTGGTAAGAACCCGCACTGCCGTTCTTGTTTCTCATGTGCTAACGTCTTGTAGATCAAATCATCTCTAACCTTGCCGTCGATCTCCCCCCAAATGGCTACGCCCCCCGCAACGTGGATTTGGTCTCGTGCCTGCTAACTTCCCATACGTTGCACGCTGCGACCTTGGGTGTCTTGTACAGGAACATGACTTTCCCACACTCCATCATTTTCTCCAAGGCACTGAATCACATGTCGCAGTATCCGGCGTTGGGAACATTGGTGCGCCGTCTGGACTTCTCGCACTTCACCTCCGTCGGCCTAGGTCGTACTAAGCAGATGAACGCAGAAATTCAGAACCTGACCTCCAAGACCCTATTGCAGTGCTTGGAACTCCTCCCTAATTTGAAGGAATGCCTGCTGCAGGAACACCTAGAGGGCGACATCAGTGTAGAAGTGGTCCGGAAGCTCTTTATGGGGCTGCCAAACTTGCGCGCTTTGGATTTCTGCGGTTGCTCGACTCAGGCTTTCTCTGGGGTTTTCCAGGAGGCTTTGGTCAATGGGCCTGCGCTGTCCATAACTTTGCCGAACCTGAAACGGCTCTCGCTTCACGAATGCAGCGCTATCCCCGCTCCCATGTTCGACTACCTCCTCCCGCGATTGGTCAACTTGACGCACCTCGACCTTACTCACACCCAGGTCAACGATTCAGCTCTCGTTGCCATCCCGGAGACTGCCCGTATCTCTCATTTGAGCTTGTCCCGATGCACGCGCCTGCGCGCCTGCGCCCTGGTTAAATTCCTTACCACCCACCCCTCGATCAACGATTCTCTCGTTTATTTGAACCTGTTGACGGACCCGACCCGCTTCCGTCTGCTGGAAGAGACCGATGTGTCTGCTCTGCTGCCGAATCTGCCTGAGACTCTCCGCTCCCTCAACCTGGGTGGAGCCAAGATCACTTCGGACCATGTACCACACTTGGTGCCCCTGACCAAGCACCTAGAGGAGTTGGGTCTCAGCTCTGCGGATCTCTCAGTTGCGGACGTCAACTCGTTCTTCAGTCGGTACCGCAACCCTGCCACGGGAGTTGAGGTCGATACTCCCAGCACTCTCTGCTATCTCGATCTTGCCAAGGTGCCGCAGATGACTATCGGAGCCATCTTCAACACCAGTACTTGTTTCCTGCTCTCCGACAAAAGCTATCCCTTGCAGGTCGTTGAATTCAGTGACAAAATTATCACCCCGCTGCGTGAGCGTGCGAAGACCCATCGCGCATCCGTTGGCTGGACTGTGCGAGACCTCGGCCGTCGTGGCTGGTACGTTCGCGAACCCTCCTCCATGCCCCACGAACCCCTCGACGATGGCGCCCGTTACTGGAAGATGGGTGCACGCTGGTGGGGTATGCGCAAGATCCCCATGGCCACCGGCGAGGTCGGCGGCCTCTACGGCCACTACATGTTCAAGAAATGATCTACTATGAGCGTTCTGTTCTCAAAAGCGTCTTCGCTGGATCCTTTTATCACTTGTTGCTGATACCCTTGATTTGATATCCTTTATTTTCATTTGTGTTTTATTGGAGGGCTCGCTTTTCTTGCTTTATTGCTTTTCACCTTTTGCTTTTTGTTTCACGATGAATGATAATATTCGGTCTATGCATGGCGGCGCGCAACATGGTTTACGAATTTCGGCATTCTGGCTCCTGGCTTCGGGTTCGTGTTCTCGGTCGCGTTTTGTCTTTTGGTTTTGCATAGCATCTGAGATCTATCTCTTCCGGTGTCTGGTCTTTCTATCTTATATCTCTGGCTTCATATGGCGTTACTGTATTTATCGGGATTTTACTCTGCTCATAAATACCTATCTAGTCTCTACTTCATCTCTTATAAGTTCAATATAGTTGACTCGATCTGATAGCCCTGTGTCTTGCACTTCATTGGGAAGGAGCCAACCACCGTCCCAAATAGGCAACTACCTGGGACAACACCCAGGGCACGCGTTCTCCAGAAAACGCGCCCCTCCATTTTATTCTTTCTCACACAGATATTTTGCTTTGTTTTCTCAACCATCCTGCTGAACTGCCCCTAGTCTACCACTCTTCAGCATGCTTCTTTCACTCCAGTGCTATAGGTAAGTTGTATTTCCCATGCTCACTAAGGACCCCGAATTTAATCCAACCAAGAGGACCTCCTCCAATACCACAAGGAACCGAAAGCCCAGCCGGGAAATGAAGCATTTTGGGTTGACTCCCTCCTCTCTGCTGTCCATTTCCAAGTCCTGAAGAGACACATTCTCGAGTCTTCGACCCGGGACCCCCCGTCTATGCGCGGGTCTTCTTACCTGGGTGTTTGCCTTGGTCCTGCCAGAGCTAGCGCATATGGGCTTCCTGTGTCTCCCTTTTAGTATGGGACGGAGAACAAGAGCATCACTTTCATCGCTGTGATGTAACCCTCTGGGACTTTGCATCACGATGAAGTCGCTGAGGAGATGATCGACCTCCCGGGTGAGGTGTTTTACATGCGTGCTCTAGCATGGCTATCAAAACTAATCGGAGAAAGGAGTGGCTTCTTGCTGAGCAGAGGCTTCTGAAGAAAGAGCACATGATTGCATTGTCGGTGACGGCGTTTCTGAATGTGCCATCATATTGCTGAGGAACTTCGACGCTCAGCTAAGGATGTTGCTGGTGGATGCTAGATTTGAGGACTACAACAACGACCACCTAGTCCTCAAGAAAGAAATTCGAAACGCAATCCTGCAGGAAGCCAGACCTATCTTTGAGCAGATCGTCAAGGAGGAACAGGAAAACAGGTTGGAGAGCTTTCTCAAGGACCGAAGGATATTTGCCATTTGACAACATACCGTCCATGGCAATATTTCCCTCAAAATTGATCTTCATGGTTGGATGCCTTGCATGGGCTGGTGCCATAGTTGATTGTGATGAATTTTTTGTTTGTGCTCTTTCCATAGGAATCTTTCTCTCTACATTCTTCTCCTCACTTTGTAAGTCATTGATATCTCTATCTACTGTTATTTTTCAAAAAGGGCTTTGGCAATGTAATTTGTTCTCCGTTAGAATTCCAGCTTCATTCACTTAGGGCTTGGCTCCCAGGTGACGCTTGGCAAACGTCAAATGTCAACGTCATGTGATGAATCGCAGAAGAGCCGCATTTCTCATTATTGGTTTCACCTCTACACGCCCTGTCTCTCACGAAGGTCTCAGACCCCCCTCGCCAACTTCCGCCCTTGGGGAATTGCTCATCCCGATGGGTGGATTCGTTACCGCCTTTGAAGACAGTGGAAGCTGTCCAGACACGCGACGATGTCACCTCCGAGCGGAGCGGCCTCTTACAAGAAGAAAGATGGGACCCTAGCTATATCCGCCGATGAGAAGTCGGTTTCATGGAGTCCTGCGGTCGCAGGGGCCGGGAATACGATCACAATCCCCGTGGTCAACATCACTAGTATGCACCCACCCCACCATGCACAAGGTTTGTCTCTTTGCTGACTCGCGCGACTGCTAGATCTACAACAGACCCCAGCCTCGAACCCGAAAGTGATGCTCAAGATCTTTTCCCAAGCCCCCGATGCGCCTCCGAATAGTACGCCCGATCAATATGTCTTCCTGTTCACGGCTGGAGCAAACGCCCGCCCGCAGGCCGATGTCATCAAAGACACATTGAGTGCTCGAGTCAATGCGGTGAAGTCGGGCACGCCATCCCAGACGCCGGGAGCAAGAGGTGCGTCTGAGGGACTGTCCGCGGCGATGGCGATTGCGAATGCTGTGACGTCCGCCGGGACATCGAAGAACCCCGTGGACGAGGAGAATAGGCTTCGGTCCGACATAGAACTGCAGCAGTCGCTATTACGATCTGATTCGAATCTGCAGCGGATGTTTTTCGAGGGGTTGCATACGAAACCGGAAGCGTTGTCGTCTGGATCGTTTGTGTCGCAGTTTTGGTCAACACGACTGCATTTACTGCGCGCGCACGCAATCGAACAGGGCCAAATCCGTGGCTCGTATAATGTGTTGTCTTCACTCAAGCCGCGAGTCGAGGATAATGTCACGCGGTTAAATATCAGCAAAGAGCAGATCCAGCTCATCTTCACGCAGCACGCACTGGTCAAACGCGTGTACGATGAGAATGTGCCTAAGCTCAGCGAACAACAGTTCTGGTCGCGGTTTTTCCAGAGTCGGCTGTTCAAGAAATTGCGCGGAGAGCGGATTACGGAGGCTGATGCAACGGATGCCGTGCTGGACAAATATCTCCGGACGGACGAGGCTGCTCAGCCGGACCGCGACACGAATATCCATCACTTTTTGGATCTGGCTGGCAATGAAGTAAATCACAGCGAGCGTAGCGGAAATCGGCCTGATCTAGATATGAGACCGTCTGGCCTCGACAAAGTACCTATCATCCGGACGCTGAACAGCTTGAGTGAAAAGATCATGGCCAACGTGGCTCCGATTGACGGTGATATGAGTGCCCCGATAGGCATCAACGAAGAGGCATGGAAAAGACTCCAGCTGCAGGATCTTTGTAGCGAAGAACATCAAAGTCCCATCACTCTGAACATTCGTGATCAAAGTCGTTTCTTCACTCATGGCCAAGAGGAGGATAAGACCAAGCAATTCGTGAAACAAGATCCGGAGCAGCTTCTGCAGATTCTCCGTACGGAGATTAATCAAAATCTCCCATCGCAGGGCAATACACAACTAGGCAAGCTGGTGGACCCAGGCGATGACGAAGACGAGGAGATGGAGGATGCACCTGCCAGCCGTCGCCCTGTCGGCTCATCTGCTGCTCTCCACGATGCATTTTCCCAGATCCTGGAAGCGTTGCGTGAGCGTCGTGCTCAGATGAAGGAGCGAGCGACATCAGAAACATACGGGCTGTCGATAGCGCTCTTTGACCGCTTGACGTTGACACACGCTACAACCACAGAGTTCCTGCACCAGTTCTGGCAGGCGTTTCTCTCAGGCAACCCCGACCGCGCTGGAGAGGTTGCGTCTTTAGCAGAGTCTCTCCATCGAGCAATGGAGCGTATTAAGGCTGTTGCTAATGACGCAGAGGCTGAGCGGAAGGTCGAAGTTGACCGGCTGAAGAAGCAGGCCCGTGACATGTACGAGAGCACGGGGCGAAAATTGCGAGTCAACTTAGAAGGCGTGGAGGGGGGCCAGAAGGTTGTGAACCAGCTTCTTGGTCCTACGCTCCATGCACTGGAGGTTGCATCGACTCGATATCAAAAAGAATTGGCCGAACAAAATAAAGAAGCGGCCATGGCTGCTCAAGACACGGCGGGGACATAGAAGGGAACAAGCCAGGCGTTTGAGATTGGCGCATGGGATGTATAATATGATAGGTTATAAGAAGTTCAATGATTCATTCATACAGAGAAACAAATCTCGATATCTCATTAATCTACATAGCCAAGTTTGTCTACATAAATGACATAAAAATGATCACAGATCGGCATGCCGAGCTTCCCCGGACTTCGGGACCTTCATGCCATCTGTCCCCTCAACTAACTACTACACTAAACCTTCTCCAACTCCCCCTCTCCCCAAAATCGGATGATTCTCACACCAGATCCACACTGAAGAAAAAAAAGGGGCCTCAAGATGCTCACCTCCGGCCTCACAAATGCGCCCCTCACCAAAGCGCTCCTCATCTACACGATCGCCTCGTCCATCGCTCTCTCCCTCTTCGACATAAAACACCTCGTCGTGATCTATGTCTCGCCCCATTTCTGGCCCTACTCCCAGTTCTGGCGCGCATTGGTGTGGCAGGTCGTTGGCTTTACCAATTCCAGTGAGGCCCTCTTCGCCGCCATGCTAGTTTACCATTTGCGGGTTGTTGAGCGCGCGTGGGGGAAACGGAAGATAGCGGTTAGTCTTTCTTTTATTGTCTCCGTCCCCGCAGCTATGCGAACCATATGCTACGGGAAACAGAGAAGCCAAGCCGAATGGCTTCATATACATACGACCTATGCTAACAACGATAACTGCTCGCTAGACCTTCCTGCTCACCACACTCCCCTACACAACTCTCCTCCCACCAATTCTCCTCGCCCTGCTACTCCGGCCTCTCTCCCTAAACAATTTCAATTACCTGCCCTCCGGCCCAACAGCCACGATCTTCGCGCTGTTGGCGCAGTACCACGCCACCATCCCATACACATACCACTACCGCATCGGCTCCACATCCACATCCTCCCCCACCACAACAAACACCACCGACACCACCACCAGCAACGATCCCTCTACCGAAAATACAACATCCCCATCCGACCCTAAACCCCCACCACCAAGCCTCTCCCTCCTCCTCTCCGACAAATCAACCACCTACCTCGTCGCCGCCCAGCTAGCCCTCTCCCAGTTCCCCGCAATGCTCCTCCCCTCGGCCGTGGGCTGGATCGTCGGCGTCGCCTGGCGCGCGGACCTGCTACCGGGTCTGTCGCCGGCCAGCACCGGATTCCGCGTTCCGGCTTGGGTCGTTGGCGAGCAGGAGCGGAGGGGTGGGGCTGGGGCTGCGTCTGGGGCGGAGAGGGAGAGGTATGAGGATTTGCGACGGAGATTGGAGGGGGAGGTTGCGGCTTCGGCTTCTGGGCTGGAGGGGTCTGGGGCACAGGCTCAGAGACGGGCGAATACTGCTGGTGAGGGTGGTGGGTTTGTTAGTCGGTTGACGCGTGATTGGTAGTTTCGCTTGTTTTTTTCTAAGTGAGCTTGCATGCAAGGCTTGTCGGGCATTTTCTATCTGGTATAGATGTATGATTGAGATAGTTATTGGGTCTTTTGTAGGAGGTGCTAGCCCGTCCTCAAAGCCCTATATTCGTATATCATCATTGATTCATAGTGTCCCCCAAGTTCAAAATCTCACCAATTCATAAATATACAATACGATAATACTTGATCAAAGAAAGAAATGCATAAAGTCTAGAATCTCAACTAGCAAGGCCGTATCTCCGCTAGAGTATGTGCCAATTGAAAACACCACATAACGCCATACATCATGTCTATAACCCTGAACGGAATATTACCGTCCATTGCGACTCCGTCTCATATTTTCCTTGCACTCGTTACAATACCATTTTACTAATAGAGACGAGACTGTTAGCAACCTGTATGATTCCAAGGCAAAGAAAAACCTCTTACCATTCTTCCCAGGCGGTTTCGTCAAGCCCACACACGACAAATGGAACCATTCACGCGGACACGCGTCATTGTCGCAAGCAACCATCTCGCCGAAACTGATTTCGTTACAGTAACAGTAGCGCGGCTCGCCCTCTTCGTCTTCATCGTCGCCCTCGTGGAGCGACTCGTCGTCGGAGGGTATTGCAGGCTGTGGGATGGGCTTTTTCTGGGTTCGTTTGGTAGACGCTGGGTCTCGACTTCGCGTGGGTCGTGCGTGTTGTTGGCTGGGCTCTGTAAATGCGGTGAGGACAGGCGTTGATGTCTTGGAATTGCGTCCCTTGGTCGTCTCGACCTCGGCAGAACCGGATTTTCCATCCAGATCATCGCGCTTGGTTCCTGCTGGAACGGATGTTCTACCGTTGGCATCACCGTCGTAGTCACGGTGTGGGTCTGGGTGGACAAGTTCATTTTTAACGGGTCCGTCCCGGGGTGTAGATCTGGAATCGGCAACTTTGTCTGCGTGGAGGACATGGTTAATTGATAGTTCCGGGGGAAGTGGTTGAAACGGCATACTGTTGTTAGGAAGGTTTGAAGCCGATGACGATGGCCGCGCACGCGAATTGCCTGGTCCAGAATTCTGGGCTCGTGAAGACTGTGGCCTTGTTGTGTTGGGTCCTGGACTAGCGGCAGCCCGTGGGCCATTGAATGTTCCAATCAAAGGCGATGGGGCCAGAACAGGAGATGCAGCACTAGAAGCGTTGGCCCTAAAAAAAAGTCAGTTGGATGCAGCAGTGAACACAGCGAAATGAGACGTACTTCTTCCGGGCAGCAGCGGCCGAATTAGGAGCGCGAGTCCGCTTCTTCTCTACTGGTTCTTTATTCGCGGCTCTCTGGCTCCCAGCACCGCTAGCAGAGCGCTCCATCGGAGCACTAGTGTCAACTGGCAGTGAGCGCTCCACCTTCCGACGTTTGGGTGCAGCGGTGGCGTCAGCCGCGTGATCTCCACCCCGAGATTTCGCATTGTTGTTCTTGCGGGTGCCCGAGCTGCGCGTATCCTCATAGTCTGCGTCGGCCTGTGCCCGACGTTGTTTCCGAGCCAGAACAGCATCGCGCCGCGCCTCACTGCGACTAGCAGCTTCAGCCTCTTGGAGCACGTGCGACAGATCCTGTCTTTGCGCTACCGCTTCCCGGCGCGGACGTTCATTAGTCGCTGCCTTCGCGGTACTCTTGTTGGAGTACGCCCAGTGTGTCAAGCTGCCCAAGCGAGCCTCCTCGCTGATCTCGCCTGCAATGTATGGGAACACCGTATCCAGTCGGACAACCTGGCGATCCAATTCCTCGTTCGCGTTCGAAATGACGTGATTCTTCTCATCGGCGGTCATCATCAGGTCGGAGAGGCTTTGGCGTACACGATCGAAGAGAAGCCGACGGCTTTTGCTCTCGGATGTTTCCGGTGATTGGGATAGTTCCTGGCGCAAGAGTGGCGGTATTAGTAGACGCCGAGTAGACAATTAGACGAATCGCGCGGGAAGCTCACCTTGGGCAAAACATCCTCCCGAATCACACCCCCAACGATAGGCGCCGGGTGTGGGGGATGAGGAACGGGCTGCGACTGGGAGGAGAACTTGAGTAATTGCAGTAGATTTTCCTCGAGAGCCCACGCCTTCGCATCAACTTCCTTGAGAAGAGAGTTGTGGCGACGGAACTCGCGCGGAAGCGCTGTTATCGCATCGGTGAAATGCGTGAGCGCAGGATAGAAGCCGTGGGGAACAGGGGGCGTGGAAGGAATTTCAGCTGTCGAGCTTCCGCCGAACGCGAAGGATGACCGTCCGGTGGTTTTGGAGATTCGAGACGGGTTTGTACGTGTCTGACGGGCGGACTGTCGGATTCCTTGGCCCGGCGTATTGTTGACTGACGACGAGACGACGGACGTCGTGAAGGGCATAGTTGTTGAGACTGGAGCTGCGCCGTTGGAGGAGAGTTGAGGTGAGCCTACCCCAATTTGAGGAGGAAATTGTGAGATCTGAAGAATCAATGGTGTTCAGCAATGACCTGGGACCATGGACAAGAGTCAACACCTCGCGTAGCAACAAAAGGGCATCGATGCAGAAGAAACTACTGCTGAAGTTTGCGTGCGGAGAAGAGCGATTGGCAATCGAATCAGGTGATATAGGTGCCTGCAGCATTAATCAGGCATCAGTTGCTGAATCATCCGAGCATGTGGGTGACGTCATATCAGGAACATCGCATACAATCAATGCAATTAATGCAATGCATGTGAGCTACGGTGATTTGTTAGAAGTTTACTCTGTAGAACATTACAAATTACAATTAATGCAATCGATGACATTATAAGTGGAAAATAAATATGCGTCTAGTCAAGGATTCTTTGTATTTTACATATAGCGTGAATCTAGGTATAGAAGGAGACCTTGTATTAGGACAACCAAAAGACTGTCCTAGCATAGCATGACTATGAACCTAGGACACATCTAACACACAAAGGAAATCAGAACAATAAAAAGAGGTAGTACAACAACGAATTACACGGTAGGTTCTAGGAAAACCGATGAATATATGACACCCAACTCAATGCAAGTGTCGGTGCAAGATGCCAAATATCTCATCCACAGAAGTCGGATCAAATCGCTAAAAAGGCATTTACTCGTTCTTCAGGTGATCCTGTTCAATAGAGAAAGCATCCTCAAGGAACTCCTGCTCCTCCTTGAGGTGGACGGCCTTGAGACCGGTGGCAACGGAAGCGCTAGGAGCGCGACCGGCGTACAGGACATGGCGGCGGTGGTGGTGCTCGGTAGAGTTGAGCAGGGTTTCAAGACGGGGCTGGGTGTATGACCAGGAACCGGCGTTGAGAGGCTCCTCCTGGCACCAGACGATGTTCTTAGCGTTGGGGTAGCTGTCCAAGTTCTCCTTCAGCTGAGCCCAAGGGAAGGGGTGCAGCTGCTCAACACGGGTGATGGCAGTGTTGGTGATCTTGTTGGCCTCGCGGTGCTTGATCAAGGCAGCGTAGACCTGTCCAGAGCACAGGATAACACGCTCGATCTTCTCGGGGGCGTCGATGGCGGCGGCGTCATCGGGGATGATCCACTGGAAGTGGGACTCGCCTTCCAGGGCCTCGATGTCAGAGCGGGCAAGGGGGTGACGCAGCAGAGACTTGGAGAAGAAGATGACCAGAGGCTTGCGGAACTGGCGGTGGATTTGGCGACGGAGGATGTGGAACAGGTTGGCAGGGCTGGTCATGCAGGCGATCTGCATATTGCAGTCCTGGTGCTGACGGTCCAGCTTGTCGGCCGAGGGGAACACACGGGGCTCCTCGTTGCAAAGCTGGAGCCAGCGCTCCATACGTCCGGAAGAGTGCTCGGGGCCCTGGCCGTCATAACCGTGAGGCAGAGACACAACCAGGCCGGAACGCTGCAGCCACTTGGATTCACCAGAGGCGATGAACTGATCAATGATACACTGAGCGTTGTTGGCGAAATCACCGAACTGAGCCTCCCACATCACAAGGGCGTTGGGGGAGGTCAAAGAGTAACCGTACTCGAAGCCGAGACTAGATTGCATGTTAGAATTATTATTACGCGGGGGAAGTCGACTTCAAAAACCTACCAACCGTATTCGCTCAGGGAGGAGTTAGAGATGACGAAGCTTCCCTGGTTCTCACTGACGTGGTGAAGGGGGGTGTAAGTGCTCTCAGTCTCCTGGTCGTGCAGGACTGCGTGGCGCTGGGAGAAAGTACCACGCTCAACATCCTGACCGGAGACACGGACGTGGTAGCCTTCCTCAACGAGGGAACCGAAAGCGAGAGCCTCAGCAGTGGCCCAATCGATGTTCTTGCCCTGGTCAACGGCCTTCTTGCGTCCACCCAAAATACGCTTGAGATTGTGGTGGAGCACGAAGCCCTTGGGAACACCGTCACCAGAGATCAGGTCACCAATGTGCTGTAGGTTCTTGGCAGGAACAGCGGTAGGCAGGTGAGGCAGGACCTCATTGGCCAGCTCCTTGGGAGACTTGAAGTTGTTCCAAGCGGAGGTCAGCCACTCCTTACCAGTGGGCTGGTAGTCATCGCTGCGATCGAAGCTGTCGGCGAGCATTCCCCAGACCCACTTCTTGTGTTCATCAATGTCCTCCTTGGTGAAGGTACCCTCGGCAATCAGCTTATCGACGTACTTGTCGAGCTGAGGCTTCTGGGCGGCAATGCGCTTGTACATAAGGGGCTGGGTGAACGAAGGCTGATCAGTCTCGTTGTGACCCTGCTTACGGTAGCAGACCATGTCAATGACAACATCACTCTTGAACTCAGCGCGCCAGTCGGCAGCGACCTGGCAGATGTAGTTGACAGCCTCAACATCGTCTGCGTTCACGTGGAAGACAGGGGCGTCGATGGACTTGGCAATATCGGAACAGTAGGGGGTGGACCGGGAGTAACGGGGATCGGTGGTGAAACCAATCTGATTGTTCACGATAAGGTGGATGGTACCACCGGTGGAGTAGGCAGGGAGAGAGTGCATTCCCATGGTCTCGTAGACAACACCTTGGCCAGCAAAGGCAGCGTCACCGTGCAGCAGAACACCCATGGCGGTGTCGAAGTGAGACTCGTCCTTGTTGTAGTGCTGGATAGCACGGGTCTTTCCAAGAACAACAGGGTCCTCAGCCTCGAGGTGAGAGGGGTTGGCAACCAGAGACAGCTGCACTCGCTTACCGGAGGGAGTAGGGCGCTCAAAGTTCATACCCAAGTGGTACTTGACATCACCGGAGCCCTCATCAGAAGGCTCAGTAGAGCCGGAGAACTCGCTGAAGATGGACTCGTTGGGCTTGCGGACGACGTTGGACAAAACGTTAAGACGACCACGGTGAGGCATACCAATGACGATGTCCTTGATACCGTAATCGACGCTGCGATCGATCAAGGCCTTCATACCGGGAACCAGGGTCTCGCAACCCTCCAGACCGAAACGCTTGTCGTTGGGGAACTTGGTAGCGAGGAATGTCTCGAAGCTGGAAGACCAGATCAGACGGTCAAGGATGCGACGCTTGTCGTCAACCGAGTAGCTGTAAGGCTGGGGGACCTCGAAACGATCACGGATCCACTCGCAGGGCTTGCGGTCGGGAATGTGAATGTACTCGACACCGTAAGAGCCACAGTAGATCTTCTCGCAGGTGGCGATGATCTCGCGCAGAGTCATGGTCTTGCGGGTTTCGGTGATGAAACGGGGCAAGATACCGGGTCCAAGGGAAAACTCCTGGTCCAAATCACGCTCAGTGAAGCCGTAGTGGTCCAACTCAAGCTCCTTGGGCTTGTCGTAGCCAAAGGCCTCGGCCTCTCCGCGAATGCCGAGAGGGTCGATCTTGGCCTTGTGGTGACCACGCGCCTGGTAGGCGCGGCAGAGCAACTGGACCTTCAAGTGGTTGGTGACGTCAGCGCCAGCGTGGAGGCCCAGGCCGGGCATTTCCTGGGGAACACCACCGGTAGGGGTGGGGACAAGGGTAGGGGGAGGAGTGAAGGCCTGGGAGATAGGCATTTTGCCCTCTTCCATGTTCTTGAAGTACGCCTGCCATGAGATGTGAACACTCGAGGGGTCGTTCTTCCATGCCAAGTACATCTCATCGATGTAATTGGCAGTGCTGCCAGTAAGGAAAGAATCGTTGGGGTCCTGTTCACGTAAGAGCGATCGCGCCGTCGCATTAGTCGAATGCCCGTTGATATATTTGAACTACCGGGGAAACCGGATCGGATTGACACCGATCATGAGGATTGTTGTTGCTTACCACTCCTTGACTAGGTCCCTCCGAGGAGGCCGCATAGGACCGGGAACCGTTGAAAGCACGGTCGACAACAGCCATAGGCCGACGGGCGGCCAGGCTGAAGCCGGAGCTTTTTGACGTATTGCGAGCAGCTGTGGCGAGGTGGAATGAACGCCGGCATGATGAAGAGGTCGCACCACGCAGCATGCCGCTGTTGGTGGCCTTCAAGGCACTGTTTCTGAACATTGCGGGATTTTCTTGGATCAAGGTCCAATAAAGTATTTCGAATTTAGAGGAGAGGAGAGGGGAATTGGGAAGACACTAGTTCGTGTTTCTGACCAAAGAGACGTTTCAGAGTCAGGTTCACTGTATGCTATCGTGTTAGCCTCGAATTGCCAGGTTGTCCTGTAGTGCGAGCAAGCCGGAATACGGAGGAAAGGAAGGGACGTAAGTATACGTACGAATTAAATCACAAATCAGGTGTCGACTAGTATTGCCGTAGCACCTGTATAGACGCGGGACTCATCAGAGAGCTACAACGCTCTAGATAAGAAAATAAAGTTAGGGGAAGTGGTAGAAGAAAGATGAAGCGAGAGAAGAGCGCAAAAGGATGAGCTGCCGAGAATGACGGGTGTGACGGCAGCTGAAGCTGGTGTGCTGAGTCAGCCCGAGTTACAGCCGATGCAGGAGCCACCTATCTAGCCCTTTCGACCCTTTCGACCACTTTCATACGCAGAACCTCGGGAGAGCCCCGAAGATGCCCACTGCTTTCCGTAGCCGGCTAAAGCTTTTGGGCTGTTGTCCGGGAATTTTCGGCCCAATGGCACTGGAAGTGATTGCGATTACATACATCTCCCTGGCTTCCCGGATTTCCCTGCTTTTCCAGCGCCAAGTCTTTTTCTGGCTGTGAGATCTGGTTGGGATCGGAATTCAAGCTTTGTTTCTATCAGATTGCGATCGCTATTAAAATTAACGTATGAACCGACAGTCGATAATTCATGAAATCGTCACACCGCACAATGGCCATATGCAGAGAAATAATAGATCGTTAGAGCCAGATTTACGGATGTCAGGCACCATATTACAAGACATTGAGTCGCTGAGGTCCACTGTTGGGAATTTCTTCAGAATCTGGCCGCCCGGACAACGGCGAAGTAGTACGTGGATGACTGTCGTCATGGAAATAACCGACACCATTGGAAACTCCCTCATCGGGGCTGAAAGGCCTCGTTTCAGAGACCGTTGGGCTTGCTTCGGCACCGTTGAGGCTGGCGCGGTGAGAGGGCGACAGCGGATGCGGTGGGGGACTACCTGCACTGCTGCGTAGGCTACCGTTGCTCCCGCCCCAAGCCCCACGGCGTAGCTTCATGAGCGCGCCCAGGGTCATCTCATCGTCGAGACTGCCCATGTCAACCAGCTGCGCCAGCCCGGGGCTCGCTAGAGCTGAATTTGGATGCGTACTGCCGTGGGCCTTGATGGAAATCATAGAGTTCCGTGTGCTCCATTCGCTCCGTTCAGTGATAGGGGTCAAACTGGGTTCTTGGAATTTCCCGCGGCTGCTGTGGTTCCGTGTGATGCCTTCGACCCGTCGCGGACCGAAGTATCCACCGTTGGTTAGCTCAGAGGCGCCGGTGCCATCTGCGTGTGCGTAGAAGCCGAACTCTTGACCGTAGAAGCCATCGTCGTCGTTCTCAAGAGCTTCGGCGTTAGCAGCAGCAACGATGGCATCGTCAAAATACGAATCATCGTCATCGTCGTAGAACTGATCATCGTAGACCTGATCATAGACGTTGTCAAAGGCCATGGCATCCGCAGGTTGCCCGACCCGGCTGTCATCAGAAATCAGACCCGGTTGCGAGTCTATTGTCGGCGATATTTGACCTGTGCTGTCTTGTCCCTCGGATCCTTCGCTCGTGCCGAACTGGCGCTCGATCCGGCTACTATATGATGCTTCATTGGCTGCGAAAGCTAGAGCATTGTGCAAAATATCTAGATTTTGCTCTGTGAGCACACCTCCACCATGGGCACGAACAGGGCCCATATTTGGTATCGGCTCGCCGAGAGGACCACGCTTGATTGATCCTGTGACCCGGTAGTCACTAGCCACACTAGGCATGTGCCGCAGTGCTTGGTCTCCCATTTCTGCCATGGGGCTTTCTTTCCCCGAAGAGTCGTCCCCATCAGGGCCGTCGGGGCCGTCAGGGGCGTCAGGGGCCGCACTGTCCGTTGGTATGGGTGCTGCAGGGGGAGCGACCGGTTTTCTTTCGTATAAATGACTGGTTACGTCATCGAATATAGATTCGTCAAATCCACTATCTTGGTTATCGGCAGCAAGATCTCCGAAATCGCCGTCATCAAAATAAAGATCATCATCGTCGTCGAGAATTGGAGCCGCTTGCTTTGCAACCGGAACCTCGGGAAGGCTTGATGTCGCATCAGTTCTAGCAGCTAGGGACGGCTGTTCCTCTGGTAGATGTTGCTGGGGGCCATGATCTAGTTGTGTGGCCTCGGATAGACGAGAGGCTGAGTAAGATGGGTTTTGGTTTGGGTATGGCAGTGCAGCAGTGAGCGGGCTAGCAACAGTAAGCGGGCTAGCAACAATGGGTGACAACCCCGGGACAACCCAGGACTTGGCCTTGTTGATATCTCGCGGAATTGAGAAATCATCGAAATCGTCATCGGCATCTGCATTGACGCCAGGGATCCTTTCTTCCAGACCATCCAGGTCATCCAGCATGTCATCATCGAAGTCCTCGTCGAAGTCATCGAAATACCCATCCTCTATTTTGCGGGAGGCTTCCTTTGCCTTGTGCTTCTCTTCTAGCATTCTCTCTTGTGTAGATGATTCCACTCCGATCATATCGAAGCTGAATCGGGACGCATTGCTCTTGAGATGTCTCGGCAAGGCCGAGGGGTTGAAGGGTACATTAGGAATAGTATCTTGGTCTTGAGGGTGCTGAGGATGAGCATGCGAGATTGTTGTGGGTGATATTGGAGGTTCCTCGGCCTCATGCTCACGCTGGTCCGAACCATCTATAGTTCTGTCTGGTAGATGTGAAGGCAAGTTCCGCGCAAAGACCGGCAATGAGCTATCATAATCAGGCTGCGATTGGCCTGTTAAAAGTGAAGACTGAAGATACCCCTTATTTTCCACCTGTAGAACATTCTGGTCCTCGAAATGTTCCTTGAAGACAGGCGAATGATCACTGTGCCGTTTCGCCTGGTCATTCCAACTGGCGCCACGTGGTTGACTAGGTATTTGCGGTGGTGAAGTATCCGGCCCATTCAGTGTATCCTGCTGGGGAGCCGAAAGGTTGCGGCGAGGCCGAGGCGCCGAGAAGTCATGGACAATCTTTCCACGAATTCTAGGATCATAGTCATCCGGCATCGGCGGAACATTCCGGTTTTTAATTTTGAGATCTTCAGCGCGGGAGCTAACGACCTGCGAGGAGCGCCTGCGCGCAAGAAGAGACATCGGATTCAGGAGATGGAGCATCGCCTTGCCAGACTTATGATGTGTCTGTTCTACAGACACATCCCGATCCCCAGTGCGCCGGACGGTCGTGCTACCCTCCATCTTGAAATCCCTCTGTGTCATTGTTTGTTTATCCGCCGGCGAAGCGTCCGGCGAGGTTCTGAACCGAAAATGGCCCGACGCCGTTGGCGCAGTCGGCGATCGTTTCTGCTTGCCGAATGAACGTCGGAAGGGCGAGCTTGATTTGGAATTCGGCTCTGCGTCTCCTTGATCGGACCGTAGACCCGTCACAGACAGTTGTGAATTATTCGACTGGGCTGTAAATTGTTCTTCCTCGGCGTTATCAGGACTGGAATGAGGACGACACTCTTTTTCAAATGCCGGCGATGGAAGAGCAAGAGTAATGGAGGAGGATATCGGCGCGACGGATGAGCTGATGTTCAGCTTGGAGGTATCTATGTCCAGCGGCGCCTCGTTCGAAGAGGGGCCATCGGGTGAGGGGTGACCGTCGAGGGCAGTGGTGAGCGTCGGTGTATCCGGAATCTGTGGAAGTTGGGGAGGGCTTTTAATGGGGCTTCCATTCGCTCCCTTGACAGGTGAGGGCGCGGGGATCGAAGCAGGCGACGCGGACGAACGTCGATGGTCTCGGCGCCAGTACGAAAAGACAGTAGATGGCGGCATGGCAGTTCCTTGAGGCCCTCACGACGCCAGGTTGAGTCGCGCGTATGCTCAAGCGGCGTAATAGTCCATTACAGTTATCAACTGCATATGCTAGGTGAACAAATACGCTGTCATATACAGACAACTGGACCGTGGGGAGATGCAAAACCCACCCGTGGGATTCCAAGGTTCGTAACCCTCAAGCTTTTGTAAGCCTATTAAACTCGATTGCACGCAAAGAAGGGGTAATCCATAGCAAATTGCAGTAAACATCTCGATTTTTACGTTTATTTATACAAAAGACAAAGATCAAAGTAACGCGCGGCTAAAAGTGAGGTTACACCCATCCTGCTGCAGTGTCTGGGCCTTTCTACAATATCGCGTCACATTCTTGCCCCTACTGTCGTCTTCAATGTTGACTTTTTGCTGAGCTGGGCGCATATGGTTAAATTCCCCGAAATGTATGCAGTTATTCCCCTGTAAATCGTACAGCTAGGCTCCGTAGATATCCTTCGAGAAAAATAAATAAATAAAAGAATGACACGCTCAAACAGCCATATGCTATGCTAACGGACAAAACATAAAGCAAAAATTAAGTGATAACGCTTTCAACGAATGCTTTGCCTCCAGCGATCGATCACCTCAGTCTTGACCGGGCCAGGGGGTACCATGTTTGGAGCATACCCCACGCCATTCATGCCCATCATCGCAGGGTTAATAGGATACCCATATTGTTGTGCCATCGGGTATCCTACAGGTGGCGGATATCGCATTTGTGTCGGAAACTGTTGCATGGACATGCGATTCCCAAACTGGGACATGGTGACAGGCCGCTGATTGAAAACATCATACGACGACTGACGAGAAAGGTGGGAGGGACGACCCTGTGTAAGCGCAGCCATGCTCCGGCGCATTCGCGGGTTCTTTGGAGCCGCTGGAGCAGCAGCGGCCTCTTTTCTAAGGCGACTGCGTCGTTGTGCGAGTGTCTCTTCCTCGATGGGAACGGGGACTTCTTCGGGCTCTTTAGGCGCAACTCCAGCCCGGGTGTCAATTTCGGCCATCAAGTCGCTGGCGAACTTACTCTCCGAGCGTTTATGTCCCTTCAACCGTTGAACTCGCTCGGCGAGGGTCTCTACCTCTGTTTCATCCTCGCTCTCGGCGGCCGGCTCAGGGACATGCGCCGGGGGCTCTGCATACATTGTAACAGGACGTTGCTCCGGCCGCGGGATTGGTTCACCCCGCAACCTGGCACGGCGTGAACTCAGAGGCTCATTTTCTTCTTGGTGCCGCATCGCTAGCAGCCCCAAAGGTCGATCTTCTTCGATGTTGGTTTTCTCGGGGTACAGCATAGCCAGGGGAACATCATCGTCATCATCCCGTCCTTCCCAGGCCAAAGCGACAGGACGTTGCCGCCGGTTATCACTTTGCTTTTGAACCATATCGTCCATTTCTAATAAAGTGGACCGCATACCACGGAAAGGCACCGGCACAATTGTCCGCCGTCGATGCTTCAACTCATGTTTCCGCAATTCCAATTCGGCGATGAGCGTATTCGGTGGACCAACATAATCCATAATATCCGCGTCGTCAGACCCCTCGTCTTCAGATTCCTCACTTTCGCCATCAGTGCCTTCCGGCCCACGCTCATGGCCGTGCTCATCATCATTTCTATCTGAGTCGTCCGAGCCATGTCGCAAAGTGGCGGGGACCTCATCTTCTTCTACATTATTAGTGTTATAAGACTGGCCAAAGATGGCCCGCGAAAGACGGTTTGTCTTGTGCACTGTCGGGTCTTTTGTCAGGGTCTTGCGTTTTGACGTGTTGTAGATGAACGCGCCGACTTGACCAGCATATGGGTGATCGGTGAAAGCCGAAACGGGTGCATTCGCAGAGGCGTCCAAAATACTCTCCAGCGTAGCAACCGCGGACTGTTGTTTGACCTCGACCTGGAGTGATGTACTCGGCTGATCAAAAAATACACTGGCACGGAGATGTGGTGGCACTGTCGATTTACGTTTATCGTTATGGCTATCGCGTGAGTCTCCTAGGACGGCGTCGGGTAGCCCAACAGTTGACTTTCTATCCTGAGCGGCGATGGCGCCTGCGATTTGTGTACGACGCTTATCCCGGTCGATATTTTCCCTGCGTGACAACTTCGGTGGGAGATTCAACATGCGTGGGACAGGCGCGGGATAAAACACCATATTCTCCCCTGCTCGCGGGTTCTTGTAATGGTCCGGGTTGCGGGCGAGCGGCGGCTGCTCCAGAGAAACCTGGCGACCTGGTTCCAAGGGTGTGAAATGGACGCCATCAAAGTCGGTGAACAGTGTCCGCGCCTGCTGGTAGGTATCGAATGATGCGACCGAGGCCCGGCGCTGCAACTCCGGCTCTGCGGGAACTCCTTGTGGGACATATTGGTCGTAATAGTAATCGCTCTGGGTATTGAAGAGGGGCTGTGCCGGTGGGAGATCAGGGAGCCCAGGGAATTCATCCACTTCAGGCTCCTCTTCATGTGCAGGCTCCGCAAGCTGAGCTAGACGCGCCCCCGATACGGAGCGCTGACGCCCGGGCGACGCAATTGATCCATGGGCGGAGGAAATTGTGGCTACCGGGGAGAATGCACCAGTCCGGTGGATTGAATTGGACGCGGAACTGACTGAGCGGCGCTTTTGCTCTTGATCCATGCGACGGATCTCGCTCTCAATGTCCGCGGAGGACGAGCTCAGCTGCTCCGCGCTTTGCTCCAACCGCGTGACATTTCCTTTGTAGGCTCCTTGTATCGACTGCAAATCCGGGGTAGGGTGGCTGAGAGGTACGGGAACCTCACTGCATGCGCTGTGAATGGGGCGCTCCGGAGAAGGATTTCGCGCGGTCGTATTGAGTGGTGGGATACGGAGGCTGTTGGCTCGCTCCTCGGGGGAAGGATCGGCGTCATAGTCATCATCTTCTACTACATCGTAGCTGGCAGCAGTCATGGAGCGGATCATCGAACCTAATCGACTGAAAGTCGGGTTCTCTGTAGTTTTGGCAGTTTCTAGATGGCTTCCGCCCCCGATATGATCAGTATCGAGCGGCAGCTGCTCAAAGGCATGTTTGTGAGTGGGCGAGGGACAGGGCGAAGCGGAAGCGGAAGAGACAGAAGCCACCTCGTGGTCGAGCTGAGCGATGGCGTTGTACGCCATAATATAGGTCTTAGTCACCGACTACCCATCCATTCAGATCGATTCAAATTAAAGAAGATTTCAGGATCAAAGGAACTCGGAATACCAGGGATACCAGACAAAGAAACGAAGCCAGAAGAGATGTAGGGAAAGAAACGAAAAACCAGGAAATTGGGCTGGGGGATAGCGGCTAATTTTGGAAGTTTGCTGTCGTACAATAATTTGCCCTGGAATGCCAACTGAGCTAGTAACTCCATGCTAATAATATATCGATGCAATTTCCTCCTAAAAGTCCCCCAAAAGCAAGGAATCCAAAGCCACTAAGGGGCCTCTGCGTCCGTGTCTTAGACCAGTCAACACGTTCTGCGCGCCGAGTCAGGCGGATTCGACTCTCCACTCTGCTCTAGAGGTCTTGGCGTTTCCCTATATCTATATAAGGAGTCCGGAATACTCGGTATAAGAAGTATAAGGAGTGTCTCAGGCAACCCCTTAACCCCCCGCCATTCCTCTACTTCGCTGCCTTTCTACAGGCTTCCCGGGAACATGCATCAAAAGGAAACCCAAAGAGGCAATCCCGAGGTGTATCTGCATCTGAGCTAGAGGACTTGACAACCCCGGACCAATCAGACCATCAACAGATATCGCGGCCTCAACTTTTTTCCATGAGTTAAATTGCGAGTTAAATTGCTTTCGAGGTTTACCTTGCTAGGTCTGACCAGTGAGAATACATCGATTAGGGTTGGAGACTCGGGTCGCGTGACCTGTCAAGTTCAATGGCTCCAATCCAACTGGCACCGGTCACGTGCTGATAGCATTATCTTATCGCATACCTACCTCATACATCGTCTATCCTGTCCTCTTTCCTATCACCTTGTCAATCACTTATGAGATCTGCATCTTTTCCAATCAACTACTCATCATGCCAAGCAGGGACAGGAGCAGATGGCGCAATGTCCATTTCTACAACGCGTCCAACGACCTCCTAGGAGGTTTCTACCAAGCTGGTTCCATAACCGACGCTAACCTGATCTGGATTCTCCGGAGCGTGTTGCTAGTTCAGGCGGAGAATCTCACGATAAAGCATCGGGCCTCCGATCGAATTATCACACCATCAAATAACTCCGTTGTCCCTGGCGACTATGTCATTTCCTGTGATGGTAAGACTTCACGTATCACTAGCATACGGTTATAATTACCACCGTTCGACTAGGAACTATCAGGGTAACGGACGAACCGTGGTTTGCTCGCGTGATCAGCTTTTCTGAATCGGGTCGAGAAGATTCATTTCGTACTGAGGTCCGCCAGCGAGACGGGAGATGTGTTATTTCCGGCGATATCAACCTTCTTGAGCCTTGGGATATATGGGATGGTCTACAAGCTGCCCATGTATTCCCCCTGGAAAAGGAGAATCTATGGACTCAGTATAACTTCGGGCGTTGGATCACGAATATGGACCATACGACAGGAGTTTCGAAGATTAACTCTGTTCAAAACGGTTTACTTATGGGTGCGACACTACACGGTTGTTTTTATCAGTATATGTTCTCTATCAACCCTGATGTACGTTTCCTAATGACCAAATCCCTACGCAGAATAAGAGACAGGACAGATATAAGATTGTCACATTTGCACCAGATTCCTACAGAATCAATGGAAAAGTCCTTGACCCGATCTGCCGGAATCCAAACGACCTAAACCATGTCGCGGACGAGCTCCTAAGATGGCACTTTCGGCAAAGCGTGCTCGCTAATATGAGGGGGGCCGGGGAGCCGATATTCGAGTCGGACTTCCCCCCTGGGACAGATCAAATAGCGACGTTACGAGACGAACCATACGGCAAGGAGAGGTTGGGAATGGAGTTTGAACTCAGACTCGGACCTAGAGCCAAAGAAGAAGAAGAGTCGACATATTAATAGGGACATCAACAACTACTAGACTCGACCGTGATGTAGCTTGGTTAAGCGCAATGAGGAGGTTTTTGTATCACTACCCTGAAATAGTGCTAATTCAGCATATTATTAGTGCTTTCTTCAAGTCCCACTAGGTGAGGGTTCGACGATAATGTTGTAACTTGTGGTCTACTACTCCTAGTGAACGACTTTGCTTTCGCCCTGTTTGTAGGCAGGCCGTGTCGGTACCCCTGCTGCATCCGTTGCAGCATAAATTACTCTTTCTTCTTTTTTGCAAAGATCAAGAAGTTCTCGCTTCCCTGTTCTTCTGGTGGGGGCAGTAGAATGTGGAGAATTGAAATATGGTACGAGCTCTTGATACCCAAAGGATAGAATATACATATTCTAGGACAGCGTGTTCATCCCGGCTGTCTGCCAAGCAATCTCGTGTTTTCATCCTCAATTCGCCGTTTGTTTCGCCGATCGCCCATGTGGCTCGTATACATGTGGCTCGTATAGCTCGAGGCCAAGGTGAAGAAACGGGACTATTTTTGGTAACATATCTGGATCTTTCAGACCTCACGTCGTATTCGCCCCGGACTTTTCATACAGACCATCGTTTTAGCCCCAGAGTACGGTTGATATTCAGCATCTTCATCGTATTACGAGAAAATGAAACGAAGAAGGCCTAATTTTAACAAATTCTCCGCGGCGCTCAGTTCCACGTTGATCAGCACCTGGTAAAGATCCACGCATCAGTCAAGGTATAAGTATCCTAGCCCGGCCTGATGCACAATATTCTGGTTACAAATTCAAAGACATTCAAAGTTTCATCGTCTCTCGTATCAATTCAAAGCTCTATCCTCGAACGCATCATTGAAAGGAAACGAAGTCCTCAGAAAAACACGCAGGATTTGCCTACTTTCCTAACTCGCCATTATGCGATTCACAAACTTGGCTCTGACCCTAGCTGCGGCTTTCTCTGTTGCCAATGCGTACGCCATCACTGCCAGTGTTGCCAACTGCCGTACTGGTCCCTCGACGAGCAATGCAGTTGTCACGACATACAAAAAAGGTGCCGATGTCAAGATCACATGCCAGACTTATGGCGAAAACATTCAGGGAAACTCTATCTGGGACAAGACATCTGACGGCTGCTACGTTGCCGACTACTATGTGAAGACCGGCTCAAACAGCATGGTCACCAAGGACTGTAACGGTGGCAGCTCTGGCACCGGCAGCTCTTCCTACAAGGGCAAGATCAGTCGCAAGGAGATCATTTCCCGCGGTCAGTTCTGGGTCTCCCGCCACATCCCATACTCCATGAACGCCGAATACCCGGACCCCCAAGGCCGCAAATACCGCACAGACTGCTCGGGCTTCGTCAGCATGGCTTTCCATGCGTATGCGCCAGGATATAACACCGTGAGCCTCCCGGATATTGCCAAGTCCATCTCGTGGAGCGACCTCCGGCCTGGTGACTTTGTTGGAACCCTAGGCGCTGGTACTGGCGGTGCTGCTGGCCATGTCACTCTGTTCACTTCGTGGGCCGACAGTTCCAAGAAGGAGTACAATACGCTTGAGTGCCGCGGTACGTACGGCTGCGTTGCGTACAGGCGCCCTGTTGGTTGGAAGGTTGGAAGTTTCACGGCCAAGCCCTACAGGTACATCCACGTTGTGGACTAAGCTGGAGCTTGTAGCATTTTGGGGTTGAACGGTGATGTAACCAATTTTGGTGCGTGTATAAGTGCTTGCGACGGCTGCGGTGGTTGGGTAAGCGGAGGGATATGAATAGCTTCAGATGAATTTGTGAGCAGATCAGCTAGGCAGAAAACGAAGAAAAGATGAAGTTGATATACTCCTGTCTGTTACTATCTTAAAGGATCGGTTGGTAGTACTTGCTGTTCTTGCCTAGGAAGGAGAACTTTCCTTCCTACCGCGTAGGCGAGCGTAAGCGAGTAAATCCTATTTGCATGGTTTGATCGAAGACGCACAAATGGGTTTCCATTTTTCCTCTCTTCGTCCTTTTTATTCTCACTTTTTGTTCCGATATAACCTGGCCAATAACACTGTATGGCAGGACAATGCTACCGTAGAATCTGGACAGGTCCAGACAAAAAGTTGTTAGGAACGTACTCTTCAAAGCAATGATGATGATTCTTTAATCAAATCTATGTGTCCTCGGCTACGAAGATTTACACCCCTCATGTATTCCGTGGGACTTGTCAAATGGCAATGAGAGCCACGACTTCAGGAACGTCCACGGGAACGCCCGGTTTGATATCTGATGCAGACCTACTTGGACCTCATAACAATGGTAATGTTATGATCCCTGTGGTAGGTGAAGCAGCATGTGCTACGGGTCCCTCTGCCTACACTGTCTCGTGGGCTACGGTGAGATGGTGGTCAGAGAGATGGGGAGGAGAGAAGAAGAAGAGAAGAAAAATGGGGGGAAGGGTCCTTTTATACCCCCAACCCACGTGCCTTCCTAACGTGTGCCAGGTCCCTCGTACATTCCCTGTCAATGTCAATGTCACATGCATTGTGCCTTATTTATTTGCCTTCTTTGTTTACACGCGGTCCTTCGCGAGGCATTACCGTTTCCCAACTTGAATTTCTACTTCCAGTGCTCTGATTGTCGTACTTGATCTTTATTTCATCCACATAACTTGACCCGTAGCTTTCATAGCTTGAATGAACCAGAAATCTTCCAATCATCTCCCAAATCGGTTCCTGTCTTCTATGGAGGTACAACGCCCGGATAAAGATATATGTCTATGGCTCGATTATAGTAATGGTCTATCAGCTCTTTCTGGGGTACTTCTTCACGTGCTATCCTTGAGCATATAGGAGAAGACAATCCTTTTCATAAGCGCTTCATCTCCATTGCTAGCAGTTTTACTTCGGATACTCCAAGACAACCTTTCGAGTCTTGATGTGGATCAAGACCTCAGGGATCTAGTATGCAAAATGACAAACCTAGATCTCAAGAAAAGGATCACCGCAATGCAGGCACTTCAGCACCGCTGGTTCAGGTCGATTTAAGAAAACTCGCAGTATAACCTGGGATAAGATTGTGTTCAATTCTTCAACATTCGGAACTATATATGGCAAATTTCCTAATTCTGGTGTGCTAGTGACACGAAAGTACTCCGTACCAAAAACAACAACTGTTGAAACACGCTAATCGGGTTGCAGCAATACAATTTGTTTCAAATCGTCACAATGTTGTCCATCCTGATGCTAACGACGCCTGGTCTGTAGTATCTGCAGGGGACTCTGCACTAAGGCAAACATGGGCAGAGGTAGAGGTGCCATCAGTTTAGCACCCGGCGGAAGTGCCAAGGGTCGTCGGGAAATATTATGCCGGTTTCGCTGGAAATTGACTGCAATTACGCTTTATTCTTTAAGATAGCTTAACATTCACATTCTCATCCGGGGCACTGAGGCATACTTCGAGCAAGCATTCCACGACAGGGCGCATATCCTCTTTGCTCCTTGGCGAGATAAAGAGCCAGGGGTATCGATCATGAGATGTCCGCTATATCTGTGATCTGAATTTAGCAGCTGCTGCAGCTGCTTTCTCTAATGGCGATGTTTACGGCATAAAGGGAAAATCTAAAGGTGGTATTTCGCGCAGTCTGAGGCTCTTCTAAGAAACCGCCGAGTCCTGTGGAATATTCGGGTTGAAGGCACGGTTTGAACAACGTAGTCAATTTATGAGAAGTGAGGGGGATTGAAGCGAAAGTCGGGCAGTCATACATGATTGTATCACATGACTAAAACGGGTGCACGCTCACTGCCACACCGAGACTTCATCGAATAGAGACTCATTTTAGACTCATTTATAGTTAGGCATGGAAAGTGAGTGCTACGGTGGCGGGCTAAGACAACACGGCTACAGTGCCAACAATGATTTTCACTCAACGATAAATCGCACAAGTCAGGTACATTTTATGGTATACTAATACCATTGGCCAGATCATTCATTTATAGGCTGCAGCCTCAAAAGATATATAAAAGACTTGTACTCTAGTCGTATACAGGAAATAGCAAAATTAGAGGTGGCGGTGACACACTAGCAGTTAAAGACCGCAGAGCCTTAACTCTTGACCAACGGTACTCCAGGATGGGGCCGGCCTAACATCCGCCAATTAGGCGGCGTCTACATAAAAACCCAATATCTGTTTCCTTGGAATCTATCCATTTCCCCGGTAAAGTTATCATAGGGGGTTTGGTGGATCGACGGTGACGAAAGAGTGGAGCTTGGGGGGTTGGAATCAAGCTTTGACATCTTGAAGGGTTTAAAAACCATTGGGACATCTTGGACTGATAGAATTGTACATTCTTTTCTCCATATTCCCTCAGCAAGGTGCTTTTTTTTATTGTTATTGTTGTGATGGGAAACTCGAGGGAACCTGGCCGGGATGGCGGAGTCAAGGGTATGATACAGGTTTGAAGGGATTGCTGCGAGATAGCAATAATGCTGATACAACGACAGATGCTGTGGATGCTCCCGAATATGAGCAACCAGAAGGCACCGAAGAAGAAGCAAGCAAGAATGAAGGCATGGGCAAAAACCCATCATATAGTTTGGCTGGCTCTGGCGCACAGAATCCAAACAACAACCAAGGATATACAGATGAAGAGTACCAGAAGTACGCTTCTCAATATAACAAACAAGATGATGGCCCGACCTGGAGCTTGGCTCATCCACTGCCCCATATAGTCCGGCCCGGCATGCGTCACGGCGCCTTGCCAGAGGACCGAAAAGAGGATCGAAAAGAGGATAGAGACGGCACGACAGAGAACCAGCAGGATTCAGCGCACGAGGAGGAAGTTCGCAAACAGCAGTCGTCAGAAAATCGAACGAAGAAGGTCAACGACCCCAAAGAAGACGGCTTTTTCAATACATGGTCGAAAATTCGCCACCAACTTCGTGAGCCGCTGGCCGAATGGCTCGGAGTAAGTTTTATCGATATGGCTCAAAAATACAATCAATCAAGCAGTCTGCTAACAAGTGTCTCGCACAGACAACTATGGCAATGACAATTGGTCTTTGCGCGACCTTATCAAACTTCACTTCCTCCGGACAAGCCGGATCATACCCTGCCCAAAGTCTCGCCTGGGGCTTTGGATTCATGGTCGCTATCTACACCACCGGAGGTATGTCTGGTGGTCATTTAAACCCAGCCATCTCAATCTCGCTGTCTGTATTCCGTGGATTCCCCGCGCGGCGATGCGTGATCTACATTGCCGCGCAACTCCTCGGAGCTATCACCGCAGGGGGAATATCATACGCGATCTACCATGACGCCATTGTTGAAGTCGCCAGATTGGCGAACGTGCCTCAGAATGCAAGTGTCGCCTCGCAGGCTCTCCTCACGTTACCGAAACCATTTGTCCGTCCTGCGACTGCATTCTTCACCGAGTTTGTCGGCAGCGCAATATTACTTGGCTCGATTCTAGCTCTGGGGGATGACACTAATGCGCCCCCGGGAGCAGGAATGCAGGCATTTATTATTGGGATCATTATCTCGATTGTGATCCTTGCACTTGGGTATAATACCGGAGGGTATGTGTCCTATTTCTAAACTCCCGATTCTAAGTGCTTTCGAAGATAACTAATGATCTGATAGTTGTTTCAATGGCGCACGAGACTTTGGCCCACGGCTTGTTGCCCTCATGGCTGGATGGGGTGGCAATATCTTCCGAGAATACCATGCATGGTGGGTTTGGGGACCATGGATCGCAGACATCACCGGTGGATTGTTTGGCGCATTGATCTATGATATGGCTATCTTTACCGGTGGTGAGAGTCCAGTCAACTATCCCCCGCGGAGACGAAAGCGGGCATACCGTGTGAGAGCCTTGAATTTTCGGAAGAAGCTTCGTATTGGGAGAAAAAAGCTGCCCGATCTTGAACGTTCTGTTGCAGCTACTGAGCAATGAGCTATGTTCTTCTATCTATGCATAATTATTAATTAGTATAGTTACTGGTTATAGATTTAAAAGTGAAATTACTGGGCCTAAGAATCTTAGGTTGCTTCATGTACATATATTACAGAATAATTGAGGATATAGCTATTCTTCACTCGCTCTTCTCTCTGCAACCGCCGTCTCCAAACCAGCTGTTACCTCGTACGCAGCCCTTGGGACTGGCCGGCAAATATGACCGGAACAGGCCAGGCTGGAGTTGGCCAAGCGGAGTGCGTGAAGGAACCTAGGCACGTGATATATACCACAGAAGATAAAGCAGTGTTAGAATTTCAATAGTCTTCATTGATTCACTGTCCCTCATTGTGTCTTTTACAATGTCTCCAAGAGTATTTTATGGAGTCTCGGGACTTTCCGGTCTACACAGTCATCTCGGAAGATCCCGAATGTAGATGTCCCTGCGATAGCGATTATTTGAATCATGCGGGGTCGAGCTTGAGAATATAAGAAATCCCTTTTTCTGAATTGCTTCTTAGGTTCTGCAACACAATATCATTTTGCCTCGATATTTATTTCCCTTTATTTTGCTTTGATTGTCTCAAAGTAACCATGACTATCGGAAGAAAGCCGCGCGTTGTTTCCCTCGGGGAGCCTGCATTCGTGGGCAGTGAATATCTTACTCAATTCAAGACCGAATTTGACTATTCCGTCCTCCCTGCAACAAATCGCGAGGAAGCCCAGGTATTGCTACCCAAAGACATCAACGAAAATGGACCGATAGACGCGTTCATCGTTCGCATGGGTACGCCACCCTACGAGCCACTCGATCAGGATTTTTTTCGAGCACTAGCACCGGGGTGTAAGATTATCACTTCTGCTAGTGCCGGATACAACGAGTTCGACGTGGACTGGATGACAAACCAGGAAATTGTGTTTTGTAATACTGTGAATGCCGTCGCTGAGGCTACAGCAGACATGGCTATATTTCTGATACTTGCTGTTCTGAGGAACACTACAAACGCCGAGCGGAGTGCACGGAGCGGGATGTGGAGGAAGGGCGCAAACCTGGTTCCTACTTGTGATCCGTCGGGATTGACACTTGGTATTGTCGGTATGGGTGCTATTGGAAAGGTGAATAGTCCGAAGTCCATTGACTCGGAGCGCTGCTGACTTCCTTCTCAGTACCTCGCCAAGAAAGCCGCGGTCTTCAATATGAAGATCAAGTACTACAATCGACACCAACTACCGGCCTCCGAAGAAGCAGCGTACGGTGCAACATATTGCCAGTCTCTACATGAGCTTCTGCGCGAATCAGATGTCGTCTCCTTGAATTGCCCTCTGAATGCGGCAACCACGAATCTAATCAGCGAAGCCGAATTCTCCGCTATGAAAGACGGTGTATTCCTCATTAACACGGCTAGAGGAGCAGTCATCGACGAAAAGGCTCTCATTGCGGCACTTGAGTCAGGCAAGGTACAGCGGGCTGGACTTGATGTTTTTGTGAACGAGCCGAGTCCGAATCCCTACTTTTTACAAAGTGATAAAATCGTTGTGCAGCCACATTTGGGTGGTTTGACTGAGAAGGCATTCCAAAAAGCCGAGAGAGAATGCTTTGAGAACATCCGTGCTTTTTTCAAGACTGGGAAGGCAAACTCGCCAGTGAATATCAAAGTCCAAACCCCCTGAGGGTGATAGACTGGTTCAGTGAGAGATATCAGCTCAGTTCAGTGCTTAGCTAGTAGTAACTCTAAACAGGAATATAAGATTATTATCTACTCAGCCCTCCTTATCCGAAACAAAGTGTCAATCTATAGAAATAGCTCTCCTTCGCTATCGTTCATTGGACTTCGGATTCTCCCGGTATGTTATCAGGGGCGGTTTCTCCCGATTCGCATTTGAGAATATTCGATCTGACCACAGATTGGGTTAGACTTAGTTTCGCATTGCTTAAAGTGCGCGCAAGTCGATCCTTATGTGGGAAATGTGGGGAATGCCTGGCAACATCCGTACTCCGTAATTGTAAGTACGCGACAATGAGGATAGGGGCGAACTCTGATAGACCGTCAATAATGCAGTTATGGACTTCAAGGTGTGAAAGAATGATTGAGGGGTAAATGTTAGATCAAGTCATTGGTCACGTTATCTCAACCGTTTTATCTCCCCCGCGATATTGTCAAATCAACATTGTGTCTCATTCCAGCATTTTGAATCATGAGACACGCACCAAAGCGACCAAGAGTCGGGAAGCGGACGATACTGGCTTGTATCGAATGCAAGCGCAAGAAACTAAAGGTCAGGGTCGCCCGAAGAGTGAAAGAGATACGTAGGCTGACAGATGATTAGTGCAATGGGCAAACGCCGAAATGTAACCATTGCCTGAAAAATCAACATGGTACGTCAATTACTCTTTTGGGTTGGTGGCTTTATCTGATGTGGCGCAGAATGCCTCGTGGAAGACCCTGCCACAGGGCTGCGTCGCCCGCGTGACTACATGCAGTCGCTTGAATCGCGTGTAGTTTATCTGGAAGCGCTTCTCCGAGAATCACGTCCAGATATACCTTTGAATGGAGATAATCAGCATGAGCTCAGGGATATCGAGTCTAATACTCCGTTTGTTCCAACAACCTCGGCCCAGGCACCGGAAGCTCCAACCTCCAGCCAATTACAGGACTCGCCGGGGGCATACACGAGTCCTTCCTATATGCAAGAAGCATCATCATCATCATCAATTCCAAAAGAGCACGCCGGGCAGGTCGACCATCTCTCTTCGGAAGTTGCCCTACTGTGTCTCAATGCTGCGGGTGGTGAGCCCCACTATTTCGGTCCTTCATCGGCGGTCTTATTCTCGAGGATCATTAGTGCAACAATGGGTCTCAAAAGCGAGAAATCGTCATCGTCGCCGCGTACTTTTGAAGGCTCGGAAAGAAGCCATCCTAATGCACGGCCTGATAGAGTACCAGGACTACCATCACCAAGTGTTGCGGCTAATCTATCGCGGGCTTATTTCGATAATATTCACCCTCAGTATCCTTTTCTCCACCGACCAACATTCTGCAAATGGGAGCTGGATGTTTGCAAATCTAGCCAGTCGGTACACAATCCTGCCGCCGGAGAGGTTCCACTATTTTTCGTCCTTATGGTATGGCCACCTCCAGTGGATTTAAGATATGATCTGACGATATTGACTTATCACAAAGGTCTATGCAACAGGCTCCCTTGTATTGAATCAAAGTCAGCACGGTGCCGCAGCGGTATGTTCTACTTGACCACTTGCGTATTCTTGATTGCTAACGCTATCAGATGTACTATTCCATGGCCTTGGATTACCTCCCCTCAGTCCTTGCACTTAATAATCTGGAATCAATCCAAAGCATACTATGTTGCGCTGTGTACTCAATCAGATCACCTACTGGGGCCAGTCTTTGGTATTTTCTTCCCCTATCCTTGTTCCAACTCAAACTATAACGTCAGTAATAGGAAAATATCAGGCATGGCCATTCGTCACTGTATTGAGCTAGGATACCACAGAAGCGCAGAAAGATATCGCAAACATGTTGATCCCTTGACAAAGGAAATGTCTAGAAGGTGCTTTTGGGTCGCATACGACATTGATCGTGTTGCAGCTTTTACCCTCGGTCGGCCAATGGGTATCCCGGATGAGTTGATCGATGCAGAGGTATGATATAATCTGTCTAATACCTTACTTCGATCTTTTAACCTCCTATAATAGCTTCCTATGGATATTGAAGACGAGAATATTACTCCCAGTGGCCTGTTGGCGAACCCCCGTGCTACCGGTAACCAGGTGCCAACAATCATGACAGGCACTCTTCATGTTATCAAGTTGAGGAAACTATGGGCAAAATTCCATGCCACTCTCTATTCACCTCAATTACAATACGCCAGTACGGGTAGCCAATTTGCCACTGTTGACACTCTGCGCCAAGAATTGGAAGAATGGCATGCATCAGCTCCCACACACCTGGACTATTCATCCTCTCATCCTTTATCGGTGTTTGCATCAAATGAATGGTTCCAAATTGCCTACAATCATTCAATTCTGATTCTTTATCGCTCACATATCACTAGAATTCTGGGTGAACGACAGGGATCTGGCCCAAACGAGTCGAACAGCACCGACTTCATTGAAGAGGAAGAGGACCTCCAAAGAGCATTCGAAAATTGCTCCCGCTGTGCTCGTGAAATATGCGTGCTGTATCGTCGGCTATACCAGAAATCAAGTGTTCAATTCACTTGGGGAAGTCTCCATATTCTGTTCCTTGGCGGGTTGACATATTTGTATTGTCTCTGGCGGTCATGGCGAATACGCCAGCAGACTAAGCAGAGCGAGATATTAAAGACATGTATGGCCTGCACAACAGTCTTGGTCATTATAGCTGAGCGGTGGAACTTGGCCACATCGTATCGCGATATCTTCGAAACACTCTCTGAGAAAACCATCAACATGATCTGCGGAAATGATAAGCTTGCTGGACCAGCCCCTCCACAGTCACAATGGACTGCCCCTTATGACAATCTCCTTTCCCCAAGAGACTGGAGTTTGGGCTTTGATGATTTATCCATGCCTCAAGGTTCCGACTGGTTTATTCAAGAGTTTTTACAACAGTTCCCAGAATCTTAACCTGATGAAACCGAACTAAGAGTCGAATTGCATGTACTCCTCCAGGATTTAAAGGCCGCTCAGTTATACTCAGTGAATGAAAGGCGGCAAGGTGTGGGCAAAGCTCTCGTGCGGCCTAAAATATATTTTGAACGTACGAGGTCGTCTAGTATGCTATGACCATCGATACACGTCATAGAAATCGTTCGAATTAGTTTAGTAGTGTGGACTACCATAGTTCTGCGATCCAAATTAAGCGGCGGCTAGCTAGGGTCTAGGGTAGGGACTTATAAATTCTTCCGTTGAAACCTTTCCTTTCTTTCTCCTCAAATTCTATCTTCTTTCTGATACTAAAGCTTACCATACAAGAATCGTTCAATCGTCACTAAAATGTCTGAGCTATCTGTTGAAGGCCAAGAGTCGAAGGCAGTCCCCTGCTACCACGACCACCCTCCGCAATACGACTCATACTATGGAAGCCAAGACTTACTCACCTCTATCATTGAGAACGAGCATACTGTCCGGAAATTAGCCAAACGGATGGATGAGTTGAACACAAAGATAACGGAGATAGCCAACATAAGAGAGGAGCTGGAGAAGAAAACATTCCTGGAAACTCCAGCTTCGAATCTTACCACTGCTGAAGATTTTGAGGAGTTAAGCGGGGCATTCACAGAGATAGCACAGATAATGACCGGGCTGTCAAATGCTTGCAAAGAGCGCGCCGTTCACAACACCGATCTCTATAAGGCCATCGGAAATCTCACCGATAACGAGCTCGAGCGGACTTATGATTCTTTAAAGCGAGACCCAGACCGGCAGATCCAACATGAGCTGGCTCAGGACCACAAAGACCGCAGCGACAGAGATTCAGGACACAATTTACAATGCTCTTCGACGACCAATCAAGTAGAGCGAGCTGGCAATTGCACATACAACTCTTGCAGCCGGTTCGCCGAGCCCTTAGCAACGATGGACAAGATCAATGAGAAACTTCCATCCGATACGGCCAATATCTCGAAAATGGCCGATGATACTACCGCAAAGTCACCCGTGAGTTTTTGGAAGAAATTTTTCAGACGTTCAGCTCGGCCTTAATAGTGAAGTGGAATGAGGGACTCTGAAAGGATCAGATTATGAGATGACTGATGGATCTTGGTCTTTATCTTGTTTGGTACCAACTTGAACGATTCATGCGGATGTATATACTGCCGATGATTAGGTTGTTTCTGTATGGCTGAATCAAATTTGTTCTACAACCTTTCACACATCTTGAGATACGGTGGAAATGTCTAATACTCAAGACTTGGACAAACATTTTCTTTTCCTAGCTTATCATGATCACAAATCAATGAGGTCTAGAAGATCTAGCTTCCGCGGACAAAGAGCCTACAGTGAGCAGTGAAATATATGTCCGAGAGAAAAGTCAAGGTACCATAAGGCACCGACGGTTGAATGGTATATATTTCATAATCACGTCCGAAGAGGGCTTGTGGAATCCAAAACCAACAGTCAAACACAGGAAAAATAAAACAACAAAGAAAAGACAGCAATCAAACAGTAGACCTCCACCTCACATCTACACCCAGTTTTTCCTTTCATCACACCTCACTGAGGTTCTCGGAGAGAAGCAAAAACAGTCAAAAAGCCCCAGAGGAATGCCGCGAAAGCACCCTTGATCGTACATCCGTTTTCATTCATCTCACCTCGCTGAGGTTCTGGAAGAGAAGAAATCGGACAAAACAACAGAGGAACGCCGTCGGTACCATAACCCCTGATGCGGGGGACTCGCCGAGCTGCTTCAAACCATGGGCAATGGTGCGCCCAACACTGGCCAATGAGTTGCTCGTGGCGGCGGGATCTTTCAGCCTTATAACAAGATTGCCCATGAACGAGGGGCTCTTTGGTGAGGGAGCCGAGCCAGGCGTTGCGGGCTTTCTGGGGGTCGCGGGCCCAGGCGTCACGGGGGCCACTGGGGTCCCGTTAGCTGCAGGCAGGGCCAGGTCGGTATCGTCGGGGCTTGAGGGCCCACCCAAGCCGGGGCCAGCGGGGATGTCCTCGGCCGCGCGGGCCGGATTCAGATTTTGGAGGCTATGCCGCGAGATGTCAGCCGATGTACGAAGAAGCCCCCGGAGGTGTTTCAAGAATCGAGAGCTGCCATGAGAGCTCGCACGAGAGCTTGCACGAGAGCGAACAGGACATGTTCTACAGGGATCATGGTCTTCAACTTACGGGGTGGCCTCCTCAGCCTCCTTGGCCTCCCTGGCCTTCGCATCCCCCTTCTGCTTCAGGGCATAAAAGCCCATGGCCAAAAGACCGCTGACCACAATGCTGATGACGACCCAGAGGCCGTTGGGGATTCTTGCCAAATTATCTATGGCCGAGGGGGTGGTGGCGGAGGGGTGGGGGGGCAGTGGGCGAGGGGACGACAGAGGTCACACGCAGGAAAGTGGTGGTTATCATGATGGTTTCAGTGATTACCTCCATGATGAGAATGTTGTTGAGAGGAAAAACATCGAGGGCACGGGAGGAACATGATGTACTCTCGACTAAATGGTTCGTGCCTGCCGAATTTGTAGTTTCCCATTGCACGAGCACAGCTTAGTCTCTATCTCTCTCCCTCAAAGTTAAGAAAGAAGATTGCTGAATCTGATGTAGTTGTGTTGGACCGTTGCACACACTGCCACTTCGTTCGGCATGGTAATAAGCCCACTTGCTTTGACGATGTGTCTGATGTGTGTAGAGTGATGATGTCCATTGTGATGGTGTGTGTGAGAGGAAGAGAAGAGAGGAAGAGGGAAAGAGGGAAAAGCCAATAAATAGTCTGCGTAGCTTCCCATGATTAGAGTAGTTACTCAGAGGATAGTAAAATCGGATAAGGATCGAGTTTAGGTCAGGCCCTAAAAGAGGAGTCTCGAATATAGTGCTTGCAAACACTTACAGCTTCGTATAATGCTCTGGGAGACACCATAGGCATTCGAAGCTCCGAGAAGGATTGTGCTCCCCGCCAGTAGCTGCTATTATAGTGATGGTTAAGATCGGGGTGGTAGCCTATCTCCCGGAGAAATAAGCGGTAGTAAGGAGAGACATATAAGCATGATACTTAAAACCTTGGCAAATTATACTGTCTAATAATAGGGAATGGTTGGGTAGGCCGTGGGCCGTGGCAAAAAGCAAGGAGGAGGAGTGGCATAATATACTTGATACTAGATTTATGGCTTATATACTATCTTTTCAGGTATCTTTTTAGATGTCTTTTTAGGTATCTCTAAAGAACCCTTCAGCCCGATACTATTATTTTTTCGCTTTTAAATTCGTACTTTCCACCTCTTTGGTACACCATCTCACACGCGCAAAGATCCTCTAATATACATCTTCGGCCGCATCTTTTCCTACAATAGGATCAAGATACCTGTACCCCTTGACTAGAAACTTGCGATATAGTCTTTGCTTAATTAAGCATAACCAACTTATTTTTAACGCCGAGACTCCAAAGTCACGTCATAGGTGGTAGAATAGTGAGTCGCTATAGCATTTATACTCCATTCTTTCTAGTAGATTATACTACCTAGGGCCTATAGTTCCCACGTGACTGCATCGAGATCCCCGATAAGGTCACGTATATCACTGTATAATCTTACACCCGACTTGTGATCAAGGCGGTACGTTTACGATTAAGGCGATCACCGTTCCCCGAGCAAATAAGGTTATTTCAACCCGCCGTATATCAGACAAATAACAACCAAGCATTTTTCCACCGAGACAATCCATATACTCTTCCCTGTTGCTAATTGATGTCTTGGCAATTTCCGACTCTCCAAAAACGGGACCATTCCTGCTTACGCGCTAATCTGCTCAAACCAACGCAAGGCTGTGGCCAGGTCATTCCAGCATTTGCCCATGTATATAAAAGACAAGATCACCCATTCTAGAAAATAGATAGTTACTAGAGGGGCTGTATATACTCCGGATTCCTGATTGCGAAACCACAAACGACATGTCCGGTATGACCCCCACAGTTCCACTTCCAGCATATAGTCTCCATATTAACAGATTGTGTATTCAGAACCTCAAGATAAACCCGCCCCTCTCCGCGTGGGCGTAGTGCTGTTCCCAGGCTTCCAAGCCCTGGACGTATTCGGCCCAGTGGACTGCATCAACGTCCTCTCCTGGAGCCACAGCGTGACATTGGCACTTCTCTCCTCAACCCTGGAGCCAGTGACAACAAAGTCACCGTTATCCGCCAACGCTGTAAGCCAAAGCGTCGTGCCGACCCACACGTTCGCAACAGCACCGTCTCTGGATCTGCTTCTCGTCCCTGGTGGTCTGGGCGCGCGCGGCTCGAGCCCAGAAATCGAGGAAGCAATCTCGTATATCCGAAACGTGTATCCCCAGCTACGCTATCTTATTACGGTGTGTACTGGCTCCGGGCTTGCGGCGCGAGCTGGGGTTCTAGATGGGAAACGAGCCACGACGAATAAGAGGGCGTGGGCGGAGATCACGGGGCTGGCGGTGGATGTTGAGTGGGTTCCTCGGGCGAGATGGGTTGTTGATGGTAAGGTTTGGTCTTCCTCGGGGGTTAGTGCTGGTATTGATGTTACTCTTGCTTGGATTGAGGAGGTCTATGGGAGTGAGGTGGCGGGGAAGATCGCGAATAGTATGGAATATACTCGACATGAGGATCCTAGTCATGATCCATTTGCTGAACTGTATGGGCTTTGAGGGAACTATGTGCCTACTTTTGTGTTTTGTGTGGAGGGTCTCCACTCAGTTGGGGAAATGTATACAGAAATATATCTTCTATGCTGAGACGGTGTGGCGTGTGCGCAGTGCCACGTAGCGACACGCAAAATTGCATTGACCATTTTTTAGTCTTATGTGGGCTTTCTGTGATCCTTTCAAGGGTTTCATGTAAATGTAAAAGGGCCTGTGGCATAACACGAGGCTCGCCGTAGAGTATGAAGCACATATAAGGAGGCGACGATTTGGAAGTGCCCATTTCCCAGATAAGCAACTCGGCCTTTCCCCCCCCCGATTTTCTAGTGAACATTGAATTCTCATAGCCCTTCAAAGATCAGTAGTTGCGGATGCCATGGATCCGTTTCTCCACCGATTTCCCATTTCGCGGGCACGTGATCGCGCGCCGTTATCGACGCGCCTCAATCTCACAACTTTGCGATCCGAACATGAATATCCCGACGTGTCATCATGTCTTACTATGATATTGACTCCATCTTGACGGATGCACAGGTGAGTTAGTCGCGACCCGCAAAAATGAACCATTACTAACATCGACCCAGAAACTACCATGTACATTTGAGCTCGAAGTACCCGGACTGGGTATTCTAGAGGGCAACGCGGGCGAAGATGCGAGTGCTCTATTTTTCACTATCCGGCGACACAGATTACTGACCGATGCACAGATCAAAGCCGGAACCCGGATCGACCTTCCACTATGGCTAGGTGAAATGCTCTCGATCGGGTAAGGTTCTTACCTAGAAGACCAGCGTGGAGTTTGTTCTTATTTTTAACATGGTATTTATGGCTGCAGAGCGCGTCTAGGAACGGCCCGCTTGGTTACGCTCGACATGCCCGAGGCGCTCTCGGAGCGGGTGATGAACGCACTGAAGGCCGATCCCCGCACAGTTGACTTGCGCGCTTTAGCACCGCATTTCTACAACCTTAGCGAGCGGATTCTTGAACTCTTCGAGGAGGAAGAGATGGTCGATGTTCTCAGTGATGTAGGTGGCATTATTTCCGCGACTATTGGTTGAGCTAGGATTAACAGGCTCTTAGACATTCAAAAAACGAGCGGCTGAGATTGCCGACCATGCACGCAACTCGCGTGGTGCGGTTGGTGGCGGAGTTGAGTTCCTTCGTGGACTGGATGAGACTGAGCGACAATGTAGGTTATGATTGTCCTTATTTGGATGGGGGATGGCCGCTAACAGATATGGTTCAATAGTGTTCCGGGCTGCTCATGACCGGGCCAAGGACATGCGGATCTGGTCAGGAGAGGCGAAACGTAAGTAATAGTGTTTAATAGCGAGACATTTCTCTGGGCTCTGAGCTGTGCTCGCTCAGGAAAGTGATACATTCTATGATCGATCGGATAGGTATATGACAGAGTATGAAGGATATGAGATGGCTGGGTGGAGTCGCATAGTTTAATGTTGAGACGTTGACTTCCGAAGGCGACGGAGTGGAGCCCCGACCCGTCGAAAGGGAAATGTTTATTTTTGTATAGCCGACCTCTGGGATTGAAATATTGTTTCTCCTTTGTGATGATTGATATATACACCCAAGACACACACATCCTGCCCTCTATCCCAACACCAAATCCAACATTCAGGAGAAACCCCGCGCAAGGGCCAGGTGAGACGCGCCCCACGGCCCCGGTCCGATTGGCCGTCGACGGGCGAGAGAGACACCACCGGAGTGATCGTCGCGTTAAGGAGCCGATTGACTGGAATCTAGCCTCGGGGCTGGAAAAAGAGAAAAAACTATTTAGAAATCACCAGATGGGGATCTGATGTTTCTTCCATTCCTGGCCTCTTTCCATTCTTCCTCTCATAACAATAACATCTACAACATACACAAACATTCAAATCTAGTGCGGGGCCCTTTCCTCTCTTTGGAGATCGACTCGTCACAACTCGTTGGTCACTTCACCCTCGCGTTTGACTGATCCCAAGTCCCGCTCCTCCCTTGAGTTGGCAGCCTGAGACCCCTCTATGCCTTGATTTGGGTCTATTGCCTCGATAAACCTACCTTGCACTCCACAGGTTCGATTCCAGCCTCTGATTGCTCCCCACCTGCAACTCATCTGCATCCCTCGCATCGACGGCCTGCGTGTTACCCACCGGCGTCCAATCACCGTCCATATCCGAGGGTCCATCTATTAATCCTCCGATGCGGGTGGTGGATTGTGCAGGCAATTGTTACTGTGGTGTCTCCTGATTGACTAGGATATTGCACGGCTGCATCCAAACAGGGGAACGGGGGGCTTGACGGCACGTCAATTATGCGCGTTCGCTAAAACAGTATGCCGGCAGTCATTATGGATGAGAAAACCCAAAGAAGGAGCTCGGCCGCTGGTCAGCTTGCTCCTTCAAACACTCGAAGTCCCGTATATCATCCCAGCACTGCGCCCAAACGCAGTGTTTCCTCTAAAGACCACTCCTCTAGTACGTGGCTTCTAAACTTGCTTGAATTGAGTTCCAACACTCAGCCTTAATTTAATCGGAGCTGACATTGCTTCTTCTTCAAGACTTATCAGACCGTCCTCAACATCCATCGCTTTCTCGCGTCAAAGGTCGATCGAATATGTTTACTCCACCAAGAATGAGTCCAGAGGTCTCATGGCTAGGAGACCAATCGCCTGTTCAACGGGGCGCAAGAACCCCAGTCCGCTCATCCACATCCGGTATGTCTTTCAATTGCCATCGACCTCGGCTGTAGAGCACAACTGATGATTCGTGGCTAGAAACCCCCGAACCTAGCACCCCTACTCTAGTAAACCCTGCCTCGGCTCTCCTGCAGGATCTACTGAAAGAAGAACGCGCGCACCGAAGCTCCCGAGGAACCATATCGGAGGACTTTAAAGAAAATGCTCCTCTCACTCCGGAGAACACTCGAACCCAGGAAGAACCTACCTCCGAGAAAGCCCGCAAAGCAAACGATGTCTTCTCCGCTGGCCAGAGAAAACCGAAAGAGATGGGCATGCGGGAAATGGACCAAGTAAGTTCATAAGACGCAATCCCTGTGCACTAGCTGACTCGTCTAAGTATGTCTCCAAAATGAACAAGCTGAATTTCGATTTGAAGCTCGAGGTCTTCCACCGCACACAACAGTTGGCTATGTACGAGAAAAAGCTGGAAAGAATGGCGGAGATGGAAGAACAACTAGCGCACATGGATGATTTGATGGCGGAGGTGGAGGAGCTACGAACCACCGAGAAAGAGAACCAGACCCTACGTGAATCTAACGAGCAACTCCGCAACGACCTTGACAAGCGAGACCTGGCGGTGACTGAAGCCGTCGAGCTCATCTGCCAGTTGGAATCGAAACTTGACCTGCTGGAGAACGGCCGGGGCTCCAGGCTGTCTATGTCGCGCCCCATGACCGCCGATGGCTCTGAGGCCTTAGCTAAAGCCCAGGCCATGATCGAGATCCCGGAGAGAACCTCTTCCAAGCGAAATGCAAGTGTCTTGAACGTAGCTCAGAACCAGTCATCTTCCGAGCTACGCAGACTCTCGAAAGCACCCTCCTTCCTACGAGCAGATAACAAAAGTACTGCCACTTTGCGGAGCCTTTATGCTCCTGAAGAAGAAACCCAGTCGCGCTCTGCAAGAACTGAACTTTCGAAATCCGAGAGCTTCCACACAAACAACGAGATGATGGAGCCGGAATCACCGAGACTGAGCGTCCTGAGTGAATGCAGCGAGCTGAATGCATTCGACACGCCTATGATGTGGCAAGAATTTGATCAGCTGGAGATCCCGGTCCGGAGACCGTCGTCGGTCGCAGGCAGCTTGGATAGCTATGTCACTCCCCGAGAGCGGGAAGAAAGCAGAAAAGACAAGATTGACCGGTGGATGCAGTCCCGCGAAGACGTAAGCGAGACCATTATCAACAGACGCAGGAACCGAGTATCATCCGATGCTACCAAGGCGAGCGTTGCCAGTTTCTCACCAGATCTATACGCTTCTAAACCTCGTGGACGCGGACGACTGGACGGATCTCTTTTCGGAGGCATCCACCTTCCTCCCACCCCCGACACTATGAGCACGGCATATGCTATCGGTGCAAACCGATCGAATGGGTCCGATGGGAGTATTGCAGCCCGGAAGGGCTCCCAGACTGAGGATTTGTTCTTCCCTGGCAGACGACTTAATCGCCCACGTTCTGCTGGAGAGATGGCCTGTCCCTACAGCTATGGCAGTGACATTGACGACAGCATGCAAAACAACTGCAATGATACTCCGCGCCTAGGAGTCGCTGATGAGTCTCGCACTATCCTGCCCTCCTTCAACACAGTTTCCTCCAAAGCCAGCGCGCTCCTTGGGCCCGGAAGCCCCGACAACCCTGTTATTGAAACCTTTGGGGATTTATACCACGCCAGTGCAAACGAAGGATCCACTCAAACAATCAAACGCGTCCGTAGCCCCGCCAAAGCTAAGACCCCAGAGCCGCACAGTGACAGCGACTCTTCACCACCACTCACACCTCAAGACTGGGTTGCCGCTGCAAAGCATCCCCGGTCTCGCAGGCCCAGACCGCGCGACACCCGCCACGAAATCCAACCCACAGATCTATCACCAGGCACTGTCATCAGTCCAGCATTTGAAGACGACAGCAGCCTCGCTTCAGGTTCAAGCGAGCTCGAAATCACCGGTATCCCAACTCTAGATATGAGCACTCTGGATATACTAGCGCGAGGCCTCGAACCCACCCAGCCAGGCCCCAAAGTCGAAGCCAAGCACGAGCATCGTCGACGTCTCAGCTTCCTACCCCCATTCTTCAACCGCTCGAGCTCCAACGCCCGCCAACTCCAAGGCTCCCCAGTCTTGAACGACTTCGAAGACGACTTCGACGACGGCGCTCCATCCCCAGTAATCCCCAAAACCAGGACAACAGGCGGCGCGCCCCGAAGACCAGCATCCCAAATAATCACCGCTCCAACCGAGCTATACCCCTCCAACCCCCCAATCCACATCGAAGAACCGCCCGCGGCCTTCAGACGCGGATTCCCGCAATCAGCAACAATGTCCACACTAGCGGACCACGGCACCGAAACCCTCGCGCGCCCCTCCTCATCCCAAGGCCCGGAACACAAGCGACGCAGCTCGCTAGGAATATTCGGCTGGATGAAGAGCAAACGCTCTGATTCCGGGCCCGGGACGGAGAAATTCACGGACTCCACGTCCAAAGAGAACCGCGCTTCCTCGCGGCTAGCTTACGAAACGACTCATGGGCTTGGAATTCCTCATGGAAACACGGACTCCATGGAGACTCATGTCAGACACCACTCCGAGATGGGTATTCAGTATGATGACTATGCGAGACGGCCTCGTTATATGGGCCGTCGTACACGCAGGGGCTGAGTCTCTCGAAGCTGTCATTACGGCCTTACTCTTCGTTCTTTATTTTCTTACTTCGTCTCTTTGCCTCGGTCTCTCTTTGTCTCTGTTTTGCTTCTTCTTCCATTTGTACTTCATGATACCCGGCCCTGTATAAACAGTAGCGTGGCTACATTCCTTTGCATTTCTTTTACTCTTCATTTGAAACGCCATGGTGTATTATGAGATCTCTTTGCTTTATCTTATGTTGTTACTTTAACGTATATGAATCACGACTATAGCCTTCTTCATCTTTCACGATTTATTCATCCTGTCGGCAGGGTCTACTGAGATGTGTTTTATAGTCTCACCTTACTCTACGTAATGATAGTTCGAAATGAACGAAGATTCAAGAAGTCAAGTAATAATTCAATTTCCTTTCTCGTCACACGAGGACAACTAGTTGATACGAAGTGACGGGCGCAAGCTCCGGCCTCCATCACTTCGTATCAACTAGTTGCCCGCGCAGACTCGAACGCCCGCCCCCACGGGTCTCCCCAATTCTCTTCCTTCTCATCGCTAGACGATGGGAGCCTAAGGCCCCCGGCCCTTCACACCGGGCGCGACAACAAGGGTTCCGTACACATCAGGGTTTCCCCTCTAGTAAGAGATGGGTATTAGCAAGTGCACCGATAGAGATGGAAGCAGGGATATGAGAAGTGACTTACGATGTGGGTCTGCGCGAGGTGCCGCCGCAGATTGGAGGCCATGAGTCTTGGCCTCCCCACCTTGTTGAATTCTGCGCAGTACGGGCACTGGTACGCGCAGGGAGCGATGATCTAACGAAGTAAAATGAAACGTGTTAGTGATGAAGGATGAAAAAGAAAGGAAGGAAGGAAGTGAAGTGAGAATTTAGGAAGGGAGGGTATAGGCTTGGGGTGGATGGGATGGGATGGGATGAGATAGGATGGATGGGATGGAATACGTACCAGCTCCGCGTTGTTCAGAGGCCACTGCGCCCGCGGGCCGTGGCAGTCGCAGAGCAGCTTGGCGGTCTCTCTGATATGTGCGATATTAATTAGCTTGGATCAAATGAAAGCACGTAGACAGGTGACATGGCGAAGATGGAACGAAACTTACGCGAAGGCGTCAGGAGGGTGGCTGCTGTCGCGCGCCTTCCAGCGGCTGCCCTGGGTAGGGCTGGTGCTTGCAGCCTGGGCTGCAGCGGCAGCAGTGCTTGTGCCCTGGGTAGTGCCAGTACCCTGGGTGGTGGCAGTGGCCTGGTCAGTGCCAGTAGCCGGGACAGTGCTGGCAGCAGGGACAGTGCTGGCAGCAGGAGCAGTGTTGGTGCCCTGGTCAGTGCTGGTGGCGGTGTTAGCAGAGTTTAGGAGAAGAACAGGGTCAATAAGCTCCATAAAGCGCCTCTGCTCAGAGGGATCGAGGTCGTACCAAGAGCCTTGGTGATTAGGCATTGTGGCAGATGAGTTCAGTACGTAATTGAGAGATGTACTGAAAGTGATCTGGGGAGAGGAGAGAAGAAGAGGAAAGGAGAGTAAGGGGAACAGGGGAGTAATAAATAGAGCAAAGGCGGGGGGATTTCTTGCTCTCACTTGAATTGCCAGGTAGCAGGAGTGTCAATGGGCAGGAGCGCTCAATAGGCAGGAGCGACAATGGGTGGGTGGTGTCATTCAACTGAGCCTGATACGGAAGGAGGCAGGCACAATATGGCTTTGGTGAATGAGGCACTTCACCATCAATAGACCTATTAAGGCTTGAACTTGACGAGAGTTGATATTGATTGATATTGATGCCTAGGACACATTGTGAATAGAATACTTGAGGCAGAAGAGCAGGGTCCTATACAAAATGTCAATATCAAATTCAGTTAACTCCAAGGCTTCCAGTCCATTTTGTTGCCAACTCCAGGATTTCTCACTTTTCCAAGACGCCCACACGATTAACATTACCATTAAGTCAAAATACCCCAAAACAAAAGACCTCACTATCTAATTAGTCCAGCCTAAAGCCTAATACCACCTATGACCGTCCTCCCCAAGCGACTTCTTCTTCGGATTCAATGAAACAATCCGCTGCCCAGGAAGCGTATCCGCAGTGAAGGCCGCCTCAAAGATGCTAGCAATCCCACGTTTAGCATAGTGCGCGAAAGAATCATAATCATCCGTCTTCCCATTAATAGCCGCCCACTCCAGTCCACTAGGCGTAGTCCCATCCCCAAGATCACTCCACCGCGTAACAACAATACACTGCTTGAACCTGCGATCATCCAGATCTTCAGTCAACTTAACCTCAATCAAATACTCAGTCGGACACTGGGGACATCTCCGCATCGGCCGGCAGAACCCACACAGCGTCGTCAGCGCGTTCGGATCAAACGCCTGCCCCGCCATGCGGTCCTTGACCCGGTGCTCGAGCCCTTGCAATCCGCCCGTACTCCGCGGCCGCGGAATATGCTCCAGCGCACACTTACATGCCGGCATCAGCTCGCCGTCGCGCCAGTGCGCGCACGCGCTAAAGTACGGACAGTAGTCCTCGCGCGAGTGAAGCAGCATGCGCTGCCCGGACGCCGTTAAACCCGGCGCCGCGAAGGTCTGGCTGGTGACGCGGAGTAAGAGCCTGCCGGCGTGGACGTGGAAGCGTGTGCTGTGCGACCAGTTGTCGCGCTGCCAGCGGCGGCCCAGCGATTCCGGGGCCAGGCCGTAGCTGGGACCGAAGCGGTGGGCGCGCATGACGAGCTGCACGAATGTGAAGGGCAAGTTGCGGCCGTGCGTCATGCGGTGACGAGGTGGGGGGTTCAGGACGTTTGTGGAGTTTGGGCAGTCGAAGAGCGGGTTTAGGATGTGGGTTGGGCGGATGCGTTCGGTTCCTTCTTTCGTGCGTCTGTGGTACTTTACACACGGGATGCAAAGGAGGTGGTGTGGGACGGAGATGTCCATTCCGACGAGGAAATTGATCTTCTCGATTTGGTTGTCTGGGTGCGCTAGAGCCTTGAGGTATCCGGAGCCTAGTCTTCGGTATAATGTGATGCTGGCCATTGCTAGGCTTGCGGCTTCGGCGGGATTCAGGTATCCCGCTATATGTGCCCATAGCTTTGGTGGCAGACTTGCTATATCGCCTTCGCCTGGCGGTCGACGGTCATTGTGCTCGTATGTTGGAGGGTGAATCTCGTTGACGTCAGATGTTCCTAGCGTATGGATGATTTCTGTGTAGTCCCGTCGCTCACCCAGTTGGCTGTCCACTTGCGCATGCAATTCCTTGTATTTAAGTCTATGAAGAGCCAATGGAGCTAACTCTGGCATTGGAGGGGCTTCCTCGACACTGGTCTCCACGGCCAGCCGTAGGTCTGTGGAGGATGATCTGCTGCCCTTGCGGAGGGTTTGGCGGGATTTCTTGGGACGCAATGCGTTGGAGAAAAACGACTTGAAGCCATTCTTCTGGCCAGGGCTTTCTGCCGACATCATTGAGGTGCTAATAGATGTAAGTCTTCGAGGCCTAGATGGAGAATATTAGGGTCTGATGTTTCGGATGTCTGCGGTGATCTTTTCCGCATTACGCGATCCGCCCGGTCCCGGTTTACCGCATTAGTTGACATCAGGAGAACAAGAAATAGTCAAACAAGATTCTTATATTATCAAATATTGTATATTGAAAACACATGCTACAATACATATCAAGCGCAAGACATCATAGCAGCATTTACAAATCAAATACAGTTATTTAAGCGAAACGCTTCTCAACCTCCTTCCAGTTGATGACGTCCCAGATGGCGGAGAAGTACTCGGCCTTGCGGTTCTGGTATTGGAGGCTAGAAATAATTAGTACGGATATTAGATCATTAAAGAAGGACCTCTTACTAGTAAGCGTGCTCCCAAGCGTCAATACCGAGGAGAGGCTCCCACTGGCCGACGACGGGGTCCTGGTTCTGTTAAGGGGTTAGTAACTAGAACAATTCAAGCGAGAATCATAACTTACGGCATAGGTGCGGATGGCGATACGTCCGGTCAGCTTGTCCCGCACGAGCCAAGCCCAGCCACTGCCCTGGACGCCAGCCAGAGCAGCGTTCATCTTGGACTGGAACTCGCCGAGGCCACCGTAGGTGGAGTCAATGGCCTTGGCCAGAGCACCAGAGGGGGGCTCACCACCGCCGGCACTCTTGGGGGCAAGGTTCTTCCAGAAGAGAGAGTGGTTGAGGTGGCCACCACCGTGGAAGTTGACGGCGGGCTTGAGAGCGATCTGAGCATTGATGTCACCCTTAGCCAGGGCGGCCTCCAGCTGCTCAACGGCGGTGTTGTAGCCGTTCACATAGGTCTTGTGGTGGTTATTGTGGTGGAGCTCCATGATCTTGCCGGAAATGGAGGGCTCAAGCGCGCCATAGTCGTCTTGTTTTAGTGTTAGTTTTAGAAATTTACTCTAAGTATGTAGATACAGCTTCTTGAAGCTCTAGGTGATACTGAAGCAACCAACTTACAGGGAAGATCGGGAAGAGTGGCCTTGCCACGGGTAAAGGTCAAGCCCGCAGCTCCGGCCTTGAAGGTAGCCGAAGCTCCCGAGCGAAGGGCAACACGGGCCGAGTTGTTAAGAAGAGCAGCCATTGTGAATGTATGTGAAGATTATTATGTGGTGAAGATAATGAGGAGGGTGTCAATTGTGAATGGTGAATGAATTCAAAAGAAAAAGGTTCGCGGCGGAGCTATGAAGTACTTAACCGACTATAACGTCATCTTGTTTTCGTCGGCTCGGAGCTATGTTGTTCCGAGCCGGATCCCCACGTGAATTTCATGAGCTCTGGACTGTGACTGATTATTCGTCTAGGACACTACTTGCTTGATCTTGCACTTTTTGCTGAAAAAGAGGGGACAGTTGATTTGGCCACAAACTGCCAATGAACCCCTAAAAAGATGGAGTCGCCTTCGTCTTCTGGGCAGAAGCGCAAGGTCGCTGACATGAGCTCCGATGAAGAAACCACGCGCCCGACCGTTGGCTTTCGGGGGTTCGCCAGAGCTGCCTCGCGCTCTGTGACACCTCCTACAATGGGTGGACTGGGTAGTGGACCCCGCAATAACCGAAACACCATGGCCAACCCTCGAGGTGGAGGATCGTCACGAGGTGGGAAAGGCATGGGAGGTGGCGGTGGAGGAGGACCCAACAGCTTCGCCGCGCGCATGATGGCAAAGATGGGATACAGGGAAGGGCAAGGTCTCGGAACTACTGGACAGGGTATCGTCAACCCGATTGAGGTACAGGCGCGACCCCAGGGTGCAGGCTTGGGCGCAGTGAGCGAGAAGTCGAAAAAGACTCGCGAAGAAGAGCGCCGAGCAGCTGCACAGAAGGGTGAGATTCTTGAAGACAGCTCCGAGGACGAACGACAGCGACGAAAAAAGAAGAAGGAGGAGCGCAAGGCCCAGAGTCGGAGCGGCACAGGTACACCGATCCAGCGTGCGAAGCCCAAATTCCGCACAGCGCGCGAAATCGAAGATGATATGGAAGGACTGGAAGTTCCAAATGTTCTCAAATCACTCGTCGATGCCACCGGAAAGGAGCAGCGTGTTCTCACTTCGACTGCTGGCCTGATGTCCACGCAACAATTCGTCAGTCAAGAGGAAGGAGAAGCGTTAAAGATCGCCAAGCGAGCTCGAAATGACCTGGAAGCATTTGCGGATGAATGGAAGGGGCTGAAAGAGAGGAAACAATTCATTGAACTCGAAGAAGCCCAGGTCGTGGACGAATTGGATGCATATCAATCCCGGATCGACCATCTCACAGGCCTAATCGCCGCAGTGGAAGAGCTGGACCTCTTTGAACACGACGAAAGTATCACGGCCAAATTTGATGAGATGACGGATAAGCTTGAGGATTTGGAATCCAAATATCGAGATGCTGTTGATGAGCAGCGACTTCCAGAGACCGCAGTCGCCGCTCTACATCCGTTATTCCGCCAGGCTATGGAGGAATGGGAGCCTCTTGAAAATCCCACATTCCTCGTGTCCAACCTCACTCGTCTTCAGCCTCTTCTGTCTCGCACCAACAAGTTAGAAGAGCCCCGGAAACGGGCATCCACTTCACCTTACGAAACGATGATTTATACCCTCTGGCTCCCACGAGTGCGCTCGGCACTTCTGAATGATTGGGACGTTTACGACCCGTCCAAGGCGACCGCGCTGGTCGTGGCCTGGAAGGCAATTGTACCGCCATTTGTGTATTCAAACGTTCTCGACCAATTGATCATTCCCAAGGTGGGCCTGGCCCTCAAAAATTGGAAACCTCGAGCTAGCCGACGACACGCCGGCTCCGAACAAGATGGAAAGTTCCCCTGGTGGCTTTTCACTTGGCTTCAATACCTGGATGAACGACACACCAACCCGAAACAGCCCACTGGTCTCATGTCTGACGCGAAGAGGAAGTTCCGCTCGGTACTCGACACATGGAGTCTGCGCAAGGGTCTGGTCGATCGCGTTGAGATCTGGCGGGATGCCCTAGGATCCGAATTCGATGTATGCTTACGCAACCACCTGCTGCCACGTCTTGCGCGTCATCTTCGCGAGGACTTCACCGTGAATCCGCAAAATCAAGATCTCACAGCGCTCAAGGATGTCTTGTGCTGGAAGCCATTCTTTCAGCCTAATGTCATGGGACTATTGCTGGTCTCTGATTTCTTCCCGAAGTGGCACGAGATTCTCTACATCTGGCTCACCAACAACCCCAACTACGAGGAGGTCGGAGCTTGGTTCTCTTGGTGGCGCACTCAGATCCCGGAGGAGATCAACGAGCTCACCATCGTCGATGATGAGTGGAATAAGGGCTTGCAAACTATGGATCTTGCCTTGCAGCTGGGCGACCGTGCCACTGCTGAACTCCCACGCCCAACCACGGCACAGACGCTTCCTACCCGGGAAGATAAGGTGGCAGCAGCTGCAGCAACTGCCGCAGCGGCTGCTCCTGAACCCCGGGTTAAGGCACCGGTCGTGGAAGAAGTTGCATTCAAGGATATCCTGGAGGGCTGGTGTTTGGAGGAGGGACTTATCATGCTACCCCTGCGTGAGGCTCATCCGCAAAACGGCCAGCCGCTGTTCCGTATTACGGCTAGTGCTACGGGCAAGGGTGGAGTCGTGGCTTTTGTCCAAGGAGATGTGGTGTGGGTGCAGAATAAGAAGGCGAAGGAGATCTGGGAGCCAATGGGATTGGAGAACCAGCTAGTAGAGCGTGCGGAGGGGCGATGAATACCGGCACCATACTGTGCATTAGGTGGATTGACATTGTAATTGAACCAAATGTATCTATTCAAGACATACAACTTTAGCCCTAAGTGGGGATGCCATGGTACATTGCAGAGGGTATGTAATTCAGTGTTGTAAATACTTATTCCACCAGTGTTCAAGTAGGACTGATCTCGATGTCTTCCATTATGTCATATGTGTGAGTAGGAAGAAACAACTATGTTACATCGTGCTATTCTAGGATTGAAGATGTAACAATGCTGTAATTTACTGTGCTTCAACAATCCACCTAAAATTTAGACAGGTCGCTAGTTTCTACTAGTGCAACCTACCTTGCACATACTGCCAAGCAATTCAGAAAAAAACTGTGCAATGATGCTTAGCTGACACGTAGTTGTCCCGTTGTGGAAGAAATAGAAGTCCATAGAAGGCCGTCCACTGTTCTGAAAAGCGTAATTCCGCTCGGATTTAAAAGTCTCGGGGTATTCGGGATCTCGGCTAATTGGCCAAGATGACAAACTCCATGGAATCTCATCCGAATCCTCGGAGCTAAGTGTGCAAGAGGACCTCCCCGCTTAACGGATATGGAGTACTCCTTCCTCCTCATTGGTGCTTGCAGTCCAGGTGAATATTAAGACGGGAAAGCCGCAATGGTTCCACGGTCTAGAATAACATGGTCCGCCAATGATACTCCTCCAAATAGACTAGTGGAGCTATAGATCTCCAACGGAAATGCGGGATCGCCGGTTGCAGCCAATCACCTCAGGGCCAAAGGTAATCACCGCATCCTTCACCAATGGAATCGGCGGGATTTGAACTTGCCTCGCCGCCTAAGAGGACAAAACTGATGTCGTGCAGATCCCATACCTTCGTTTGGCTGTCAGCGCTGACATTTGAATGTCCTGTGATTGGCCCTAGACCCCTCCTTGGCGAATAAACCTCCATTATTTTCTGCTTGGCTTGCATTAACTGTGGGCTTTTGCTTATTTTTTTTTCCCATGGCGCTTGGGTTGAGACCAGTGAGCGTCCGTGGCACTGGGATGTTAAAAGGGGTGAGGCGTGGCCGATCGTTGGAGTGGATTTCTTTCTTCTCTTCTTCATACTTTGTCCTATAGTCATTGTTGATATCCGTCAAAGACTAAGACATCAATTCCGGATTCTTCTGCTGGACCAAATAAAGTGCAATCATTTCCCAGCTTTGCCTTTCTCTCTCCATCTCTCTCGCCAGCTTGTAATTGCGTGGTGGACTTCCTACACCGTACCTTGGAGATATCTAGAAGCATATCAGTTTCCCGGATCAGCATCATGGCCTTGCTCTTCATCAAGCGAAAGCTATTCCCCACAAAGGATGCGGACAGAATACATTCAGGTTAGTAAGGAAAGAGCATACACCCAAAGAGACATATACTTACAGGAATTCAATTCAGGCAAGCGCCTCCTCGCCCGCATTGAGTCCGACGATACCATCCGCGCAGACTCTGAGCAAGACCTCGAGTCCCAAAACGGCCGCTCTTACGACACCTTCGGACGGTGCAACAGCCCAGACGAATCAGCAATAACAACCAACAGCAACTGCAGCACCCGCGAGCGCATCAACCCACGTATCATCTCAGATGCCATCCTCGGCCTCTCTGACGGTCTGACCGTACCCTTCGCCCTGAGCGCAGGTCTATCCGCACTCGGAAACACCAAAGTGGTTGTGCTTGGTGGACTTGCCGAGCTGGCAGCCGGAGCCATCTCCATGGGACTTGGTGGATACGTCGGCGCAAAGAGTGAAGCGTAAGTCATCCACATCTGGCAACCAATCAGCATATGTACTAACAAATACTAGTGAATCATATCAAACAATCGTCCGTGAAACACAAGAGTTGATCCAAACGGACTCGGAAGAGACCCGCGCCATGGTGCGCGAGACCTTCTCTCCGTACGGGCTCTCGGACTCGGCAGTTGCGGATATCACGCGCGACTTGCATGCGTCTCAAGACCGCCTGCTTGAATTCCTGCTTGCTTTCCATCACCGAGAGATCGCCCCTGACTGTAACCAGGCGTGGACTTCGGCCATCACGCTCGCGCTGGGTTATTTTATTGGCGGGTTCATTCCGCTTATCCCGTACTTCATTGTCTCGCAGATCACGATTGCACTGTACTGGAGTATTGGTGTTATGGCGATTACCTTGCTTGTGTTTGGATATGTCAAGACCTGTGTTGTGCGTGGCTGGTCTGGCCGCGCTAATGTGTGGGCTGCGATCTGGGGCGGAATGCAGATGTGTTGCGTCGGAGGTGTCGCTGCTGGTGCTGCGATCGGACTGGTCCATCTCATTGATATGGGTAGCACTTGATGACTTGGTGGTGATGGTACTAATGATGTTCACGTTGCAATTAAGCGTTCATGCATTGCAGCAGTGGGGTTTTTGCTTTCTCTCTACTCCTAATGTTTCTCATTTTTTTTTAGCTCGGCAGCGGGCGTTTCGGGGACAAAGCTGCAAAAAGCTTTATGATACACGTTTAACGAAAAAATAATTCATTTCCCATTGACAATCTCAAGTTACATTTCAACTACCAAGGCATTACTGGCCACCTTAGATAGTTAAATAGATATATAAAACAAAAAACCCTATAAAACCAATCCCAAATCACCCACTCAACGCAATCCCAACCAACTTCTTCCCCTTATCCGACAACTGAATCTTCAAAGCCTCCTCCCTCCCACGCTCCGACATCTTCCCCCAAGTCTTCCTCAAAATGTCCACGGTCTTCTCCTCATCCGCAAGCTCCGTCTCAAACTTATCAAACTGATCATCCAAAAACACCAAACAAGCAACATCCTCCAGCGTCTGTGTATCCGGATCCCCCTGCTTAAGATCCGCCTTGCGCACCAGCGCGCCCACTCTCGCCGCCTCCTCCGCCGAATACCCACTCTCAACACAGATCTGCTCGACCAGCGCAGCCTGTCGCCTCTGCAGTCCCGCGCGCCACGAGTGGTACCCAATCTTTGTGGCGGGGTAGCTATCGCGCGGCACTTCCCAGCGACGCAGGTGTTGGGCGCGGATTGCGAGGCGCAGGAGCTCTGGGGCTGAGGGGTTGAGGGTTGAGAGGTAGCTGGTCATTTTCTGTGCGTAGTGGAGTTCGTAGGGGATTGGGCCGGTGGGTGTTTGGGTTTGGCGGGGGTCGTCGGCGTGCGCTGCGTCGATGCGCTCGAGGGCTGCTTCGTATTTGGTCATTTTTGGGGGGTTGTTGGGGTAGATGGGATAGGTGGTTTGTTCTGAGTGGTGTCGTTTTAGGAGAGGAGTTTGCGCTTGGGATCAATTGGATGTAAGAGCGCTTGAAAGCTGGGTGGTTTGATATGAGGGTTTTAGATAAGAATAGACGCTAGTCCGGGTGTGGCTTGGTGTGCATTGTAAATAGATGTTTCTAATTGGTCGAGTATGTATTGGATCCACATTTAGTTAGTCCCTTGTACATGACGAAGGCGGTAGTAAAAGCGGTAACCCGATTAGGGTCCCGAGGTCCTAGAGCCCCTGAAGTGGTGATCTATGAAAGCAAACTAGTAAACAATGCAAATAGAAGAGTTGGGATGACTGTGTGGAGAAAAGCAGTTAAACTACATAGCAGGTCATTTTGAAGGGTCCACTTGCCCAGACTGTGGGGGATGACTAATAATTCTTTTGCTTGCTAGTTAACTAACTTACATCCCATCACATCCATCTGGACTCTGCCTGACACAATACATAAAGAAAACTTCGATTTATCTAATGGCCATCCCATGGAGAATATCGAGCCGTGCTATCCCTCCGAGGAGCATTATCTCACCGCTTTACATTATCTCCAGGAACATGTCTACCCAGATGGACCAGCGCCTCTATATTTCTACCGTTGATGCTGAGCCACTTCATCGCTACCGAAAAGGTGGCTACCACCCAGTCACCTTGGGGGAATACTTGAAAGATGGAAGGTATAAGGTGTTGCATAAACTAGGGTGGGGAGGCTACTCGACGGTTTGGGCAGCAAGGGATCAAAGGTTGTACAAGCTGGTGTGACCCGAAATAGTTCTAGCTGACTGAAAACAGGGAAGAGACATATGTTGCTGTCAAAATTTCGGTTGCAGAAACTAAATATGACATGCGAGAGCTACAAACTATGAAAGAGTTGGCATCTTATCACCCTCACACGGTACAACTGCTTGATAACTTCGATCTAAAGGGCCCGAATGGATCTCATAAATGCCTCGTCTATGAGCTTCTCGGGCCGAACGTCCCAGATACAATTGATACACGCTTTCCAGATGGGAGACTTCCTGGGAAGCTTGCCAAAGTTATTGCAAAGCAATGTTTGATCGGGCTCGATGGTTTACACCAACGAACGATTGGACATGGAGGTAAATCACTTTTCTTAGAGATGCTTTATATGGTATGGCACTTACCTAGCATAGATCTGCATACCCGCAATTTAGCCTTCACTATGCCTTACATAGACGATTTGTCGGAAGAAAGGTTTATTAGGATGCTAGGGAAACCAGATATTGGCTATGTCCAAAAACGTGAAAATTGTGATAGGAAATGCCTAGAACCTGGCATACCCGAATATATTGTGAGGCCTGCCTCGCGTCAGACGCTTTGGAATCCGGCTCAGACTGTCAAAATACTCGACTTCGGAGAGTCGTTTTTACACACTACTATTTCTAAGACACTACACACTCCTTTATCTCTCCGAGCACCAGAAGTTATCTTTCGGGATCGCATTGATCATCGTGTTGATCTGTGGAGCATGGGCTGCATGGTAGGTGAATCCACTTGTAATCCTTATAAACCAAAGACTGATATGTTGGCAGCTCTTTGAAGTGTTCGCAGGCCAGCCACCTTTCGACACCTTCTTAATAACTCCCACAATTCTCGTTGACCAAATGCGAGAAATGGCAACCGACAGTCTACCTAAAAGATGGCAAGGGGTGTGGAATACGATGAATGCAGAGGAGGGCATAGAAAGTAGCGGACCTAACTTACAGGAATGGCTGGAGGATGTGTACTTCAATAGCCCGCTGAGTCCCGATCTCACACGGGAGGACATAGTGAGGCTGGGACAAATCGTTGGGAGGTTATTGCATTTCGAGCCGTCTGCAAGAGCGTCAGCGAGAGACGTTCTTAATGATCCTTGGTTTAATGAGTGATCCTATGACTATTTGTTATAACGGGGAGCTGTCCTCATTCGTACTGTACCTAGGAATTTTCACTTCTTCGATTATCAAGCCTGCGTGCTGAAAATAGCCTCTCTTCTTTTGCATCGACCACATCAATAACTACCCAAGAAATGTATGCTTCACATACAATGACCCTGACGGCTAATTATCACTGTAAGAAACATCCAATTTGAATTAACACATCTATAGGATTTGATCTTTCCCAAACGCTTTGAACAGCAAAGAAAGACACCTACATAACATCAATATCCGGCCGATGATTAACCTGCGACGAACTATTTCGGGACCGAGCACTGTCGTAATTACAACACGCAACAGCAACACATATTACACAATCACAATCACGACGAGGTGCTGCCCTTTTGGGGGAACACAAGCAGCTCTTGCGAAACATCAGAAGGTGTCCTCTCCACCTGGTAAGCCTTGTCCTTTTCAAAGATCCGCGCCACCTCTTCCAAAGACAGACCTTTAGTCTCCGGGAAGAGGAAGTAGATCGTTGCCATGAAAATCACAAGACAGCCCAGATACACCAGGAAGTATTTCCAGTGGATGGCCGCCAAGGCCACAGGGTTTATATACTGGTTGAAGAAGCAAGCCATCGAGTCGGTGGTGAGTGTGATGGCAAGGCCCTTGGCGCGGAGCTGGAAGGGCAGGATTTCAGCTGGGTATGCGATAAACAAGGGCATATATGCCATGTCGTAAGCACTGCAGAAGAGGAAAAGCATGGGTACCACCGCAATACCAGCCTCCAGCACATGCATCTCTTGGAAAAGACCCGACATGGTCGTCGCGGCGGATAGGTAGATGAACATCAACATTGTGGCGATTAGCCAGAGTTTTCGTCGTCCGTATCGGTCTGCGGCCATTGCTCCGCCGACTGCGAATGCCAGGTTCCACACCTGCAAGCTGATATTGATGGCGGCCTGGTGAGATGCGTTGTATATACCGACTGATGCTAGGATCGGGGCTAGGTAATAAGAAACCACGCCTAGAAAAAGTTGGTTAGAAATCGGATTAGAATAAAAGGGACATTTTAGGTTCATACCATTTCCAGACCATTCTTGCATGAATCCCAGAATCACGCAAATGGATAGACGATGCATGTTGCTCCGGGATGCAAAGAAGCTGCTCCAGCGGCGGCAGCTCTTGTCAGACTCCGCATTGATGCTCTTGCAAATCTGGTAGAATTCGTCCTGAACAAGTTCGTCGTTCTCATCACCATTAGCGTGATATCTTGCTAGTATAGCCATTCCCTCATCTTTCCTGCCCCGGGAGACCAGCCATCTCGGGCTCTCGGGAACAAAGCAAAGCCCAACCAATTGAAGGACCGGATAGAAGATCTGCGTCAAGCAGGGGAGTTTCCATGACCAACTCCCTACGATGGTGAGTCCAGCAAAACCAATACCAGCCGACGTGATCGACCCGATGAACCAAAGTGCATTGTATAAACCCGTGAAGGTCTGTCGTTGACGTGGGTGTGTTGATTCGGTAATGAGCAATGGCGCGGCAGTTTGTGAGACTCCGACTCCGATTCCAGCGAGAACACGAGCGAAGAAGAAGACCCACGGATTATTTGTGGCGACTTGGATAATCGAGGCGATGATCACTAAAGTGGAACCGATCAGAACGCAGATCCTCCGCCCCAGATTGTCGGCGATGTAAGATCCGGGGATGAATGAGCAAAAAGATCCGAGTGAGACAGCTGCGATAATAAGACCTCGAGCATTTGTGTCCAGGTCTTTCAAAAAATTCGAGACTGTTGTTTTCTTTGATTAGCTTTGTTCCTATATAGCATGATGTATAAGATGCCTACATTCGGGAAGCACCAGGAGGCCATTGATCATGCTAGCACAGTATCCAGCTGTAGCCGATGCAGATAGCATAAACCCAATCCCTAGGTTTAGTTTTCGCAGCCCTGGATCCTTCATCCAGCTGCTGTTGGTGTTGTTGTGTAAGACCTTGGAGGCCATGTTTGGCGATATCCTGCAAAGACAGTGAATGTCGTGGATGAATGTTTCAGATCTTGAACTCCGAGCTGTCAAGCTCTTTTATTTAAACATTGAAAATTAATTGGTAAAAGAAAACTCCGAGTGACAATGCGCCCCAACATTCCTAGGATTTATCCAGGGCCCGAAATCTCCGCGCGAGGTTACAGCTGTAGCTAAGGAGTTGGAATGAAGGGAGGGAAGTCAAATGATCTGATCACCGGACGATTTCCCTGAGTTTGCTCTGATCCAAGAGCTTGGATGTGACACGCCTGTCAACATGCCTGCTTAAGGTCCGCGATTGGAATATGAGCTTTCAAGGTCTTGGAGAGCTCGGATGTTTCAGGAATGTTTGTAGCTCTCATAGCTCCCTCCCCTCACTTTTACCCACGGGGATCACTTCCCCGGTTGCCTAAGTTTAGCTTGGGATTCGTAGCTATAGTCTCCGTATGGATTCCCTTGATTATTGGATTCGTGATAGATCGACTCGCCCTTACTCAACGATTTGTCTCTGGGGAAACGGGGTAAGGAAGTTTTTCTCTGCAGACCTTCTAGGACAAGCACGGGCTATGATTTTCTTTCTTAGGTTCGTGAGTCAACTCGGTGTAACTATCTGCTCTGCCTGTGCGTCACTTGATATTTGAAAAGGTCTGACCACGGAGAGTCTCGAATCTGAAAGCCATGGCAGCGTGGAATGATATTACTTCGTTCTGACGCGGACAGCCTTATGGCGCCAATCGGAAAACCTCATCAGGCAACCCGGTGGCTTATGGTTTCCCCCTGCTTAGAGTTGAAGCAGATTCAAGAAAATAAACTTTACTGTTTATGATATGACGGTTGAGTATACTACTACTAGTAGTAAATGATATCACGAAGCATGAGTTACATTGTAGATTAGACTGTAGAATTGATAGAATCAAGCAACACCCGAGGTTCGTTTGAAACGCTCCGGATGTTACTCCTGAGCGGATGCCGATTTCCATGGTCACACAGCAGGATTGAACTACCCAAGTAATTTCGACTCATGGGCTAGAGCTCAAGAGCGTTATCTAGGGGGGTATTCATAATATTCATAAGAGTGCCGAACTAAAATCCAAGGTAGTCGATTACTAAGGTTAGTTAGGGCTCGGTTTGAGCTTATTTGGTTCCAAGGTTTGTGTCTTGGTACTATAAAAGCTTGGAAGCTTGGAAGCTTGGAGAAATGATCCCTGAGGTTATATACTTCATATATTACGCAAGTATCTGTTTATGAGAAGTTATCTGGTTATTCTGCATCTTCTGGAGCATAAAATTGTGGATATATATCCGAAGAAATATACATATCAATGAGACGTGCCCAACGATATGAAAGTCAGAATACAACGATCCCGTATCCACAAAGATCCAAGGGCACTATAGGCCTTACAGGAGTAATTATTCGTGATTTCTGTTTCTAGAACCCACATGAATCTGTGTTGTTGGCATATTGTTGCTTATAAACCACCGGGATGAGCTGTCAAGTCTTCACGGGATTGGAAGCTCTAGCTTCGGAGAGACCCCGAGACCCCCAGGATCCCCACTAATTGAATAGGGGTGATATGCTCTGACTCGTCAATCTCATTCAGCCAAGAGAAACTCCGCAGGCACTGCCACGATGCCAAGGCGCAGAAGTTGTTTGAGACACCGGAGGCCTTGGCGTGAGCTTACCCTTAAACCTTAGATGGCGGAAGATTTTTTGTCTTATCTGATCTTCATCTCGAGCCCTACCTTCCATACCATCAGAGTCCTACATCAACCTACTCTTGGCCTCCCCAAACCGAAAAAATGACACTCCTCCACGACCCTCTAAACCTCAACCAATACAAAACAACTATATCCGAGCCAAAAAAGAACTGGGTCCCAATCTCTTTCAGCGACGAAAAGGAAAAGCTCACGGGCTTCTACAAAGAGCAAAATGAAATGATCGAGGGCTTCCTCACAGCCGGCGAGGAAGAGCGCCTAAAAGCCGAAGACGAAGCCCAGAACGGCGGCAAAGTAAAGCTAGCCGTGCGCGCCAGCTTCACAGTCAACTTCTTCCTCTTCGTCATCCAGCTCTACGCAGCCGTCACAACAGGCTCTCTCGCCCTCTTCGCCACCGCCGCAGATGCCTTCATGGACCTCGTTTCGTCGGTTGTGATGCTAGTCACGTCGCGCATGTCCTCGCGCCCAAAGCCATACAAGTACCCCGTTGGCCGGCGTCGGGTCGAAACAATGGGCGTCATCATGTTCTGTGCGTTGATGACCATCGTGGCGGTGGAGCTGATCATCGAATCGGCCAAGGCGCTTGCGGCCGGCAAGACTGAGTCCGAGCAGCTGGATCTCGTGCCGCTGGTCTGCGTGGGCGTCGCTATCTTCTCCAAGTTCTGTATGTTCTTGTACTGCTATGGCTTGCGTCGGTATCCCGCTGCTCATGTCTTTTACATTGACCACCGTAATGATCTGGCTGTCAATGGGTTTGGGTTGATCATGTCGATTGTGGGTGATCGGTTCGTCTGGTATCTTGATCCCATTGGTGCTTGCTGCATTGCGCTGCTTATCTTGTTTTCGTGGGCGTCGACTGCGTTTGATAATATGTGGTTGATTGTGGGCAAGTGTGCCCCGCGTGAATTCCTGAATAAGTGTGTCTATGTGACATTGACGCACGATCAGAGGATTCAGAAGGTGGATACGGTGAGTTGAGAAGGTGGGTGTATTATTGACGTTTGACTAACGGTGCATAGTGTCGCGCTTATCACTCCGGGCAGCAACTCTATGTTGAGGTTGATATCGTCATGGACCCTGAGACTAAGCTTCGGGAGTCCCACGATGTAAGCCAAGCGTTGCAGCGGAAGTTGGAAGGTCTCGCGGACGTCGAGCGAGCCTTTGTGCATGTCGATTATGATTATGAGCATGATGTCAACGAGGAACACAGACCACTCTATGAGATTGGTGGATCGAAGCACTCCATCCGAGCTTTGGTGAAACGATTGTGGTCTAGAAACGAGGAGAAGGCAGACGGGACTGCTGTGTGAGAAGCTTCGGTTATATTGATTGAGCTGGGCTCCAATGTCTCGGAATGTTATACGCAGAGTATGAATGCAGTAAACAAAATTAATATCTTAATCGGTTTTATGAACGCCGAACTAGTTTCTCACAGGGCAATTTGTCAGACATAAAAGCAGAACATGACATTAACACAACCGGACGTTCAAAACATAATATCATCTCATATAAACTAAAGGGCAGGGGCTCTCTTCTTAGCCTTTGCAAACATGCCATAAGGCTTGACACTAAAAGCGCCATTGAAATTCTTCCCTTCCATATCAAATGTATACTCCTTATCCGCCAACTCAAAATCCACATCTTTGATAATGCGAACGAGCGCATGCAACGACCATTCCCAAGCATACCGCTTACCGTAACACTCGCGCTTCCCGTTCCCGAACCCCTTCTTCACACCGATTGGGAGCCGATCAAAGGCGTCGCCGAGCATGCGCTCAGGCTTGAAAGTATTGGGGTCATCAAAGACAGCAGGGTCACGGTTGACAGCAGACAGAATAGCAATCAGGGGCTGAGTCTTAGGAATCTCGTATTCTCCTCCGAGTATGACCGGACCATGGGTGGGCAACGGCTCGATGTTGAAACCCGGGGCTGTGGCACAGAGACGGAACGATTCGCGGAGGACGGCCTCGCAGTAGGGCAATTGCGAGAGATGGAAGTGTTCGATTTGGCCGGAGGGACCGAGGAGGGTGTCAATCTCCTGACGGGCACGAGTAACCACATCTGGGTTCTTGGCAAGATAGTACAGAGTGAAGGAGAGGAGATTCGGGGATGTGGCGCTGCCGATGAAAATGTTGATTATCTCGTCGATGACCCGGCTGTCTGGAAGGGATTCGCCTGTCTTCGGGTCCTTTTCGTGGAGTAGAGCATGCAGCAAATCCCTCTGGTCTATAGGCTTATTGCGTCGCTTGGCGATTATCTGCGCGCAATAGTCGCGACAAATCTTGATATCCTTGTCGAATGTACTCTGGTACATGAGTCGAGTGAGGAGCTTGGGTCGCGTGGGCCGACGCACGGCTTCAAAGGTCGTGTCTGACATTGCTTTGATGACGGCGGGTTCTGCACCAAGGACACAGTCTACATACTGACCGAAGAAGCATTTCATATTGGCAGCGTGGTTTAGTCGGTCCAAATCATTAGAGACATCCACGCGCTGCCCGGTGCTCTCTGTTGAAGTCCATTTCCAGATCAAGTCGTCCGTCGTGAGTTGTATATCCCTATGCATTTCCTTGACGGCCTCGGGTGATACGAATGGAGCCATGATACGATGCGCGATGCCCCAGCTTTCCTCGTTGTCAAACGCAGTAAAGAGACTGTCATGGACAAGACTGCGGATTTCGACAATGGGACCGGTGACGCATTTTCGGAAGCGCTTCTCGTCGCAAATTTCCTCGAGAAGAGCGGCGTTTGTAATGAAGACAAGTTGCTTGGTGAGGATTTTGATTTTGAAGATACCAGCTCCACCATGTTCTGCTGCCAGCTTATTTAAAGACGCCCAGGTATTGCCAGGGATCATATCGAAGATATTTCCCAGAATTGGAAGCCCCTGAGGCTGGGGAATAGGCGACGGCATGGTGTGTATAGACTAGAGAGGGAGTTGGGAATCTTCAAAATATGGCAACCCACTTGTACTTATCAGTAGGACGAAAGGACTCGTCACAATTGAAAAGTATGCATGTAGGAGCTCGCAGCTCTTGTGCCACATGACTGAAATGACAAGCCTCTGAGTGGTCTACAATTAGCTTTGGTGACATTGTGATGAGCCTGAAGATTTCCGTATTCTCGTCCAATTAGAGATCGTATTGTCACAAACATCGGAGAGGTGCAGCTAAGCTGCAGATGAACTCCATACCCCGCGTGCCCACATGATATGTGATGTGTATTGCAAGTGGGAAGATCAGGGGAAGAGCGTATTGAAATAGAGAAGAGTAAGGGGTAGAGTTGGTGAATGCTGCCCTGAGAAGGCATTTGAAGCCGCTGACAAACCAAGTAGACAAGCTATTTGGCATATCAAGTACAAGCCAATTACGACTACATATTCCAAATGCAGCTTCTACTGTCCAATGAAGCATCTTGTCATCTATTGAATCGATTGACTAATTCTTCCTCGCCTCGTCATCGCGGAATGATATCTCCACGCTGCCAAGGCCGAGGATCCAAAAATTCATGGATGTAAAAAAAAAAGTAAGGAAGTGTCATGCACACTCCCTGTAATCATTGATGAACACAGCAGACCATCGAGGGTGGCCGGTAGAAGAATCATGGAAACAAGCTGCAAGCATAAGAAACCGTCAAGAAAATCAGAATAACCAACCATTACAGCAGCAGATCTCGAATAGCTGTGCGCGAGATATAAGAAGAACAGAAAGAAAAAAACAAGGGCAGGGAATAAACAAAGCTTACGAAATAAAAGCAATTGATCATATCCACTTTGGATAACTTTGTCTCCCGCCCAAAACGCCGTCCGATTGATGAAGCCGGGTATATCCAGCACCGTGATGCAACATGTACTGAGAATGAAAAAAAAAGAGATCAAGAGGAGGGAACGAGGCATTAAGTACACGCGCCTTGCCACAGTAGCAAGACTCGAGCCGAGCCGTCAACCCCATCACCCCTAGGTTAATATGGGCAGAATTGGTGTTTCATCGAAAAAAAATAAACAGAAACAGCTTTTGGTTGATTCGAAATGATCATAGAACCCATTTCGTCATCTGGCCCCAATGCCGAACATGCCTACCCCGTAGCTAGCGCTTCTTTCGGACATAGGGGTTGACACCTTAGCGACGTGACCCTGATTAGATTAATTTTTATCAACAGAATTAGTTGCCATGGGGATGCTTTACCTTCTTGCGTTTCTTCTTCCCAGTTCCCTCGCCGTTCGAGTAGAATCCGGGGTCATCATCATCGTCCACAAACCCTTCGCCATAGCCGGCAAAGCTATTGTCATCATAATGTCTTTTGCGACCCCTGCTAGGCCGTGGCCGATCTGCTTCCTGTGGTTGCGGAGATGGGACATAGGATTGGGAAGAGAAGCGACCAGCAGGAGCGGGAGGAGCCTTCTTGCCAAGCTCGCCTGGCGCTGGATTCTTAGCCGCCTTTTCATGACCCAAGATATCTTCCCAGAAATCGTTGTTAGGAATCGGTCCGGGTTCCATTTGCATGGCTCGCGATTGGAGATTTTGTAGCGCCGAATCCATGTCTGAGACCTTGATAGCTTTGCCATGCACCTTTTGGTTCTGCCATTCCTCTTCAGGCCATAGAGTCATGTACCTCAGACTGCCAGGGGTACCGATCTCCTTCTTGACGGGTTTGTTTCGCCCAGAGAGTCCCAGTCCTTTCAGCTTTCCTTCGTATGATTTCCTCAAGCGGTTGATCTTCTCCCCTGTCACCGGATCCATGCGTGCTACCGAATGTGCGATCGGGCCTAACCCATAGAGAGAGACGAGATCCACTGTAGGGTCGGGACCAGTAACGATCGGAGCTGTCAATGAGGAAAAAGCAGTGTTAACAACTTCAGTCCCAAGAATGTGCAAGATCAGTACATTCATGGAGCTGCACACAGTAGATGGCATGATGCGTTTTGGGGAATCTTACATCTCTTGCAAAGATGAAAAGTCGAGGTTAGCTCTTTCTGAAGAGAATCGAGATCGAGACTGAGGGTGTCTGCCCGAGTCGACCCTTTATTCATATCCATAGCGTCGGAGTCTGTCGAATGTTGACCTTGCCCGGTGGCAAAGTCAGTGCTGTCTGTTTGAAAAGATTGCCGATCGTGGTCGGTCGGTCTGTGCTGTGTTGATTGCTGAGCGGGACTTGCTCCCGAGTTTTCTGCCGAGTCCTGCATCCCCATATTGAAAGATTTTCTCCCCTGATCCACATCGTCCGAATTCGCAGTAGGGTGTCCACTGACACTGCTGGCGGGAGTGGGGAATGCATTGGTGGTGCTCATTGTGGGCTGTTGGGAGACTTGGGTAGACATTGGCGCAGAGGACGGAGGGGAGGAGATGTTCGGAGAGTGGACCGTCGCCTGATTCGGTGATGATATGAAGTTGGCGGCATGACTTGGTTCGCTCACCGACATCAACGGAGGTGATATCGGGGTCTGGGGAATGTGGTCCGAAGAAATAGGGAACCGGATGTTCTCTTTCAGAGACCCGGCGGGCGAGGAGGGTGAAGGAGGTCTTGCTTGAAAGGAGGTAGGGTGAGTGCGATCAGACATGAGAGCCCGAGGAAGAGTTCAGCATGCAGAGACGGTATTAACCAGAGCGGCTCTGGGTCCGAATCGCAAGTTTGATACCAGGGCCTGGAGAGGGGGATTCCCGATCACGGTCGACGGTCGCTCAGGCAGGCGGGCAGGTCATTCAACGGGCGGACTAGATCGTCTTCATTCCAGGGGACTAGAGTGAATCCCTGCGAGTGGTAAAGATTAGGTGCGTGATGAGTGGCGGTGGTGAAGGAGAGTGATGATGGGAGATAATCCTGTGGTCAAAGCCGGCGAGGATGACGGCGAATTGATTAATTCACGTGACCGGGCTTGGCCCGATGTACTTTATTCCCATTGTACTCTATTGATCTATGTACAATGCAGGTATTCATTCATGTATTTGTCTATTCATTGCTATTCTCTGAGTTGGGTCTTTATTCTCAATACAATGCGACCATATCAGTCCATCAATTAACTGCAAACAACCCTCCCCTTAGCGAGTGGCGAGATCAAGTAAGATTAAACTTTGTATGGCCCCTACATTTGCCGGGAATAATCCCCCGACACTTGATCAATGACATTACGCGTTGCATTCATATCTGTAGGATATGCTAATCAGATTATGCCACACCTGGACACTCTGCAGATGTTGGTGGCGTATCCCGGGTCTTACATGCGTCCATTTTTATCCCAACCCTCCAAGTCATGAATAGAACAGATATCAAATGGAACTTGAAACAATTGGAAATGGTATCTCTTACTATTTAAAGACTATTCGACAAAAACAAAGTCAGGTGGTCCAGGATGCCTTTCTTGGCATGGGTGACCTACAGCCCGGTTGGTAATATGACCATTCAAGAAGACATACTCGTGGATGTCAGAAGACGAACCAGTCTAAGACAGAACATCAAGTGATATATCGGGAATCAAAGCACAACCCCCACCAAGCGCCAGAGCTCATCAATATAAAATGATGCCCGAGAGAGATCTGACCTCAGGACTGATAGTAAGCATTATACTCATTAACCAGTTGGGCAGACACGTCGGGTATATTGTGTTCGAGGGAAGCCAAAAGCTCGATTTGCTCTTGTTGGCTGAGAGTGCGCTCACGCCATGAAGGTACTGGAAATGGCTCGTGGAAGTACTGAGAGTACTGGTCTGCAATGGAGCTGGACCAGTTCATGGGATTGACGGTCGCATCGGTGTATGCCAAATGACCTGCGGTTGTGGAAGCAAGTGAGAAGTTGGGGTCCCAGCCTTGAAGGCCGGGAACAACTGAAGGTATTGTGTTATAAGGGGTGTTCGGGTCAATTGATAAATCGGGGTAGAGCGTCGGCCCAGAGTAAGCTGCTGGTGTATAATGTGGTACCACACTTGGGGCTGTGATTGGTCGCTGCATGTCAAATGTACAGGAAACCGATGGCACTTGTGGTTCTTTAGACGGTCTAGGGCCCACTGCAGGTGGGGTTGATTCTTGCGCAAATGTAGGATCAGCCGACTGTGCCCTAGAACAGGTACCGTTTGAGGCGGTATCGATTGATAGATTGCCACGGTGGTTGTTGGAATAATACGAAGCAGTCGTGCTACTTGACGGGCTGGACATGGCTGGAGGGGTCAGTCCCTGTGAGGAGGTTGGCGTAGGATGGTTAGAAGGCGAGTGTACAACGAACGATTCTTCCGTCCTGTACGCTTTCAGGCACGCAGCAACAAGGCGCCTGTAAAGAAGGAAGGCAGATTGGACACCTGGCCAACGTTCGGCGGAAAATACAATTACTTCCATAGCCATATCCAAATGGCCTTGGACTTCCTCAATGGTGTGCTCTTTTCGAATTTCGGGGTATGAGAGGGTCCAGAGCACAGTATTCAAAGCCATGAACAGGGCTTGCACAAACACCCATGTCAGGTCGACAGATCCAGTGATCATCTGTTCTTTATGCATGGCGATATTGGAGATGGCCGCGTCATAACAGGTTTTGGCAGCATTGACGGTTGGTTCGGGTATTTGTGGTGAGGGACGATACATGAGAACAATGATGGTATTCCGTCTCCCTTGAAACCTGTAGAAGTTATTGTCAGCAAAGCTGCATTGGGGGAAATGGGTATATCAACGAACCATTTCACGTTGAGTCCACTGCCATCATCGTTCTTAGGAGTAGTGGCCATCCAATGGTCAATCTTGGCCAACATTTGAGAAAACCATGGATCCTGATCATCAACTGGGCTCTCTCGTCTGTTTGAGTAGAGCATTCTCCTGGGCTCCAATTGGAGCAGTCGCATTTTGAAAAAGTGAACTGCAATACACTTTGCTAGAACGGGTTTCGCTCCCGGGGTGATCCCCTCGGCGGTGATGTACCGGTCATCCACCAGTTCAAAGAATTTCACATTGATATGGTCGTGGCTGACGCAGTAGCTACTGCATCGACCCAGACTATGAGAAAGACCGAACTCCATTGATGAGACGATCCAAAATAACCTTCGACGCATGTCAATCTCCAATGGATTTAATGGTTTCCCACACGGTGATTTGGTGACGGTGGCTTCTTCCGTCAATCCCAAGTCCTGACAAAGTTTGGCAGCCGTCCCCACGACCCAGTAGGCAGCTGTGCGAGTGGGCGTTACCATTGAATATGAGGCAATGAGCACGAGGCATTGCAGAGCCCCTAAATCCAATCGTTTTAGTGTGGGTTCCAGGTAGGGCAAGGCCGCAAGGTAATAACTATCAGCGAGACCAGCATATTCTGTGCTCATTTTCTGCATGCTGATGGCGATGACCATCCGCAGTTGGAAGTTTTTGCAGGGATCTGTAGAGCCATTGAATACCTCCTCTACCTCTTGTCGAAATGTGGGCTCGTGCAGGAGCGGAAGTAGTGCTTGTGCTATACAACGAATCAGTCACACGAGCTACAAGAAAAAGAATCAGAGCAAAGTGATCGCAGTACCTTTGGCCACAAAAAGATCAATCAACTTATAGGTCAGGGTCTTTGGAGGTAGATTGGGTTGTGGGATCGAGCTTATCATGGGATAGACTTTTGATGTCGGTTTCGAGTCTTCTTGGGTGAAGGCATCTTTGATCTCTTGTGCGGTGAATTCGGGAACAATATCCTTGATGCTTTTGGAGTCGGTGTTCTGCTTGGCCATCTCCATGACCAATCGGGTCATGGCGATGCCACTCGAGGCGCCGAGATATCGCGGCTCATCGTTCTCCTTGAACCGGATGCGCCCGGCCCCCCGCACCATCAACTCGGCATCGGCAGCATGTTGTACCTCGTTCTCGGCTTTGGCAAGCTCTCTTTCTAATGCGCGGGCTTTCTCTCTGAGCGATAGGATGTATGTTCGAGGTATAGTTGTGTCGCGGGTCGAGTCGTAGTACACGCACTTGGCATTGCTTCGTTCGCAGGGCGCACATCGTGGAATTCCGGGGTCGCATCTAGATTTTCGCTGCACGATGGATTAGTTGGGAAAAGCACCAAAAAAAGGGCATAACACTAAGGGAGCAAAAGGTTCAAGGTGACGGGGATGGGGGAGAGGGGATGTCTCCTACATGTCTACACCTTGTGCAGGCGGTCAATGTGTGAGCGATGCGACCGTCCGGTGGCTCTAATGAGTGTAATTCCGGCGACTTTAGCCCTGTGGAGGAGGAGTCCGGACTTGGGGTCATGGTGGGCCAAAAAGGGTATAAGATTAAGGAAGTCGGGAAGGTCCAATCACATTATACACGATTTATACCCAAGGGACCTTTCGAAGAAGCAAATTGCGAACAGTCGACATGATCTTGAGGCTCCCGAGGCCTTGACAAGGGGGAGATTCGAGTTTGAAGATGTGAAACGGAGAAGAAGTTGTGTCCGGAATGGGAACGAGGCCACTAATATGCTTTTCCAAGGGAGGGGGGCCCTCGGTCCAGATCTGGAGAGAAGGTTGGGCGTGGGACAAGGTGAGGTGGATATGGTGGAGGCACAGAGCAGCTGAAAAGAGAGACCTGGACTAGTTTAGGGAATAGATGGTGTGATGTGGGTGTTTAATGGGGGGTTGCTAGTATTTTTCCGATAGTTGATGGTATTCAACAGTGGTTTATAGTGGTTTAATCGACGTAACCAACATCTTCATAGACACTTCATAGCCCCAAGAGCACCTTAGTAATAAAGACGGGGAGATTCTCGCCGTCCGTGCGGTTCCACAGATCTTCCCTCCCCTCCCTCTCCTGTCCTATAACAGCCGGTCTCGTTTAAACACATCGGATTTCGGTGGAGTTGGCTTTTCTCTTCAACGTCTTCGGCTAAGGCTTATTTCTCGAGCATTAGTCGCTAATCCTTTCCCTCCAGGGCCAGCTCATGCAGGTTCACCCCTTCGGCCCTCTATTTAATGTCACGTGAGTCTTTTGTGCCGTTATGTGGAGATGTGCAGGGGGGGAGAGTGGGGGTCCCATATCCTCGAATTTACTGACCGTGACCAGTATAATGAGCAGACATGTCCGTCACCGCTACGACCTTCTTGGATAATCCCTTGCTCAAGGTGAGTCGGCCAGTCGCCGCCTGCTCGAGATGTCGCACCGCGAAGATCAAATGTGATGGCAAGCTCCCCGCATGTTCGGCTTGCGAAAGAGTCGGCAAGGCGATCAGTTGCTCCGGAGCAAGCGATGAATTCGCCAAGGGGAAAGAGAGAAGTTATGTCGCATCACTGGAAGGGTATTGTGAGAAACTCGAGAAGAAGATCAGTCAGATGCGTGCCCGATCAACCTCGCTGTCTGCGGAGGGTGATGGGATCCCTCGGGAGATGTCAATCACCTCCGTCTCGTCAGAGAGGGCATTGGGCCCTGCCCACCGCAGAGAGGTTTCGGACATTGACGATTTAGTTGGCGATTTTGGTTTCTTGTTAGTATGGCTGGATTGCTTTCTTGACCCCGCTGACACTTCAAAAGATCTGTCAATGCGACTTCGCGAGACTTCCACGGCATCACCTCGAGTACCTCCTTCGCCAACCTTCTCCTCTCCGTCGCTCTAGTCGATTCCTCCCCACCCTCCTCTCCGTATTCACTACCTGCGCGGCACGAAGCAACCCCGTTGCTACAATACTATTTCGATAATATCTTTGTCCAGCTCCCTTTCTTTATCGAAACGAGCTTCTGGACCTCGGTGGATGCCGTATATCAGTCAGGCGGCCGGTTCGCCAAACCGTTCGATCATTGGATGCTGCGCATGGTTCTCGCTATCGCTTCGGCGTCACTCTCATACCATCACAATGATAAGAGCCACCAAAGGGCATGGGCTCTCGTGTCGGAGGCTTTAACATATGCCGAGGAAGTCCTCCGCCCTGGGTCAATCTCGGGAATCCAAGCAATCCTACTGCTTGCTCAATATTCTTTTGTTGACCCAGTACGCTTCCGGAGTTGGTACTTGATTGGAATGGCTGTCAAGGTTGCGATAGATCTGGGCTTGCATCAAGATCCCCCGGCTGAGGTTTTGACTAATCCCGACCGACTTGATATTCGCCGGCGTGTGTTTCATTCCATCTATTGTCTAGACAGGTTCGTTTGTTTCTGTTCCTCAATTGCTGCCTTGCTAATCTTCTATCACAGAGGATTGAGTCCTGCTATGCAGAGAACCTACTCGTTCTCCGACGGATCTGTAAATGTTGCATTGCCATCAATTACCGCACCAGGGGCCCTCCTAGAGCAGACTCACATTTTCCTGCGCAGTCCGGGACCTGCCTTGCATATCGTTAAAATCCGACAGATTCTGTCCGCGGGCTACCAAGAAATGCACTACAGCGGGCGCGATCCATCCCCGCAGCCTCTTGTCCTCATCTGGACTCTGTGCTGGCGAGCCCGCGAATGGTTCCAGCAATGCCCCAAAAATGCTCCAAACCACTTTTCACTTCTGTACCGACTAGAATTATTATACACCATTATCATCTTGATATCCCCTTCACATCGATACCCAATTCTCCACGACTACAGCAAGGCTCTCTTATTCGACCGGTGCATGGACTACATCAGCCAAATTCACCAGGTTCTAGAAAACCCCAGCGCCCTGCCCTTCCTGACATACTTGGACATCCAGCGCGTGCACCAAGTGGGTCGAATATTCGTCAATGTCCTGTCCGACAATTACGACATGCTCATTAGCGCCGCTGTCCCAGCACCCCCTCCCGTCCCCGCTGGCACTCCAGAGCCGCCAGTACTGGGCGACGAGGACTTGTTCAATTGCCACGCACGTGCCATCCGCTGCCTGTCCTATATCCGCGACATGCTCAAATATTGCGACAGGAAGTGGGACATACATGGCCATCTAGAGCAGTTCGAGGACGAGTCTGCGTCCATAGAGAAAACTCTGATGGATGGCTCGGTGGGCTACATGTCGAGCCAAGAGATATATTGTCAAGACTTGTTGTCGGGAATGCCGCTGGCCGGCGATGCATATTCGGGGTACCATATCGGGTTATGAAAGCATTTTCTGTGTGATATTTGGGCATATGAATTCGGAAAGGAAATGAGCGTGGTTTGTTTTTGGTTTTGTGAAATACCCCTCCACATGATGTGTATAATGAATAATATAGTGTGAATCGGTCCAATAAATGGGTTCACTACACACTGGTACTTTACTGGAACTTACTTCGAGCTGTAGCACGGTGTATTGATGTACAACACCTACCTGCCTTACTTGCAAGGAACGATGCTGTGTTAATGGGCAATAACTCCATGAAATCATTTTGAACTTAATCTTGCATTTTAGGAATATCTTTGATTGTCCGGACTATTTAGAATATATATCATGCATTGCCAATTGTAAGTTAACCATTCCATCACCCACATCCAAGCCTGAAACGATTGGGCTTTATAGATTGCTCATCATCATAAACATGCACAGCGTCATATCCCATGTTCCAGTCAACTCATAGCCTACTTGAGTTTATAATATACCGAGGCTTTAGATTTGGCACGTGAAATCAAAAACCACTTGATGCTGATCCCGATGCGGCAGAATATACTCTAGTTACTTGTCCCCGGTGACATATTCTTATTCTAGGACAACATATTTAGGTCTACAGCGCCATGTTCTTCATGAAAACAGCAATGATCACAAGTGAACAAAGCAAGGGGAAGCGGCTTGTCCGAGCTATGAATCCTCTAACCATTCCCGAGGTATGTTGTGGATGGTTCAACTGCAGGAACTACTGAACCGATCCAATCATTTACTTGTGGACTTTACTTGTGGACCTGGGCTTGGGCAGACCGGTAGTTTTCTAGACGTTTCCACATGATCCAAACCAGCCCTAAGATTCATGGAGTATTGAGTTTATAGTATAGCACAATAAACACAAATGAATGTATAGCAGTCACTGAATATGCCTTGCTAGTTGATTGCTGTTAAACCCGCGAAGGCCGATTGAGTCTGCGCCTAGCGAGTCATACAATGCATTAGTCCGGCTCGATCCGAGGAATTACTCCATTCAAAGCGAGTGGATAGGCCAAACTGTCCTTTGTTGAGGGTGGATATACGACATGTGTTGTATGTACTCCGCACATACGGACCTCGGGAGTAGTAGTGGAAACATTGAAGTGTCTTCTAAACCAAATCGAGGCCAGGCCGGCGAATTTCGGACAGAATGGGAATACCTAAGGAAACAAGCATCTTGTGCCCTAGCATTCGAAGACAGCAATGGTCCATGGATTATTGAGTTGTTATATCATTTTCTCCCGATTTGGCAGTTACCCCTTATAGTTGAAGGATATCCAATATTAAAAACGGCAATAGATCGGAAAAACCAATGGATCACGGCATATCATGGGCCTATGATGAAAAAATTCAAGATAGGGATAGTCTTGTCGGCTTCTAGAAGTTCTTATTCTAGTCCGATATACTAGTGTCAACGGGAATTCAACGGGGAACCCAACAGGGAATCTCCGAAGTCTTCTCCGTTCCTGCTGATCGACAGAGCCTCTCTCTTGGGTGATGTACGGTGGCACCCAAGCTTTTGACAACGCGATCTTGGATCCCAAGTCCCGGCAGTGGCTGGCGGTACATTATCCAGTGGAGTCAAGTTTGACCATCGCCTTTGTTCCGGTCAATCTTAACGGCCTTGGCGGTGAATCGATCCTGAGTGACCAATGGAAGCCCGTCTCCGCAGCCATTTTATTTTTATCGAAGGAACGTGGACTGGAGACGTGTGGCGTTTGCAACGGAAAGGGGGGCCGTTGGCTAAAAATGGCCAATAAGGGTATCTTGAATGGCAGTTAGGTGGAGATAGTTCGGTCAGGATGCCGGCTGATTGGCATTTAGTTCCACGCTATTGGATTCAGACCCCATATGGGCCTTTTCAGGCAGTTGGGTTCCCCTATGTGGCGCTTTGCAGATCGTTCTTTGTTTCTCGTGGAGTGCCACTCTAGTTCAGAGCGAGAACGACAACAAAGACAAAAAGTACGGAGTGCGTATGGCAACAATAATGGGGATTCCTTGACACAGATGATCCGCTATTTAAAGTGGGTTTAGAATATCAGGGGGTTTACTGCCATGGAGGTACTACAGGCGCTGAGTTGTATATTGTACATTTAGGGGATATCACCGGATGATCATTTACCGATAGAATCTAATTTATGGTTAATTCACAGAGTTTACTCCGAGACTATGGGCAAGCCCGCGAGTATAAGCTCACGCTAGCCCAATCTACGTTGTAAGCCCAAGTATGGAGTAACTAAACCTCGAGGTTCCATGCGCCCTAAACATGGGCATGTAGATCTCAATTTGATCCTGTAATCCGGTAGCCTCCGAACTGACATGTTTGATTTCAAGAATTCTACGATTTGGGATTGTCGCGTTATTTCTAGGGCAAGAGTGAGGACTTCAAAGCATGTCTAAATCTTACGGATAAGCTTCAACTACAAGTGCCGGACGACAACGCCCCATCTCGTCAATGTTTATAGACATTGTCAATAGTGGACAGACCCCGTTGTTCTGGTTGATTCGGTCCATCTCGGCATAATGGAGATGCTCGTCCCACTTAATGCTTCTCTAAGACTCCATTATAGCCAACTATTGAGCTGACCCGCCAGTCTGGATACTGCTGCTTCTTTGACAAGTAAACTCCCTAACAGGGACAGGGGTAGTAAGATCGTACCTGTAGATCACTCAGTTCATAGTGTATAAATACGGTCTTTCTCTGTGTCCCCATCAAAGTTTTCTTCTTCTCCAAGCTTCCTACCACAGTCATTCTTTCAGCAACTACAGTCACTCTTTTCAGTTTTTATATACCTATTAATTTCACAATGAAGGCCTCTTTCATCGCTACCGTCGCCGCCATGGCCGGCTCTGCTTTCGCCGCTCCCACCACCGTTGTTGGTGCCGATAGCCTCCTCGTCGGCCTCAAGATTGGCGACATCACCGCGGAGCTCAAGCTCAGCGAGATCCCCGTTGTCTACAAGCTCGGCGACCTGGCCAATATCCTCGACCTTCCCACCCCCTCCTCCTCTATCAGCAAAGTCCCCGCCGTCAAGAACGGTCACCTCGTCCAGGACCTCGGAGACGAGGTCGACAACATCCTGACCGTTGTCGGCGAAGACCTCACAACCCTCCTCATCGAGCTGTCCCCCGAGGTCACTGCCCTCGTCGACGGCCTTGGTCTCGGTTCCCTCGGCGCTCCCCTCGGCTCCATCGTCGCCTCCGCCTCAAACATTGGTGGCATCGTCTCCGGCCTTGGCTCCGTCATCGACGGTCTCGTCACTGTTGTCGGCGCTGACGCCGGTGCTCTCCTCATCAGCCTGTCCCCCGAGGTTGCTGGCCTCGTTTCTGGTCTCGGTCTCCCTACCATTGGTGTCCCCGTCGGTACCGTCATTGCTACCGTCGGCCAGAACCTCAAGCGTGGCGAGATTGTCCAGGACCTTGCCCCTGTTGTCCAGAGCACCATCACTGTCGTCGGCCAGGACGCCGAGGATCTCCTCATCGAGCTCTCCCCCTCCGTCACCTCCCTCGTTGCCAGCCTCGGTCTGACCTCCGTCGCCGGCCCCATTGGCTCCGTCGTCGCTGAGGCCGCTACCGTCGGTGAGCTTGTCAAGGACATCTCCGTTCCCGTTGCGGATCTCCTCCACATTGTCGGCCGTGATGGCAAGAACCTCCTCATCAAGTTGACTCCCTCCGTTGTTGGCCTTGTTGCTGGCCTCGGTCTTCCCACCATTGCCTCCCCTCTCGGTGCCATCCTCACCACTGTCGCTAACAACCTGTAAATGCTTACCGGCATGTTATGACTCTGGTTGAATAAGCTTGCTTGCGTGGAGGTCTGCCATCGGTATGACTTTGGTACTCACTATATAATCATAAGAATTTATTATATTCATCTATACAATGTCCAGAGTATTTGACACATAAGGGCGGGTAATACTCATAGTAATTAATTTGTTCAGGCCTCTAAATCCAATTTAATTTAGAAGAGGGGACTGCAACGGGGACAGCAGGAGCAGGTGTGAGGGCAAAGTTGTCACTTGGAGTAGTAGGGTACTAGAGAGCAGAACAAGAACATCATGGGGTGACTCCTAAGAAGAGAAGGTGGAAGCATCAACTAGTTACACATTATGTAAAATATCTTGGCAAGGACGTAAAAACCTCAAACAGACATCTTAATGGAGAGAGAAGACCTGTTGCATTCACTGGCTAAGAGAGAGAGAGAGAGTAGGTTCAGGCGGGGAAGCAAGGTCCTATCTTCCCGAGGCAAACGGTCTCAACAAATCTTCTCCAAGCACCCGGACAAGCCGAACAGTTGATGAAAAAAGGAGTTCGCGTCGACCGGGGGTAGTGTAAGCCCAGTGACACTGTGCAACGAGGCGTATGCAAGCACAGAGGCCAAGTCGCGAGGTCCAAATATTAGAATAATCATGACGTTCTGCAATGCAGAACATTCAGCGATTAAACTGAATAGAACAGATACTACACATGATCTAAGCCAGAGGCAAAGAGAGCTGAAGAAGAAAGAAAAGAAGAGGAAGTCCTGGGGGCAGGGCTACCTTCTTATAGGTATCCTAAGGGCGGTCGGTTTATGCCACTATTCATAAACAAATGAGACAAACAACGACATGGGCTCGCTTAATTAAATGGTAACGTGATCGTGAGAGCAGGAACGGCGTCTCTTATTTCCGCTTGACTTGTTTCACAACTGTCATTCACTTTGGTGTGAGGCTATAATGTTTGGTTCTTCTGATATCAGCAAGAGAAGGGCTGCAGGTATACTAATCTTCATCCCCGTGGGGCCCCACGTTTTGTTTACAGATCTACGGATAATTTAAGCACTCTCCACCTATTGGTTGGCACGGGATATATGCTTTGTTCTTTTTGAATCTATTTACAATGAACAGTCCTAGACTCAGTTTGCCAAGCTATGTATTTCCTTCAGTTATAAGGCCACACTTTCGCATGAAAATCCCGCTGGCTCTTATTCTCAGCCAACCCAATAGATTCCTGCCTGAAACGCTCATTCGCCTCCATGGCACTTTCGTAGTATTCGGGCCGAACAATGCCTCCCAGCGGAATAAGCCCTGCGTCTTGGAGCTGATGAACAATGCCCGAAATTCCCTCCAAGAGATTCATTTCGTCTGTATGTCTGAGTAGCTCCTCTTCCCCGAAATCGACTGGAAGTGACTCTTGCTCGTACTTGAGCTCAGCCCAGCGCGCGACAAGTTTGATCAAGAAGTTGCGAAGAGAAAATAGATCTTCCCGGTCCCAGCATCGGGGTACTAAAGAAATAGGGTCTTATTTCAGCTCGTGAAGTGGATCGTTGAGAAGTTGCCTTCTGATAGGATCGTTTGTCTTTGTGACATCATAGTAATGCTCTAGAAGCATTTTTTCCTCTTTCATTTGATCATCAGGGTATGGCGAGGCTGATATTCCAGCAATCGCGGATGAGAACACTGTAAAATTGAATAGAAAAGCCTTATTAAACTGTCCCTCGACGCATTTGAGCAACTTTACACCTGTTTCAAAAGTCAGTATTGAAGCGATTGGGTAGGTAGCCACTTACAAGTCGTTCCGGCATCTCCACCAGGTTTAGCAGAGGCATTCAGAAGAGCCTGCAGGTTAAATCTGCGATAACGCATTCCTAGTTTTTCGGGTTCTCCACTCCTGAAGAAGTTAGAGTAATACGAATCTGCTCACAAGCGTGACATACAACCACCGATATCGTTGATATTGGAATAAATCATCTTCCTCAATAGGTCCTCGGTCAATGAGAAATCACCCGTTCCATCCTCCAGCGCTCTCCAGAGAGATATCGTCCTTGCTTGTGGCATCTGGGTTCTTGTTCTCTCAAGCAAGGGAGGTGACTTGAGGATGGGAAAACCCTGTATGAAGTGTGGCCTCGTATCAACGTATTCATCTTTGGATGGTGGGCTGAAGACTAAGGTTGAAGGGGTAGTCGTCGTGGTGTCGGTGAGCCACACCCCTGACAATACACATTGTAGGTATCGTTCGTATGGCATGTTCGTACAAAAGGTACAAACTGTAGTCTTGACTTTTATTTTTTCGGGATACTAGCTATGAAACAAAACATTTATATAATATAGCACAACTCTGTACTGTGCTTTTGCAAAGGAGCCTCTATCCCCATATGTTCTTTGCTTGTATCAAATTTTCATGTTTACTGCCAATACTGAGCATGCGGCTGATACATTCGGCGCTAGTGCAATTCTGAAACATTCATCCATGAGATTGTCTAGGGAATACTACCTATTATGGAAATTGCATAGAACAAGTATCCCGAGGTTTAGAGCACTAATTCGCTAAGATATGTTCTAAAAATAGAACCGTATCAGCATAGACTTTGTACCTCTACTCCGTACTTCGTATATGAAGTCGGCGGCGTACTCCGTCCGTATTACCTCCTTAATATGCCCGCATGTAGCAAATATAGTCCCAAGTAGGTATATTACAAATCAAGTATCTCGTCATTAGCTCTGAAATACACAAATGAGTATTATTATATTGCTTATCTCGGTCCAATAACCTTTGGTCCGTACCTAGGTAGCTAGCTCCAAGATTTGGGTCCGAGCGGCCTATCAGAGCGTCGCCTGGGTCCGCACTGTAGGGTTTGCCCGAATAAGCCCCGCTTTTATTCTTTGGGTAGGCCAATGGCGGTCGATATATATCGAGTAAATTAAAGGTTTATCTTTGACTTTCTCCGCCACCTCCTGCCGTTTGCCTCGTATTTCTCTCCGCAGGTCGGTTTTTTGCATACATCCCCTTCCTCCACGTTGTCCCCATCTCCCCCTGGAGGCCTCTTTCGCTTCTTGTACATATATGCCCTTCTCCTCCCTGTTTCGACCGTGCGACTTATGTTTTATAATTGTATCGCAACACCGTCGCTGCCAACAGCGATGTCCTCATGTCCCTTGCCGACATTGCCGGCAGGAATTTCACCTCCCCTGATCGCTCCGGTGACCAATTCGCGGTGCATACTGTAGTCGCCTGCCTCATCGGCATTGCCTGGTACAATGCCTTGGAATTGATCGTTCTGTGTTTCACCACCTTCAAGAGATATGGCGGGTGCTATTTTTGGTGTCTCCTCCTTGCCTCCTTCAGTATAATTCCGTTTGGGATGGGATATATCCTCATCATCTTCAATGTATACGACAACATGTTTCCCGTGGCGATGGAGCTAGTTGCGTGGGTTGGGATGGTAACGGGCCAGTCCCTAGTCCTGTGGTCTCGATTGCATCTTGTCTGCCACAGCCGAACCGTGCTCCGCGTCACTCTCGCCATGATCATTGTTGACGCGATCATTCTCCACATCCCCGGGGCCGTCCTTGAGCTCGGTAGCCATTCGAACAAATCTTCTCTCTTCACCGACGGGTTCAACATCTTCGAGCGCATCCAATTGGTCGGATTCTCCATACAAGAAATCATTCTCTCCATTATCTACTCCTGGGAAGCTGTGCGACTACTGAATCTCCGCCCGAGAGGCCATTACCGAGGTACCCTGGTCCAACTCTTGATCGTGAACGTAGTCATGATTATGATGGACGCCGCCGTTATCGGAGTACAATACTCTGGTCTCTTCGATATCCATGTCACCCTCAAGGCCATGGTCTACAGCGTCAAGCTCAAGCTGGAATATGCGATCTTGGGCAAATTGGTGCACATCACCGAGGGCGGCAGCGGCTCGACCCCGACCGACCTGTCGGATTTCGTGGATCTTTCCTTACATAATCCCCGCACCCCGCGACCGGATAGGGACACGATCAGAGAGAACCCAGAGAATGGCTCCAACACTCGGGTGCGAGTCCCCTCCAAGGGCTCGTCTACTGATCCGCTACGAAGGAGTCTCTCCGCCCATAGTCCGAGTTCGAGTAACCCGGACTACTCTTGATGATTTCACATGTAATAACGACCTCTTGGATGTTTCTGTACATAAAAAGTTACTTAGTATATAATGACGACATAGACCATACTCTCACCAGTCGAGTGTTAAATCTCTCACCTATAATAGGAAAGTAATAACGGCATTGTCAGACATCGCCACGAGCTTGATATCAAATCGAGCACGGTACCTCGTATTCCGTATATCAATCCGCAATCCCCAAACCCACCGAACCGACCTATCGACCCACCCATACCCAAATCCACACCTCTGAACCCCAACTCACCTCATCCTATGAGTCCCCGACCACCAAGCGCAAGCACAAGACCTGCACAAGACCGAACCTTCGCAGAAATCCTCAGGCAACGGAACAATCCTTCTCTCCTCGAACTTTGTGCGCGTAACGGCTGGGGTATCTGACGTCGGAGAAGGCGTCCGGGGAGGTTATTCCTGTTGGGGACATAGGGAATTTGGCCCTGGCTTTGCCTTGTCGAAGGTTTTTGAGAGGGGGCAGAGTATGGTAGAGGTTATTAGGCCGCGAATTGAGGGGCAGGGAAAGGTGCGCTGTGAATGTTCGAGTAAGCTGGGGCCTACATAGTGGTGAAGGTGTCGTAATAATGTATGACGTGTTGGTGATGCCGGATAGTAACGTGATGATAATCAGAAGTACTGATTATTCTTCTATTTCGTTCCACAAGTGCCCGAGTTGCTCTCTGTCCATTTCCCTTGACCTTCATTTTGTCTTAGATTTGAAGATATATAACCTCTCCTGTGCCTGCGCTGGTGCTACGTCCGAGTGACTCGCTCATTTGTTTTTATGCTCCTCGATAGTACTCTTCTAGTGAATGTCTAGCGAATGGAGATATTCCTTTCAAACCAGCAACGAGCCGCCTCCCGTCCTAGAAAAGTTGAATGTTTGGACGTGCTTCGTTCCTTATAATGCTTCCTACCGAAGTCACCTCGGAGGTCCAAAGAGTAGGAAATCCATTTCCTCTTCAAGCGGTAACAGAGTCTTTTCCTTGAAGGCGTTGCAGTACTGATCATCATCGAAACTCGCATCGGGGTCGAGGTATCCTTGTAGGCAGGTCAAAATAGCCTGGGAGAAGGCAGATGACAATCTCCCATGAGAATTTTTCTCCTTGAGCCATCCCTCCGCTAGGTGAAGACCCGATTGATCACCCGGTAAGATATTAGTGATTTGATCATATCCGAGTCTTTGCTCAACCGGACTTCCGGAAGTAATTTCAAGCAGCATAATCGCCAAGGCAAGCAAGTTCGAACAGGTTCTGTTGATAAGTGTAGGACCAGGTCCTGTTCTTGGATTTTGGATCAGCTGCGATGATTTCGAAATTGAGTCCTGAAGCAACGCACCTCGATGAAATTCTTTCACTAAGGAAGGGTATCTTAAGTCGACAGACAATGGCATGTTACTGTTGGCTCTTGCGAACACGATGTCCCTCTTACTCCATTTAGTTTCAAGCCATGGAGTATGGTTTAGTTGAAAAATCGACGCTATCAAGGTGATGGCGAGTCCGTACACTTCTGCTATGGGTAGTTGGGCCTCGAATTGCGGAAGGAGGGCCTCGAGAGATGAAGACTGCTGAACGTATTCAGCAGCGGTCTTTTTCAAGGAAGGGCGTGATGCCAGAAAGCCCTTATCATTAAGGCAGAATACCACAAATGGATGCGGGGATTGCCTAATGACTTTGCATAAGCTTGTGACATGCTGCAAATTTGCAGGGTCGTGGTCGTCCTCTGGAACTGATATCGTCACACGAACAGTTCCTGTTCTCGTGCTACTTTAGCGTCATCACTAGAGCTCAAAAGGACAGCAAAAGAGAACCCAAAAGTGCGTACCTCGATGGGAGTTCGTCAATCCTTATTTCAGAATTCAACCACTGAGAAGACGCGTTGCAGTCCCCACGAAGACCCAATCCAAAACAAGTCGCCTGCGCCACCAAGTTCAAGCTCGCTGCTTGCAGAGGCCTCTTCGTTTTCTTTGGTCTCACCAGCCGTTGTTCGAGGAGCAGACATGCGACATGGACAGGGTTATCGTCACACCAGTTTCGAGATATTCCTTGGTGTACTTTGGTCGCATTCTCTTGAATGGTACCCAATGATGCAGAAAATTTCAACTTCAGACGACTCTGCGGTGTTTCATCCTGCAGCTTGTCAGCTCTAGTTGCCCAGGCATCAATCCGTTTTGTACAAGTCTCCAAACGATCTAGCGCATCCTTCACGCGATTTTTCTTCATGGTAAACTTGATCCTCCTTCCGAATTCGAAATCTTTGTGAAGGAACGAAGTGTTCGCGATCCGCGGATTGGAAACGACAATCGGCAGGAGGTCTTTGCTTATGAAACCCTACCAAAGTCAGTGTTGGGTCTACCTTCCAAGAGAGTGCTCGAACCTGCTGCGATCCAGGAATATCGAGGCAGGCCGCTATCTCGACCAGGATTTCTGACACTTCTTCTATGGTGAGAATGAGTGGGTCGTATACTGACCCTAGCCTATCGCGTAGACCGTCAGCGATGTCTCCTTTTCTCCACAATTCGCTTCGAGGATCCTCCATCATCGTGGTTTGGTCTGCGACGTCGGCTGCCTTCAGTAAGACACGGACGGCTTGGTCGTAAGATATGTTTATTGTATAAAGCTCCCTAATTAACCTTCGCACATGCCGTCTCCAACGAAAAAAATCTTTTGTGGGAGCTGCCAATTTCTCGTAGTTCTCGAGGGCAGATATAAGCAGAGGAATGACTCCTAGGACGAGTCCAGCTACTTCCACTCCTGTCACCATCTTGGATTGGGAGGCCGTTGGCGAGATAAATCAACATGAAAGAAACAAGGCTCTTCCCTCTTCCCTCGATCGAGCTATGAGTTATTCCCAAGAGAACTAAGAAGTTATTCCCAAGAGAACTAAGAAGTTATTCCCAAGGGAAACTTGTTAACGTGGAGTCTCTCAAGTTCCAACAGTCGATCTCAGCCGCACGTCCTTTTGTCGTGGCATCGACCCCACCAACACGCAGCTCTTGGCGTTAGTTCAAACGAATGGTCTTTTTACATTCACTCGCATCCTTCCATTATTGGAAATTTGATTGTGATCAGGCATTGGAGAAAACCTCGGCGAACCGCGTGGATACACCTTTGGTTCCATTAGGCCCGAGTCCACTAACAAGTTTGCAACTCATCAACTACGAAAGATAAAGGTGATTCTCACGAGGTGTACGAAACAAGATTTCCTAAACCTCTAAGATCGAAACCCAAGCCATGGATGACATCGGCGTTCTTTCTACCTCTTGTCTAAGTTGCTTCGATACTCTGACACGATCGCTGCGCACATCTTCGGATGAGTTCAAGAAACAGATGAGGCCAATAGCAATTGAAAATGAATATGCCCGCTTCAAGATTTGGGCTGGCAACCTGGGCGCTTTACAGAGAGGCCGGCATTCTCTTGATGCTAGATTACGAGACTCGGTGGTGCTACGAGCAGCCGTCCTCAAATTCATGGGAGAGTTACAAGACTCTTTGAGAAAGAGTACGTTGTGCCACACCTATGACACCTCCTATCATCTCTAGTTGGAACCCCTTATTGACTGTTATTGTCCAGGTGCCGAGATCACCACAGGTCTTCGCCTACCGTACGAACAGGGTGGCGATGCCACACATGGTCCCGACGAAGATGCTGAGGACAACAGTGACACTAGTGGCACCAGCAGTGACTTGGAGTCTGCAGAACTAGCTGAGAGACTCGATGAAATCAAAGATATCATGGAGCACCTGTATAAGCTCTCCTTCAAGATACGCAACACGAGATATCGTTCTCTCACCAACAAAGCTCTTCTGATGAAAGAAGAGGATCCACAAACCGGGAAAGACTTGTTCTCGGCGTATGCCATCTTCGATTGTCGGCATGTACAAGAGTCACTCAATCGCTTGCGCCTGCGTCCGTCATCAAAGGAATTCGTTACTGAACCTGCACGAAACCCAAGTGACGGGTGTTTCGATGTGTTAAATGGTGGGGATCGCCTGTTAAATAGCGACGATTTTCTACAAGATCGCTTAGCAAAAGCAATCACCAACCGCAGAAAGTATTTTGCATATTGGCGGAGACATGCTCTCAAGCTCTCACACGTTACGGATGAGCTAGCCCCCCAACAAAATTTCACAACTCTCGTGAAGCCTGCGAGACCTGTTTCTGGACCTCCAACCACACCCTCAATCTCAGGGTGTTCCCTACCGACTCCAGGGGCAAAAACCCTGGTTTCAGGAACCGATTTCTCCTTGTATAGCCATGAATTGGACGACCAGCTGGATACAGAGACCGTGTTTTCCTATGCGACAACAGCCTACGATGTTGACGGAAATTCCCCAGAACTACCTCCACCTCCTCCCGATGCGGCCACGAAGCCAGAGTTTGTTTGTCAGTATTGCTGGGTGGCTTGTCCGTCGAGACAAGGAAAAGGAAAGTCATGGCAGTAAGTGTCTAAGATCATTGACAGGATAGGAGCATCGTTCTAATGAATGTTAGAGAACATATCCGACAAGATCTCCAGCCGTACGTATGTACCTACGAGGAATGCTCAGATGCCGACCGCATGCACGCCAGTCGGCATGCGTGGCTTGAACATGAACGGCTAGTCCACCGCCGAATATGGAGATGCTTCGAACACAGGTCCTTCAGCTCCAAATCGAAAAACGGCTTGCTGCAACACTTTTTAGACTGCCACAAAGGTCTAGATGAGCAGCAGATCGAAAACCTCCTGGATATAGCCGAGACGACGGTAGCCGATGACAGACAAACCTGCCCATTCTGCTTCTCGATTGGACCTTTTGCTAAGGGGTTTCACAACCACGTGGCTTTCCACCAGGAACAATTCGCAACATTTGCAGTACCACGAAACTTTGACAGCAATAAAGAGGCGGACTCTAAAAAATCCGAAGGGATTAGATCAGCTGGATCTTTGTGTTCCGTTGCTCTAGATTTCTCGGACGGTGATAGCAGCCTTGACAGCGACGACAGCGACGTATCAGTGAACCAACTCGGAAACTCCCTGCTAAACTCTGCGAATTTCGGAGACGCTGCGGCTGTTAGGCTGCTACTCGAGAAGGGCGGTAATCCCGACTTAGGGGATAATAATGGCCAGACACCGCTATTATGGGCGGCTAAGAAAGGCCACGAGGCAGTCGTAAAGCTACTACTCGAGAAGGGCGCCGATCCTGCCTTTAAGGATCATCGTGGCCAGACGCCGCTATCGTGGGCGGCTAAGAAGGGCCACGAGGCAGTCGTAAAGCTGCTACTGGAGAAGGGCACCGATCCTTCCTTGGCGGATACTTATGGGCAGACGCCGCTATCGTGGGCCGCTAAGAAAGGCCACGAGGCAGTCGTAAAGCTACTACTGGAGAAGGGCACCGATCCTTCCTTGGCGGATAATGATGGCCAGACACCGCTATTATGGGCGACTATAAATGGCCATAAGGCAGTCGTAAAGCTGCTACTTGAGAAGGGTATCGATCCTACCTTAGCGGATACTTATAGCCAGACGCCGCTATCGTTAGCGGCTGAGACCGGCCATGAGGCAGTTGTAAAGCGGCTACTTGACAATGGCGCCGATCCCGAGTCGATAGCGTGGGCGCCTAGGTCTTCAGAATCAGATTCAGAATTAGACGATTCGGATCAAGGTTCTGTTATTCCCGACCGCCTCGCTTCAGAGGATTTTACCTAAATCACTGTGATTTCTGGGGATAAATCACTGTGATTTCTGGGGATAAATCACGTGTTGAAGAATGGGAGGGTCACTTCACAGCTGAAACTAGGCAGTCTGTGAGGCGCCATGTCGATCTGAAAAAGAGAAAGAATACATTCAACGAAACAACTAAGACGAGGAGAAGGAAAGAAGAAAGTGTAAAGTAGAAGCAGCCAGTTGATATAACCGACAAACGTTGCAAGCTTCGAACATCTCGCTTAGCTATCTAACAAAGAATCTCCGAAGTAAATAATGCAAACAGTAGATAGTCGCCGATCCATAGAGTCATAGAACAGACAACCATGCAGACGGTAACACAGCCCATATCAAAATGTAAATGAGTATAAAATGTTGGGAGCAATTGCTCCCGAGATCTAGGTATCCTGTAGGATTCTGATATAATCATGGTACGTGTTCATAACTGACTACATACTACTTGGTGAATAGGGATATCTATGATAGGCAGTCTGGGCTAGCAGACAAGACAAGAGCGACACAATAACACTAACCATCTAAGCAGGTTAGCTAGTAAGCATAGTCATACAGACGACAGTAACCATCCTGTAAAACCCTTTTCATTCCGTGTGTGGTGTGTAGGCGTGTGCTCTGTACGCTGCATTCTATCTGATATGAATGTCCCGATATTTATCCCTGCAGAAACAAGGCAACTATCATAGTTAACTAGTTAGTTGGCACTGACTAATAATGCAATAGAGGATCAAAGATGTACGGAAATGGGCCATTTCTGTTGATACTAGTACTATGTAAATCAAATAAACTCGATCAGACTCAAGATAAAGACAAGGAGGTGGATCCGGAATGGAAACGCTATTCTCAATCCGGTAAGGAGTGGGTGCACAGCCCCACAGAAGCCACACCCCCTTATTTGGCTGTGGCTGCAAGTTTGACCTTCTAGAATTGTAACTACATTAAGCGCGTCAAAAACGATAGCCTGTATACCGCTACCAAGGATAAAAGCAGGAATCCAATTGAGTTTCTTCCCCTATGTCGTATTGAAGATCCGAAGTGTTGACGTCAAGTTGAGCAGAGTCTGATATCGCGGACCCACATACATCCATGGATGATGATGGAACGCGTGTGCCAAGACTTCGATCCCATCAACCTTGGAAGTTGTAGATCTTAGGGTTTATGGGGATGTATGGGCTTTTGGGTGGGAATCTATACCCCTAGCTCTCGGAGGAACACTAACCTTATGCAGCTAAGGAAGTGGATGACGTGAATCTGGAGCTGGGTACGTACGGGGTACCCCATCCAGGTGGAGGTTAATCTGACCTTACACCTTACATATGACACAACCCATAGAGCACCCACCCAGCAAATCAAATATAGCTGCAACGTTCTAGGCTGAAAGGGACAAAAGAAAATCCCAACGAGACTGGGAGGGAGCAGATGTCCGTGTTAGTTGTGGCCAAGCTGTGCCACGACAGAGTGACGTCAGGTGTCGATCACCGCCGTAGCAGTCCCTACGGAGGCTCTTTTTATCGCATTGGGCTCCTGGTGGCAGGGCCTGGTTCTGGTGTCCAGCTCATCATAATGGCGCTATTGTCCCTTGTCTTTTATATTCCGTCATCCCTTCCCTCCTACTTTGACTTTTCTTTCCCTTACCACATTTTCCTTCATTCCAGTGATACCCCTTGTTTTGTGCCTACATAGGTTCAATAAATATAGTTAATTGTCAGTGAGTGACTCTCGTTTGTCCTGTATGCAAACGGCATCTCTGACCCTGTCTTTTAGTCCATACATAATACCTCACCCCCTCATCATTGGTCTGATATACATACTTCCATCATGTCTGTGAACGTTCCCACAAATCCTAAACAGAAGGAGAAGGTATGGATGACAATGCGACTCCATTGAAACCACACTGACAGAGAATCTCCAGGATATCAACCAGAAGCTTCAATTCTTTGGTATCTACCATGGTAAGTCCAGCTTCACATCCTCCAATTGACCATTCCTGTACTAACTGTGTCTGCTATAGCCTTCAAGAATAGCAAGCTCCCCTCGGTCCGTCTCAATCTCCTACCGCCAATGGCCTTGTCACAAATGCTAACTAGGTCTCCTCCCACAGAACAAGCAATGCGACATTGCTTTGAACAGTGTCTTGAACTCCAAGGCCCTCAAATCTCCACCAAAGGAGCTCTCACGCGATGGAAAGGTCCTTGTGGCAGATCTGCGCAATGTCATCGACGCAGCGAAGAATATGCTCTTGGTCAAGAACGAGGGTAACCTCCTGCAAGACTTTGTCTGGCAAGCCCAGAGGATGTCCACTGGCAATGCGGATGCCAATCGCCCTGGGCTCCCCATCGACAAGGAAGCCGGTCAGCAAGATGCTAGCAAGGCCATTGATGGCCTCAAGACCCTGGGCACGCTCATGATCACCAACGGAGAGTTTAGAAAACTACGTAAGTGAACTTCCGTTCGCGAATCACGGGCATTCCTAACAACGCGCAGTGAGCGACGCCATGACACTGGGCAAAGACATTGCGGCCGATGCTTCTCAAAAGGCCGCCAACCAGGTTCGCCCTTCGCAGGATGAGCTTTCGCAGATCGACCAACCTGCAGAGGACAACGTGTGGCACGAGAAACCCAATGTCTCCAAGGATGACCTAAAGTCCAAATTTAAGAAGAACAAGGCTGTATGTATTCCTAGTGCGCTATAATTCGGCACATACTGACACTTAGCTCAGGATAAGGGAAGCGCTGCTTCCGCTTCCGCTGGGGTTGCCGAGGAAGAGACTGGCGTGTCGCCGCAGAGCAAGAAGAGGGAATTATCCGACAGGACCAAGGCTTACTTGTCCGAGAAAGTTCCCAAGGAGCGTCGCGAGCAGACCATCTGGCGCCTGAAGAAGATGATCATTGAAATCCAGGGTCATGAAGACTGTAAGTCACCCACAATCTATATCGACGGCAAAGATTTACTAACAAATTATGCAGACCAGCAAGCCGTTGAGACCCTATTGAACATGGCTGAGCAATACGCCGGACACACCAGAGACCTTTCCAAGGAGGGCAGTAGCTCTGCCCGTGACGTCCTGAAGAGCGACGATGTTCAGGCTGTTCAGTACAATTTGCGCACTCTTATCGAACGCTTTGCCAACCACACCTCTCTAGACGGCTTCTTCGAATCGCTCAACGCCATTTACCGTGAGGCTGAGAAGGACCCCGAACTCCGAAACTGGTTCAAGAACGTCAGCAACTTGATTCGGTATGTGAATTAGATGATTTTCCCCAGGATAAAAGCTGACCGGACATAGCAAATCTCTGCGCGAACAGGGCTTCATCATGGAAGAGGAATGCAACCGCCAGTGGAACGATCTTTACGACAAGGGCCGTTACCTCCTGCGCGAGCGTTACCGCGGTTACTCCGACCGCATTGTCGACGAGGTCAAGTTCTTGGGTGACCAATTTGAGCAGGACGTGCAAAACCAGGCCCTTGCCGAGTCGTTCCAGAAGCTATTCAAGGATCTGGGCCACGATTCCAGTGGCAGGCCTACCTTTAAGCCGGATCTTCTTCGGGATCTCCGCGATGTCATCATTCCGCAATTTTTCGAGAACGTCCGCTATGTTCCAATCCCCCGTATTGAAGTAGCGGATCCCATGGTTGATGTTGTAATCGAGAACCTGTGCCTCGAGGGCGACAACTTGATGCCCAACGTTATGGAGTTCGGCAGCGACAACTACTTCCGCTGGGGCCGCAAGAAGATCTCCAACAAGAGTGATAATAAGATCATGATTTCCATGTCTGGTATCCAGATGGATCTGCGCGATGTTGGATACTACATCAAGAAGAAGGAGGGCTTCCCCACCATCACCGATCGCGGTATTATGGACATCTTCCTCGGCGGCGACGGTCTCAGCGTGAAACTCGCTGCCTCTACCGCCCAGCCGAGCGACAAGGAGCACTTCTTCAAGCTTGACAGAGTGGATGTGACCATCAGGAACATGGATATCAAGCTGAAGAAGTCCAGCCACAAGCTGCTCTTTTACACCTTCAAGCCCATGCTGTTCCGCGTCGTCAGGCCTGCTCTGCAGAAGGTCGTCGAGGCCCAGATCCGCGAAGCCTTCAAGAAGGGTGACCTCTTTGCCAAGGACGTCCACACCGAGGCGACGCGTGCCCAGGAAGCCGCCCGTGAAGACCCCGAGAATGCGCCGTCCATCTTCTCCCGCTACGCCGATGCCATCCGAGCTCGCATGCAAGCCAAGGCCCAACAGGCCAAGAGCGCCGCCCAGCGTGATACCCAGGTCCAAACCGTCATGACCCTCCACGATTCCCTGTTCCCTGGAATCGAGCTTCCCGGCGCTGTATCCACCAAGGCCACCGAGTACGCCGACCTGGCTGCCAAGGGCGCGCGCTGGGAGTCCCCCATCTTCAGCATCGGAAGCGCAGCCGAGTCCAGAGGCATCCCATCCGGCGGGCCCATCACCAGGAAGACTGCCCGCCCTGCTAGCAGCAGCGGTGGAAATGCCGCCGCTACTTCGAACGCTGGCAACGTCACTAACGGCAACAGGGTCTCCGGATCCCAGCCCCGTGGCGGCTTCTCCGATGAGGTTGATAAGGCTTTCGTCAATGGCAAGCCTCATACCTTGGGTGATTCCTTCAAGCATGGCGCTGATGGTGTCACTAATACTACCGTGACTAACGGAGCTAACAATTTTGCAACCGCTGTCTAAACTGTGTGGCCAAAATCGGTATGAATTTGCGTAATGTTATTGTCTTTGTTTCTTGACCTTTTTTTTTCCCTGCTATGATTTCCCCTTGTGCACTACGGATGTTTTATTATTTGTACTAGTAGTATGAGTTAATGGTAGCCTAATACATGATGCCATCGTTGCCTGCGTTCTCCAGAGTAACCTCGAGCTTTGACCAAAGCTAACTCAGTAGAAACATAAGTACCCAGAGTCGTGGAAGGTAAAATAAGCTTAAAAGTCATTCATCGTCGTCTATAAAAGAAGTAAACTGAACTCCACTATATAAGAAGCCCAGGGAAGGTAAGAAAATCCCACACATTCATATCAAATCACAAATCAAATATCTACGTGCTTACCGTCTACATCTGATCAAAGTACTTCTGCCACCCCAACTCGCGCAACTTGGTACCCTTCAACTCCATGTTCTCGGCACGGGCAGCCTCGGCATACGCCTCGACCTTGCGCTGAATAGCCGGGTCGAAAGAGCCAAGCACACGCGCGGCGAGGAGGGCAGCGTTGATGCTGTTGTTGATGCCGACAGTGGCGACGGGGACGCCTATTATGAAATGTTAGATATAGATCGGGTCAAAGTAAATGGGTGTAAAAGGAGAGTAAAGTGGGAAATAACGTACCTCGAGGCATCTGCACAATGCTGTACAGACTGTCGACACCGTCGAGTGAGCTCCCCTTAACCGGCACGCCGATGACAGGGAGGGCAGTGTGAGCAGCTGCCATACCGGGAAGGTGGGCAGCACCACCGGCGGCTGCGATGATCACCTTGATGCCGCGCGAGGCAGCCTGGCCCGCATACTCGGCCATGTAATCGGGCGTGCGGTGAGCAGAGGTAATCTCAACCTCAGGCTCGATGCCGAAGTAATCACGCAGCAGCTTGAGGCCTGGGACGAGGGTCTTCAGGTCGCTGTCGGAGCCCATGATGACGGCGACAGAGGGGACGGGCTTGGAGGGACCGGAGGGGGCAGCCTTGGTTTTGATATCGGAGCGCTGGGCGCGCATGGTATCGACGACGTCGATGAGGGGCTGGATCAAGGTCTCGGCTTCGTGCATAGTCGCGGCGGTGACGGTGACGTGGCCCATTTTGCGGCCAGGCCTTGCGGCGCCCTTGCTGTAGAGGTGGATGCTGGCGTTGGGGATGGAGAGGGCCGCTTCGGTGGCCTTGAGGTGGGAGTCGGGAGTTGCGCCGCCGATGATGTTGAGCATGATGGAGGGCTGGCGAAGCTCAAGGCTCTTGGGCGGGATGGGCAGGTCGAGGATCGCGCGGATGTGGCTGTCGAATTGGGATAGCGCGCAGCCTTCGATTGTCCAGTGCCCGGAGTTGTGGATTCGGCTTGCAAGCTCGCAGAGCATGAGGCTGTTGTCTTCTAGGAGGAACATCTCCACGCCGAAGGCGCCTTTGCCTTCGAAGGCAGAGACGGCTTTACGAGCGAGAGCTTGCGCTTGCTGGTTGATGGCTTCGGGGACGTTGCGGGCTGGCGCATACACCAGCTTGCATATTGAGTCCTCTTGGACGGTCTCGACGGTGGGGTAAGAGAGGACGTCGTCCTTAGTCTTGATAACCATGACGGCGAGTTCCTGTACAAATTATTAGACATGCATGGCGTGGTATTCAACTGCTACTAACCATCTTGAAGTAAGCCCATTTTTCCGAGTAGAGCGGGCGGTCCTTGAGAGCCTCTAGGGCCTCGGGAATATCTTCTTTGGAATTGACACGGAAGTTTCCTTGATACTGTCAACAAAATGTATACCCTTCGGCATCACATATGACTCACCACGTCCGTCATATGCCATAGTCTTCGACTTCAACATCATCGGGTAGCCCAATTGCTCTCCAATCTGAGCCAATTCCTCGGGTGTGTTGTCCACCAGCTCCCGGTGGTCGGCCATAGGGATACCATATTTGCGGAGGTGCTCCTTCTGGTTGAACTTGTTCTGGATTGTCCGGATAGCCTGCCAGCTGGGTTCCACCCGCACCTTCGATGCAACCTCCTCGAGAGCGTAGGTGTCGACGTGCTCAATCTCAGCAGTGATGACATCGCAAGTCTCAGCCAGTTTACGCACGGCATCAGGCTCCTTAAAGGAGCCGGTCACATGGCCGTCGTGCGAACTGATCTGCTTGGCAGGAGAGTTATCGACGTCCAGGATATTGACCTGAATGTTCAATCGGTTGGCCGACTCGACGAGCATGCGGCCCAGTTGGCCGCCGCCAAGGATTCCGACCTTAGGCGAGTTCCACATGATGTCGGATCGAAGGAATAAATGAGTCAATTGATCGAGATATGTAAAAGAGATCGACGGTGCCCCTCCACTCCGAAAATTCGTGGAGAGTCACGTGTCGCTATCGATAAGCTCAGGCCAATCACCGATTCGACTGCCGCGCCTTGTCGCAGCTCCGACTCTCTGTTTCCCCATGCACAGCTACTGAACAATGTCTCTAGGTAGGTTGACCCATCACGGTCGCATGATCAGTCTCAGTTGCAATAGGCCTTGCTGATATCAAGATTACAGACGAGGAAGCTCTCCAAACAGCCGCCAATGGCGGCCCCATGGATTTGTACGTGAAGCTGGCATGTCAAGATCCCAAAACGCTGAGACTAACGCGCTGATATAGAGCAAGATGGAACGGCATGGCTGGTCCATTGATTGAGCGACTGGAATACGTACGCTATACTTCGATATTCCTGACCGAATTATCTAACCAGTAGCTCCAGATCGTATACAATGTGTTTCCCATGCCTCAAGCGCGCTCCGAACCCATCGGCCAGCAATTATTTCCCAACCATTCTTCCCAGGCGAACCCCATTCTACCCGAAAATAGCAATAAGGAAAACACATCCCCCGCCGATATCCAAACTTCGCCCCAAGCGCGAACTGTCTCTCCCCCACAGCCCGCGAGCGCGGGTGGCCAGCTTCCACCTCCGCTTGCATTTCTTCTGAGCGCCATCCGTTCATCGATCAAAACTTTCTTCGAGGAGAAACCTCCACATACCATCCAGAGACTCGCAGAGCTAGTCCTCTACCCGACCAGGCACTATAGGACGTTACCCGCATACCTACGTGCTGTTGATCGCGTTGTCTCAGTGACAAGCTCCGCAGATGTTTTCCCATTTCAAACGCCGGCTGTCGCGATTGCTCAAACCAACGGGATACTGCTTCCTGGCGATAGCACCGGGGTATATATAAGCCCTGAGTTTGCCCAGGGTCTTGGGAGCGATGAATCTCTGGGTGGTGCACTACTTACTCCGATCCCGTGGTTAGTCAACGCCTCGTTCGAAGGCGAGGACTCCAATGGCGATGCAGGTATACTAGTCGATGGTACTTTACCCTATAACCGAGCCACTGGTTTTCTTTTCACTAATGTTTTCGCATAGGCACTGAAGCTTTACCTACACAGCCTGGGGAACAGGACACCACAACCCTACTATCAGTCGAAACCGACGAAACGGTTGCTACCGCCTCACCAGAGCTATCTGACGAGGTTCCTCACGCCCGTGGTCCAATGCTCCTCGGCGTGGAAGACATGGGTCTACAAGACGGTAAAGGCGTCGAGGTGCGTCTTACCGCAGACGGTTTGGATGGTGCCACCGATGTCCCTACAACTGTTACTCCTACCATGGCAACGGAACAACAGGAAAAAGCCGAGTCAACTGGTGACAAGGACGGTGATATCGTCCTTACGGACACTGAACCGAAAGAAGGGGAAGAAGCCAAGAATGAAGCAGAGCCCCAAGCAGGAAATGCACGGTCAGAACCCACTGGTGATTCATCCCAAGCGCCGGACGCCGAGAAGACAGCATAAGCGAGTTCTTTTTCTTAATATGGATTTTTCTTTTTGTCTGATTTTCTTGGTTCATCCTGGATTCTAGCATCATGAGTAACGACCTACAAGATTATATCGATTGATTTTCAATTAAGGGCTTTTGCAATGCCTATGTTCTCTATATAATAGCTCAAGCTTGGTGATAGAAATAGTAATGGGGCTGCGACTAATCCTGAAGCGTCATAAATCCAATCCGTTATCACCTCCATCCTTAGGACACAGACAGTTCATAATATGAAATGGTGCTAGCAAAAAGGGGAATCTTATCTTCCAGAAAGAGAAAAACCTTAGTGATTTATACTAACTATCTGAGACATCAAATCGGTCTCAATTAGGGCAAGCACGCTCATCCGTACCTGACATGATCAAGACAATATCCTACCTCGTGGATTTTCCTGAGGTCTTCTTATTCAGCACTCGCTAAAGACCCCTCAGTCATGTATATATAGCTATAAGATCAGATGCATTATCGGGTTGATTCTCTCACGTATCGTCTGCCAGAAAAACTTGTCTCCTGTGAAACCTTAAAACACCATAATTCACCTGCAACGTTAACTTGAAAATCCAACAGCAATTTTACTCGCGAGACAAAGTCGCATATCAAAAGTCCACATGACGCTGTTGTAGTATACAGCCAAGCCCGAATGCAAACAAAACAAACAAAGAACTAAGCATTAGCCACAAACGGCCAGACAAAGAAGGCCCAGAACTCCGCCGGCAAGGTCTGGGCCCTCCTGGAACCGCAAAAAGGTAGAAATCATTTAATATACGGGCTCCGGTCTAGACCTCACAGCTTATTTCCGCCCTGCAGTTCGTCTACCCGAGCCGTGAAAATCGGGTCGGGAAGGGCGGGTGATATACACCCAGGTGGGATTAAGTGGGGATGTATGGTGCGTCGGTCAATTGTATATAGGATTTGGGTGGGGGTCCGCCTTGGATTCATATATGAAATAAAGCTTACGAGACTAGCACTGGAACGAAGACCCGACACAGATGAGAGGAATAAAATAATATGTTTTGTAAATATGTACCTGACGAAACAATCTCTCCGGCGGTGAAATGGAATGCATGATGAGCCCACGGTGGATATCGCTGACGCATATATTGTATAAAGTCGCACGCAAGTCGCCACCCAATTTAAAGAAAACCAACGCCAAACCTGTAAAGGTGGGGGACAAGTGCGGTCAATCCGCGAAGAGTGTAGCAAAATGTACGATTTGAATTTTGAACCTCGTTATAGACAAGTGGGAATCGTGAGTCAATGGACAGGCGGAAAGGTGAAGTGTAGAAAATAGAAGAGGAGATGGCCGGGTTTAGCCAGGTCGGCCCGCTTGCACGGCAAGCATGGGTTGGGGTTGCGAGTACATGCGCTGCCGTTTTGACATGTTGGGGTTATCGGTGGCACTGCCCATTTCGGACATCTGACGGCGATGCGGGGGGCGTAATGGAGGCCCGGTTGGCACTCCTACTGGTGGTGCTGGGTACTGGACGCCATTCTGGTCAACAGCGTAGGCGGGTGGACCGGTAACGTATGGCCCTTGAACTGCCGGCATGTTCGTTGGAACAGCCTGCATATTTTGGAATTGGTTGGGCGACTGCCAGTTATTCATCGATCCAGCGGGCGACTGGCCTGGAGAGCTGTCCTCTTTGATCGACTGGTTTGTTGAACTTTGAGTTGCAGCTGCCATGGTCACGGCGGCGGCGGAAGGTCGTACTGGCTCCATCCCTGGGTTCTGTGGCGAAATCTTGAGATGATCCAAATGCCTTTCCAGCATATCGAGAAGACTTTTGCGGGTGAATGGTTTCGGAAGTACATCATCCATTCCTAATAAGGGTTAGTGGAAGACTTGATTCAATTTTGATGTTCGTCTTACCATGTTGGAAATAGAGCTGGATGTCGTCGCTTCGGATGTTCGAGGTCATGGCGATGATAGGAGTGCGATCAAATTGGCGAATGAGATGGCATGCCGACACACCGTCCAAATTCGGCATGATAATATCCATTAGAATTAAATCGTATTTTGAGCCACCCTGAATTTTGTTCACAGCCTCCAGGCCGTCAAACTAGAGGAATTAGCAACGTTGTGGTCAATAGGACAGACTGATGACATACCGCGGTATCGATAACACACGAGAAAGAGTACAAGAATTTACCGCCAATCTGCCGACAAGTGGCATCGTCTTCAACCAAGAGGATCTGAGGGCTGCGCACCCAGCCAGGGTCCACATTCGTGCTTTTTTTCCGGTTGTCGGCAAACTGCCGACGAGCATCCGTATCGATCTCCTGCTTGGCGGGCATTGGGTAAGGAACATTGTTGATATGCTCGCTGTACATGGGATCGATGCCGTTTGTAGCGCCCACGGGATAGACCACTTGCTCCAGATCGCCGGCCATTTTAGGGTAAGCAAGTGCTGGGTTTGGCGGTACAGTTGCCGCGGGACGGAGGGAACCATTTCGCGCATGCGGATCCAAGTTGGGAGTTGACACGACGGTCTTTTGAGGGTCGTTCATCGGATCGACGCCGTTCATATTGAATTGTAATTCGGCGTTCATGTCATTCAGGAGCTTGGAGGCTTGCTGGAGGGGCGATGAGGGTTCATCGTCAACTGCACCAACCTGAGAAGGGCTCATTGTCGTTCCGGGGGCTTGGAAAGTCACGGCCTTGCTATCTCGACGCTGGCGCGCATCCACCGAAAGCAAGTAGGTCATCACCTGGTGAATGACATTCTCGTGGTTCAGAACCGTCTTCTGCACTCGCATCACTTCCTGTAGCATGAGCTGGTGATCCACCGTGAGCTGGGCATATCGGTCTGATAGATGTTGGATCTGCTGCTGTTGCGCGACAATCTGCTGGTTAAGAAGATCAATTTGTTGCGTGGGGACGGATTCATCGCTCGGTTGAGTTTGTTTTCGTGGCGCGGGCGCCTTTCGTCGAATGTTGTCGAGCGATTCTTTGCTGTTTGCGCGGAACTCTGGGTGCTTGAATTCCCATGCCTGTTGTTATGTGAGATTCGGTCCAATCAAGCTTCAAATTGGGAGGCCTACATTCTGCCCGTATGGTGACTGGCCATTTTCTTCATTGTTTTGTCGAACTTTGTGGAAATCGTACTTATTCAGTTGGCGGACGAAACTGGCAAAGTTGCTGTGTTTAAAGTGCTTCGGCAGGATGGTCTTGGTGAATTTCTCGCACTGGAATCCGAGTTAGCCACGCGTCAAAGAGACCGAAGCTGGACAAAAACACGGGCGCATTACCTCTAATACGACAAAGGAATCCCCTTCATCGCCCCAGCGCACGATGGACGAATAGGTCGGGTCCTCCAGCATCCTGTGGAAAAGATCAGCTTAAAAGACCAACACGGTCGCAGGATGCGTCCGAAGCGAAGCAAGACTTACTTATACAGCTTGCGTACCTATCCATAGTGTTAGCCAAGATCTCTCACAGCCATAGCGGACGACTAACAAAATCACTGGAGTTCCCAGCGGGGGCGGGATTGGAAGAGGTCTGGCCACCGTCCATGCTGGGCTAGACGGGTCGCGACCGGTCGAACAGGCAGGTCTGGCTGGTTTCGTCCCAACGCGGATAATGTCAGGTCTAATGGCAGTTCACATCCAACAGCGGAAAACAAGTAGAGGGGATAGAAAGCCAGACCTGTCGGAGGGTGGGAGAAGGGAAAAAATGAAATAATAACGGGGGTACGGTCAGTTACTTTAGCGGTAGAGCCAAGTACCAAAGTTACTGTGGAGGTACTGCCTTGGTACATTCAATGGACTGCGATGTTTCAGAACGCACCGTGGGCTTCAATTGTGTAGGGCTGCTCTTTTTGTTTGTATTATATTATTCTCCAGCTTCTATTTCCCCATGCAAGGAGGTTGAATGCTCCCAGCACCCAGGAACCAACGAGGGGCAGAATTCCAGCAGGTCACACCGAACAGAGAGAGGTACCAGCCAGGTATTGTATACAAGTTCGTGGGAAAAAAATAAAAAACTTCACCAGATCCTATTCGCTATCAAAAGAGACATGCAGCATGAATTATGGGCTGTCAGTGCGCACGAGATGGAGGGGAAAGCAATTCCCCCAATGATGTCTTTATATGCGCTTGATATCGGTGATCAGCCCTGTCATCGTGTCACTGTCTCTCCCACTTTTAAGATTAAGATTAAAGATATTGGATATGCTGAATCTTATGAATATGCGATGCTATTACGAGTCTCCACCGCAGAACAAGAACTACCCCATAAGACTTTGCTACGTGGTTATGGCTAAAGCCACCGAAGCACCTCGTACTCCATAGTCCATAGTCTAGATGCTGGTGAACAGCCCAACGCACGAGTTTGCACCGTAGCACATTGTCGTAAAAGCGCAAAATCACCTCCATCACCTGAGCCTCGCGAGTCAATCCCATCTTCACGCTTGCTGTGTTGAATTACAACGTCGAAGATGACTGCATCCTTCAGCAGGGGTGTTATGATCCACCGTGTGACGGAGCAAGGATCCACTGCGTCATGGCGGAATAGGATGCGACTTCATATCATCCGATTCGAAGGTAGCTAGTCCGCCTTGTTCTTAAAAAGTGCTTCTGATAAGTGACAGCTCATATAGGAGGTACCTGCGGTATAGCCTCCGCAGGTCGCACTGGTATCCACAAGGTCAGTGTCTGTGCCGATATCGATGATGTGCATTAAATAAGAAGTAAGGACGATAGCTAGGATGGAAATAAACAAGCAAAAGCATAGACATAGACATACATACATATCACATAGGCTAAAGAGAGTTCCTAAAAATACATGCAACGGCCATGACGAAATCCAAGCTCGACATACCGCCCTTCCAAGGTTGCTCTTCTCCGCATTATTCCAAACACTTCTTCTTCTCATTCCTTGGTCCAATATATAACTTCAATCCCATCCTAACTCAATTAATCCCACCATGTTCGCCCGCCGTATCGCAACCAACGTCCCTCGCGTTCGCGCGCAAGCTTCCCTCTTCCACAGCACCGCGCCCGCGTTCGTGCAAAAGGGCGACGCCATCCCTAACCTGGACGTCCTGGTCGAGAACTCCCCCGGTAACAAGGTCAATTTGGCCAAGGAGATCAAGAACAAGGCTGTCATCATTGGCACTCCAGCTGCCTTCAGTATGTGAACTCTCTACTGTGATAGATAGGATCCGGACTGACATTCTTAAGGCCCTGCGTGTTCAAGCACCCACGTTCCCGGCTTCATCAACCACCCCAAGCTCAAGGAGGCCGGTCAGGTTTTTGTCATCTCGGTCAATGACCCCTTCGTGTAAGCTATACATGTCGAATTGCAGCGCGGAAGCGTGGGAACATTTGTTGACGCAACTATCATATAGGACCAAGGCTTGGGCTGCTTCCCTTGATCCTTCCGGCAAGAGCGGTGTAAGTTGCCATTCTTTGATGTATTTTTATCCTAGCAAGCTGACATTGTATTTCAACAGATCCGCTTCCTGGGTGACCCCTCCGGCAAGTTCAACAAGGCGCTCGACCTCCTCTTCGACAGCAGCGCCATATTCGGCAACGACCGCAGCAAGCGCTACGTTCTTCTCGTCGAGAATGGAAAGGTCAAGGAGGCTTTCGTCGAGCCGGACAACACCGGTCTCCAAGGTACGCTTTCTTCTATCGAGGGTGTCGTTCTATGCTAACATCACACAGTCTCCACTGCCGAGAAGGTGCTCGGTTAAAGCCACTAAATAGAGCTGCAATCTCCTTGCAAATAGTACAAGACCAATATAGCATGCGGCACAAAGTTTATTTTAATCCTTGCTGCACGGCACTTTGTAGCGCAGGATTTTAATGTACAAATATTCCATCCTTTCCAACCCGGCCAACGCCTGAACCGATGCCAGAATTAAATAGGCAAGCCTGTAGTTGAATCAATCGAGCAATTAAGAATCAATGCCGATTCGTTCCTGAACAATCTTCGGTCTGGTACAATTTCTTCCATATCCCTCTGGGACGAGTCCATAGTCCATCATATCCCCACCCTAGACCAATTACTGCTGCAGAGCCTGCCACTGCTCGGGGGTATAGCACTTGGGAGTCCAAGCATGAATAGCAGCGATCTCGGCCTTGAGCGCGGAATTGACGAGCCGGTGTCGCGCAAGCATAGTCTTGCTCTCGAACTGAGGTGAAACAATCACAGCCTGGAAAGCCTGTCCACAGCCACCTAAATCAACCCAAAAAGACAGCACGTCAGCGGGAGATCAACGGAGCCAAAAAAAATATTTCGACGTCATAGCGCCGTTCTCATTCTAAACTTCAATTTAAATTTCAATTTCCATACCCGATAGATCCTCAACCTCGACATGCTGCGCCTGCAGCGCTTCAGTCAACTTGTTCTTCAGCGAGTCGGTGGTGATTCCAGATGTGTCGGCCATAGCGGCGTTGAAGGCGGCGTAGGAGCGCGCGGTGAGGGAAAATGAAGACCGCTGGATATTGTGAGGGCGGAGAAGATAGCGGCAGCTTCTGCTCAGGACGGTCAAGGAGGATGTGCGGGAGAACATGAAGTATATGGTCGGGGAGGAGAGGCGAGAGAAGACGAGAGAGGGGGATAAAGTGCCAAACCCGAGGTTATCGCGAAGTATGGGAGTTGTCGCTCAGGTGCTCTTAGTATTACAAATTCAGAGCCTCCGGTCGGCTGTGGCTGGTGGGTTCACGTGTGTGGCTCATTCTCGTTTTCTGCTCTTCTTCGGTCTGCAACCCTCGCTTGGAACATCCATCTATGAATTTTCTTCGTGCTACACGTCGATACTCTGCCATGTCTATGCTGAAATATACAGAATGCTCGCCATTCACCAATGTTGTGGTGAGCGCTATGAGAAAGCTGTAATTCACCCCCCGCTTAATCCCCAAGCTCCCCGCATTGCATGGAGAGCTTCATTTAACCTCTGATATGTAGATACCCAGAGGCATTGGCAGACAAGAGCTTCGATAATACAGGATGCAAGTTGCTATTATTTTCAAATATCAGTTGATTGGCTTCTGCAATGGACTAACACGCTCAATGACAGTGCTGCTCGAAGCTCCTTTCGACAAATCCCGGATACAGAAAAACTCGGTCCTCCTCACTATTGACCTCACTAAGGCCGTAGCCGATGAAGCCATTAAAAACCAAAACTCGGTTATCGTCGCATACCGTAAGACGCATCCAAGCTAGCATACTAGCGATTGGACCCCAAACCTAACACAACACCAACAACACACAGACCCAATCATCTTCCGCGGCCTGAAATCCCTCACCCTCGCCGACTCCCAACAAAGATCCCTCCTCCACCTAGCCCAACATGGCATCAGCGTCTACTCCCCCCACACAGCAGTCGACACCGTCCCCGGCGGCATGGCCGACTGGCTCTGCGACGTAGTAACAGGCAACTTCGAACCTACAGCCACACCTAACGCCAACATCGAAACCAGCCTCTCAAGCCTGTACACCGCCCCAACCTACCCAGACTCACCCATCCCCGCCGTTCGCGGGCCCTCCTCGCGAGCGCTCCCGCACACCATGACCACAATCCACCCATCCCCGCCCGCTACAATCCCAGAAGGCTTCGAGTCAGCCGGTGCCGGCCGTCTGGTGACATTCGCCGAGAAACAGCCCCTCACTGAACTGATCGACAATATCGCGCGTGGAATCGGCCTGCCGGGCGGTATCCCCATCGCCATCCCGCAGGGCCAGTCGGTTGATGCTATCTCCGTCCGCACAGTGGGCATGTGTCCGGGCTCGGGCTCGGGCGTGCTCCTCAAGGGAGGCGAACTCCCTGATCTCCTGCTGACGGGTGAGATGAGCCACCATGAGGCTTTGGCTGTCACGGAACGTGGGTCTGTGGTTATCTCGCTTTCGCATACTAACTCCGAGCGTGGGTATCTGCGTTCAGTGATGCAGCCTAAGTTGCTAGTCGAAGTTAAGAAGCAGTGGGAGGATGCTATCTCAGAATCTATCTGGGCTATTCAAGCTAGTAAAACCTTGGGTGAGGCTCCATCGGCGGCTGCAGTCCAGATTCGGGAGATTTATAGACGGGAGGAAGTTGCGGTTCATGTTAGTGATGCTGATCGTGATCCCTATGGTATTATGATTTTGCGCGGTAACTAGGCGGGCTCTTCTGTTTCGACATCTAACAATACTACAAAACGAAAAGCGCAAAATATAGTCACAATTAGAGACATTACTCAACACACTAGGGCTAGATCTATGCAGTACGAGGGAGTCTGGTAATATGTCAAGAAAGTGGTTGAAATGAGAAGGATATCCTAGTGGTAGACAATGACAGAAACAAAAAAAAAGGTGTCTTGAGGCAAGAGAGAACACAAGACAAGATGAAGGACCCAGGTCAAACATCGAAGAAATGCAGGCTACCGAGGACATGAAAAAGAAAGCGTAGGTCTTTCAGTTAAGCCTTCCGTTCATGGCTTCAACTAGCCCACTATTCACGGATGTAGGGAGATTGTAGTGAGTATCGAGCAACGATAGGTATAGAAATGAAGGAAAGGAAAAAAATGAGACCGGGTAAGAACCAGACGACCGAGCCCCGAATGACCGAATGACAGAAGAAACAGAAAGAAAAATGAGATAAATGGTATCCGCGTGAGTGGCCTTGTCAGGAATGAATCAAGAAAGAAGAGGTCCACGAGATAGTGACTACAGATCAATCAGGCTGCCGCCACCGCGCTGTTGCTGTTGCTGACCTGCCCAGGGGTTGTTATTGGCAGGTTGCTGCTGGAAACCGGTCTGCTGCGGCATGCCTGTGAATTGTTGGCCGAAGAATGGGTTTCCCGTAGGAGCAGCGTGTAGGCGGTCCAAGCCCAGGCCGGCAGAATTGACGAATGTGCCAGGTGTTGTGTGCTGTGCGGGGATTCGAAGGTCTCCGACATTTCCGAAGGTATCCTGGCCTTCGCCTGACCCAAGAAGGGCGTTGAGACGAGCGTGGTGAGGGTTGAGTGGCGACGTACTCTTTGGTGGCTGTGGGGCTTGGAAGCCGGCGATCGGGTTGGGCTGAGAGGGTTGGGCGAACAGCGAACTTTGACCATACTGCGAGTTGTTCTGCGCAAACTGATTGGTTGCACGGTCCTCCGACAAGGAATTGAGTGTTGGCGGGCCTGTTTTTGCATGGTTGTTGAATTGTGTTTGAGTGCGCTGAGCGAATGGGTTGTTTGATCCTGTCGGCATGGGCTTGAGGGCATCAGCGGGCTGCAGTTGCTGAGAGTGGCTGCCGGCCCATGGGTTATTGCTCCCTGCCGTCTGATAGTTCTCCTGGGGCTGTTGTTGTTGTTGCTGCTGCTGCTGCTGCTGCTGCTGCTGCTGCTGGGAGAAGACATCCGCACCGTAAGGGTTATTCGGGTTAAATGCGGTGTGCTGAGGTTGGAGAGTGGCCTGCGGTTGTAAAAGATTGTTCTGTTGCTGGCCGTAAGGGTTCTGATCAAAGGCCGAGGGCTGCGTCTGATAGCCATTGGCGTAAGGGTTATTCATGCCGGTGGGCTGATTCTGGAATCCTGTCGGCTGCGCATACTGGTTGTTCAGGTAGCCAGTTGACAGAGGCTGCTGCGCATTGATCGGGTTGCCGAACCAGTCCACAGCACCTTGCTGTTGGTAGCCCTGGTTGTAGCCGGTTGGCTGGACTTGAGCTGGGGCTGGGGTGTCGTCGAAGAGAGATTGCGCGTTGCTCTCCTCCAATTCGCGCTTTCGGAGGTCCTCCTCTTCCCTGCTGAGCTTGATGGCCTTGGCAAGAGCCTCGTCGTCCTGACCCGCCATTGTCTCCTTAGCCCGTCGCCTGCGCTCATCCTCAGCTTCGGCCTTGCTGGCTTCAATAGCTAAGTGGTATTCGATGTCGGAGTCGTCGTCCCCGTTGCGTCGGCGTCGCTCTCTGCGCGGCGGTTCCACGGGGGAGTTTCCGTATCCTTCGTCGAGTCCGCTCACGCGAGTCTTCCAGAGTTTGCGATCCGATCGTTCACTGCGCAAACGATCTTCATCCAGTACCAGTGCAGTTAATTCCTTTGCTGCCACGCGAACTACATAACACCAATCTGTCAATTTTGCGACATCTCTGGTTTTCAAGGACCAACTTACCGTTTTGGCCAACATCCCTTGCTTCCTCGTCGACGTATGTGAACTCGCGCAAAGTCTTGATAATATAGACGTTTTTCCGGGCCCACGTTACTACCAACTCCGAGCCTTCGTGGAGACAATAGTCCAAGACCTTCAGCGACTTCAGCACGTGGCGCCAGTTCTTGCCCTTATCGTTGAGTCGCTTGTCAAGCATGTCCATGATTTCGTAGAACTCGTTCGGGCTATTATGCAAATGGCATTAGCGACGTTCACACAGTTGGTCGCAGACACAAACTCACCTCCCGAAAGTCATGGCGGCGATCTCGGACATCTCGGTACCCGTAGGGCCCCAGGGGTCATTACTAGTGGCTTGAAAAGTAAGTTAGCGACTTGGTCACAATGTATGCGAAATGCATGGGCGCATTGCAGCAAGCAACCCCCGCAAAAAAGACAGGGGCAAGCGACAACAGCGGTTCTGCAACATGCGGCCAGAACTCGATAATCGGCGAAAAATGCGATGTAAAGAATGTCATACCATTTCGGACCTTGACCTGCACTGAGGAATATCCTTTTGTGACGTTTTTAACGCTTCGTACGACTTTAGACATGGTGGCGGTGATGCGACGGTCGCAAGTTTAAGGTGGATAGAATGGATCGTAATCGGTCGGAAATCGATGCGAGCAGAGTACTAGATTGCCAAGCACACACAGCCTCTTTCTCGTGTCGCGGCCCAAGATGGTTGTTAAGCGTGTTACTCCTCTGAAAGGGACAGGTTGGTCTATCGGTCCAAAGGGGTCAGGGGTTTGAGCTTTGAAGCTAAAAGAAAGATTGGCAAACAATAGTGGATCGTCAACTGATGAAAGATGTAAAGTGAAAGAGAGGAGAGGGGATGGCTCGAACGGGGGGAATCAGAGGGCTTGGCAGTGACGAAGCAGTTTGGACCAAACTTATACTGCCATTGTTTAAGATCTACACTTGGAATTTCAGGCTTGAAGGTTTCTTAGTTCATTTATCATCATAAGAAGCCCTGGAATATAAGAAAAATAAGTTCCAATACCACTTGAACGGTCTAACATGTATAGTGTATGTATAACTACGTCGCCCTCGTGGCCGGAGGTCCGGTCTAATCGCCGTCATCTTACTTTTTCTCCTTTTTCCCCTATATATAGCCCAGAATAAGCAATTATTTATCTGACCTCTACATATTGATCTTGCTTAACATATTCTATCGGATTATGCCAATTTTGGCTCCAAAGCTATGTAGATATAAAAAAAATGGCATGTTTCCCGCCACATGTGGCGGTCTGTAGGCGAGAAACTGGTCAGGCAACAGTCAAGTAGAAATTACAAGATACTATTGGTACAACGGTCATATACATTTTAGTAGTATGTATTGCCCATTGTTGTATATTAAAGTCTCGCACGGAAGAACCGGGCTACGTCATTGCTGTTCTAGAATAGTACAACGCTCCGATAGGTCCACATTGGACCCTGTCATGTGATACATACCCCGGAAGAAACCAAGTCTGTCTGTAAGAGACTCAAGAGAGAAAAATCTGGGGATCTAGGGAGATCTACGGTAATAGAAGAGGCAACATATACCTGGCCAGCACAAGAGACCTTTGTTTACGCGCTTGAGAGGTATGACGTCGCGTTGTAACCATCTGCGAGGACCTCGTCTGGAATCCATGGTATCACTCCCTCATACGGATTTTAAGAAATCTATCGCCCCAAGACGAGAATGGATGCATTCAGGTCTCCCTGTAGATTCCTACATTACATCCAGGAACAGCTTGTACTCTAGTCTAGGAGTTCAACTCGGCTACGCTCATGTATTCCGTGGGACTCGTCAAGTGGCAATGAGAGCCACGACTTCAGGAACGTCCACGAGAAAGCCCGGTTTTTTGTTTGATGCAGACCTACATGGACCTCATAACAATGGTAATGTTATGATCCCTGTGGTAGGTGAAGCAGCATATGCTACGGCACACTCTGCCGACGCTGTCTCGTGGGCTACGGTGAGATGGTGGTCAGAGAGATGGAGAGGAGAGAAGAAGAAGAGAAGAATAGAAATGGGGGGAGGGGCTCTTTTATACACCCAACAAACCGTACCTTCCCTGTCATGTCATTGTCACATGCCCACCTTCTTGTTTACATTGTTTACACAGGAAGGAGCCCTGAAGCCAATGTCGCATTATGTTAATTCCTTATAGTGCAATTGAAGTCCTAGAATGCTATCCTCTAGCTATCCCATCAGACAGAGCACCAGCAATACTCTCAATAAACCCTTTCTTCTGCATCCCATCGACCCATTCACTAGGTATAGTGTCAAACCCATAGAAAGAGCCTGCAAGACCTCCATAAACAGCCCCTGCAGTATCCGAGTCACCACCCAGATTGACAACTGCCAACGCCCCATCCTTCCAAGTATCATACTTGAAGAATGCCCACAGGGCACACTCAATGGTATCAATAACCCATCCACTACTCGTCATATCACGAGGCTCCTTTGATTTCCAGTCGCTGATAGTTCCGTATCTAGATGGCGACAAGCGCTCCTTCAGACCAGCATGAGTAAATGGGAACTCAGAGACCGCTTGATAGAGCTGCTCCTTCGTCTGACCTATACCCAATGTATATCAGCGGGTATTCTTCAAAGAAAACATCACCAAGAAACCAACCATTCATAACCCTACACACCAACTCCGTGTACGCCTCACAGGCCTCCACACACGCGAGCGAAGGATGGGTAATCCGACTATGCGTTCTAGCAATCTCCCTCGCCAGTCCCGAATCCCGCCAGTAAACCAACCCAATCGGGACGATCCTCATCAAGCTCCCGTTCCCAGAGAACTCATCGTGATCCAATTTGCTATTGACCAACGCCTGGGCCACGTCGAGTTCACCTTTGTCTATGCCACGCTTCGACCACAGCTTCAGCGAGGTGCGGGTGGAGCGTCCTACGTCCCATGAGCGGTTGATTGTGCTGAATTGGCCTTTGGTCAGCCATGCGACAAAGTTGTGGATTGCTAGCGTGTGGTTGTATTGCATTTGGGACTTGTTGAATGAGCATGCTAGGGCTAGTGTTAGAGACCCGTCGTCCGAATAGGATCTTGTTTATGTTAGCTACGAGGTATTTCCTGTAGTTAGATGGTATGGCTGGGATGGGAACTGACCCCGCTGGTTGTTTCCAGGATCTTAGGCATGTGATCGGCTCGAATGTTCCTGCGGCTTTGAATTGGACGGGGCCACCGAGGGCGTCGGCTACGCAGACACCCCAGATGGCGCCTTGGGCGCGAGATTTCGATGATAGAGACATGTTGTAATAATGTGATAATGTGATGTTGTGATATTATGATGTTGTTATGTTTTTCTTGCGGGGTGATTTCGTTTCTAAATACTAGCAGGGAAGATCCTTGGAAAGTCAGAGTCATCAGGACGCACTATAGGTAAAACCGTGGCAGAACCTCAATAATAACATGGAAACTTAAATATAAAGCCGTGACTCAATATGAGTCTTGGGAGATGCGTTGTATGGAGTACGGAGCCTCATTCTAGGTGGGCCTGACTCACCTCGGATACGAAGCGGTCTATGTTGTATATTATCTGTAATATTGGGACCTGTGAATTACTATATGCGGTTAGTTTTGCCTCTTTGAGTTTAGCGCCCCAATACGCTGTCACGTGACCTACCTTCAATGCCGCCGACATAAAGACACTGAGGTGGATCTCAAGACATGCTACCAATAACTGGTGTATTTCTCGTTCTGACAAACTCTGTCGGATTAACCGTATCCGTAAATGTATGCGTCCAATCAATGGTTTCAATCAGTCTGTATTTCTGTACTGGCTCAGCTGACAATTTATGGAGCCTGATTACATAAACTAAAACATAAACAATGCATATTCTCAGGATCAATAGATCCTCCGGTATCCTTCGGTATACTTACTGACATGCGTGACCACAGGTCATGTGGGCCCGCCTGAGAGTTCAGTAGGGTTAGCAGCCTGAGGCCACCCGCTAAGAGTTCTTATATGCCTTAAGGGTTTCAGTACCTTACCACTTCCCTCAACTTACCCACTTCTCTCTTACCAGTACCATACTACTTTTTTATTAGTTATATAACCACCAACATTACTTGTTATATAACTACCGCTCTCATGGTAAAGTACGCGATATATGTAAGTATAACCCTATAAGATAATATAAAAAGGCCCTAGAAAAGATGGAAATACGATAGATTGAAGATAAAACTAACAGTTATTTGTATTTAGACTATATACCGATGGTACTGTACCCTGAAATCGAGGGAGGGTATAGATCTCCCTTAACTAAACGATCCTAATATAAGTATACTATTTATCTACTAATAAAATGAATAAAACTAATAGAGAATAGATATAGGGGGAAATCGATCTATTCCTTAGCGAGCGCTTTTATCGTTATACTAACTGCCCGAAAGATATAGGTTTTCTTTAATATTTCCTTTATTTCTTTATTAAAGTACTAGTAAAAAACTAATACTAATTTACCTTATAGACTCCTGCTATATCTACTAATAATCTTAGGAAGTATTATGTAGATAAGTATACTAATATAAAATTAGCGAGTTCAGGTAATTATCTAACTTTATAGGATAAGTATAATACTATTAGTATAGTATTTTTCTACTACTTTTTTACTAGTATTCTAACCTTTAATAGAGTTCTATATTGCGATCTAGGATAAGTATAACGCGAATGTTACTACTATAGTATAAGTAAAGCCTGAGCTTCCTTATAAGGTAGATAGTACTATAAGTTACTTCTAATTTACTAGTTTTAATTATATACTAATATTAGAATAGCTTTACCTTATTAATATATATAAGGTATCTAAGGAGCTTAGTAGTTAGGTTCCTTATAAGCTATATAAGGATATAAATAATCGTTAAGGTAAGATATTATTAAGAAATATATCTTTTTACTACTTATTAACTAGTATTAGGTTATTACTATAAAGCTAATACTAACCGGTATAATAATTTTAAGCTGTTTATAATTAGTACTATAGAGGAGGATAAGGAATAGGATAATAAAGAGGGAGACAAAATAGAAGAGGGAGAGGAAATAGAAGAGTAATACTACTAGCCTTCCTTTCTTTACTAGTAAAGAACTAGTATTTTCCTACTTTAGCTGCTATTAGTAGAGTTCCTGCGAAAGGTTATTATTATACTTATCCTACTTTTTACTAGTATTTCTCTATATAAAAAATAAAAAAAATATAGTATTTACTATAACCCTATAGTAAAAAGTAGTATAAAACTAGTAAATTAAAGATATTAAATATTATTATATATAAAGTAACCCTATTATAACCCTATCTCTAGAGAGTATTTTCCCTTTCCTATAGTACTAACTATCTCTCTTATTATTTAAGATCCTCCCTTAATTTTTTAACCTTTTTCCTCTAATCTTTTAAACTCTTAATACTATTCTTATCCTAACTATTATTACTAGTATTAACTAATATAGTATACCGAAGATTAGATATAATAGGTATACTATTAATAGTTAGTAATTAGTATTATACTAGTAAAGAGTATATATATTATATAACTTATTAAACAACCTTATAAGTTACTTACTCTATAGCTGCGTTTAGCCTTTTTAAATCCTACCTAAGGAATTAAATAATTACCTAAAGAGTTAAACTTATAAAGCTCTTTATCCTTAGGGACTATATTATTATCTAGGACTTAGTAACATTTCTATTATAGAGATTCTAATTATTATTAGTTAGATACTAGTAAATAAGTAGTAAATATATATACCCTCTCGCTATATACTCTTACTAAACTATATCTATATATTATCTATATAATAGGAATATCTAATATCGAAAGCTTTACAGCTATAGTATTACTATATATCGGTTTTATTAAGGATCTTTAACCTAAATAAATATAAGTAAATAGTAGAATACTAGTAAATAATTAATATTTACTTACTTTATAACTATACTAAGGAGTGTATCCTATATACCTATATAATAGGATTTATAGTAGCTTTACTCTACTATATTTATATACTTTCGCGCTTCCTTAAAGAATATAGAGTCTATTAGTAAGTATATATTATAAAGCCTAGCTATAATAATATCGATCTTCTTATACTTAGCCTAACCCTTAAGCTTAGGGTTATATATTATAAATATTAGTAAAATACTAGTTTTTTTAAATAGAAATATATACTAATAATAAGGTTAGCTAACTCCTAATAATTCTATCAACTTTTATAGTCTATTAAGCTAGCTAGTTAACTTCTTCCCTCTATATATAAGAGATCTTCTAGGTCCTAGCTTACTAGTACTAATTTATTAATTATATATATAAAGTATATCTTATAGAAGATAAGAATATTTATAGTATACTATCTCTAACTAAGATCCTGGTTATTAGTTTTCTAGTTAGTTTCCTAGAGTATTTTTCTAAGCCCTAATACTAGTAAATTACTATAATAATAGTAGTAAAAGGTATAATACTTACCTATTATTTATTTTAGGTATATATTAGTAATAATAGACCTTATTCTACTACTATATAGATAGTAGAACTTAATCTTCTTACCTATATAGCGCTTAATAAGATTAAAGATATTTCTAAATATAAAATAATACACTTTTATAATCTCTTAATCTATAAAAACTTAGAATAGTATTATAACTAGAAGATATTAGCTTTAGATACTAATATAATAGTAGTAAAATAAACTTTTTCTATACTTTAGGATAAATATTATAAAGATAACCTTATTAAAAACACCTTTTACTTACTTATATAATATATTAATTTCGAATAAATGTAATAAAGTAAGGATCTTAAGCTATTTATTAAGGGTATAAAATATAAAGGTACCTTTTTTATTATATATAATCTTATATATATAGAGCTAAAGGATAATTAGTATAGTAGTAATAATATACTAGTAAAATATACCTTTATAGCTGGATTTTTCTCTATTTTAAAGTAAATACCTACTAAATATCTACTTATTAGATAGTTAATTACTCTCCTTTTTATAAGGACTATAGAAAATCGCTCTTTATTTATAAAGCTTTAGTATAGTTTAGATAGGGTTTAAGTATTATATCTAGCGGTAAGGTCTTAAACCCTATTACTCCAAAGAAATGCGCCTATAGATACTAATTAATATCTAATAAAATAGTATTATAATACTAGTAAGGTTACTTACTAAGTATAAGATCTAATATTTATCCCTAAGATAAGAGATTCTAAAGCTCTTCTATAAGGTTATATAGTAGCTTACTTAGTAGTAGGGGTAGATAGTTATATATCCCTATAAAGTAAAAGATAGTATATAGATACTTCTCTATATCCTTTAGTATAAATATACGGAATTTAACTATATATTATAGGAATTATCTCTAGATCGTACTGCGTCTACTTAGGTATATAATATCTATAAAACTAGTTAATTAATAATAATATACTAGTAATATAAATTTATACCGTAAAATTAGGCTTATAAGCTAGTTTAGTAGATTATAGTATATACTTCTGTGGTAACTTCCCTCTATTCCTTTTAAAGAAGACTAATCAGAAGCCCTATATCTAGCCTATTCCGCTTTATATATAATATTATAAAGTAATGATTTATATAGTTACTAGCTAAGCTATTAGAATAATAAATAAATAGTAATTCCTCTCCTACTATATTCTAGTTATTAGAGGCTATATATTAGTAAAAATATAGTAAAAAGAATAAGAATAAATTTACTTACCTAGTAGTTAAATTTTCTATAGACTATTTTATAGGTAGTATCTGCTTTTTTATAAGCTTTTCTCTCTAAAAATTTCTATCGAAGAGTATTATAGAAACTAAATAGTTATTAGCTACTAATAAAATATTAGTAAAATAGGTTATATATACTACCGCTTTACGTTAGGGTTACGAATATTAGTATAACTGTCGAGTATCCCTTTTTATAGAGAATATATACCCTATAAGCTCTTTATTAACCTCTATATAGGAGAGGTTACAGAGATAGTTATTAAGATAAATATAGTACTTTATACTAGAATAGTAAGATACTGTCTTTATAACTTAGTAACTAAGGAAGGAGTAGTAAATATCACTTTTTCTACTATTATACCTACTAGTATACTAGACCTAGTAAAATAGTTAATAACTAGTATAATATTAATAATTATATAATAACTTACTAGATTAAGTATATTTTTCTTCTCTTATAAAGAGAGATATCGGAGATTAACCATATATATATAGCCTTTCGGATAAGTATACAGATATTCTAGAAGGAGAGGTATATATTTAATCTCTATAGTAGATATTACGTTATAGGTAGCTTCTATTAGGGGAGTTAGTTTATCTTCTATTCCCTATTTGAAAAATATTAGTAATAAACTAGTAGGAAACTAGTAAATTTCTTTAAAAATATACCTTATATTCGTTACGCTTATATAGGATCCGATTATTAGATATATTATAAAGCTCGATATCTGCCTCTATAGGCTCGTCTAGTTTAGGAATAGGCTCAGCCTTTATAAGCTCTTTAAGCTTATAATAGCGGTATTTCTACCAGGTAGATTGATAATATACTATGGTAACTACTAGTAAACGAATTGGAATAATGGTTTGTAAGTAGTTATATGTGTATATCTAAAGATATATATATTCGATATAGAGTTATTTATCAGTAATTAGGTAGTAAATAACTAGTAAATAACTAGTATATAAGAATGTATCCCTTATAAACATACCATATATTTCATACCAAAACGGGATGATCTAATCAAAGATACCGTACATTTCCAGACCAAACAGCATTTACATAAGCCTAAACTAGGGGTATCGACGTGAGCATTGACCGCCTGACCAACGTGAGGTCTCAGGCGGGCCCACACGACCTGATCTCTCCTGACATGCTCCGACAAACTCTTACTGCCTTAGGCATAAAATCCCAAAAAGGCTTAGTACCACTAAGGTCGCACCCCACAATATTTTAACTGGACCGAACCACTTTCCCTTTCTCTATCATACTTCTATCCTCAGTGATAGATTACCATCTACTTTCTACTTCATCATGGCTGAGCAGCTTGCTGAGCAGATTGCTGCTGATGATCACCACATCTTGTCTGAATTCGAAGACCCAGAACGAAAAGCCCTCATTGCGCGATTTGTTGAGAGTGATCCCACGAGATTGAGTGAGGTACCACTACGTAACTATCTCGCTTTGTGGTTCTCAGATATCCAGGTTCTTCGCGGGTTGGTGTCTCCCCATAATACCAACGAGGCTTTTGAGCGCTTGGGTGTCTTCAAGGCTACCGTGAAGTCAATGAACATCTACGATGTAGCTGGGACTTGTAAGTACCCCCAGAAAACGTGCACCATGACACCAAACTAACCGGAACTGCTTCATATAGGGGCTGGAAAAACACAGGCTAACAAGACTGGCGACAAATCTCACATCAGCTCCGTCTATTCATCTTCTTCCGCTGCTACGCCCGCTTCTCCTCCTCTAGCGACGGTTCGTTCCAACGTGCTCTCAACGCACGGAACCACTGGGAGCTCAACGCCAAGGGTCCCGATATTTCGGCCCCGTGGCTCGGTCTCCCCAGCTGGTACTTTGCCGCAGCGCGAGGCAGACCCTAGGTTTAAAGTATGTTTTTCAAGGAGATCAAAGAGGAAACAAAGCTGATCTCATCGATTTTTAGAGCTTAGAACGGGATAATAAACAATGTGTGTTAACCAAGCGTGGCCAGCCTACCATACAAACAGCACACATTGTACCCAACAAGCTGAATCAAACAACCAACCGTCACCTTACCAAGCAGGATTGTTGGGCGTGGCTTGATGCATTCTGGGGTAAAGACCGTGTTGATCAATGGAAGGCACAGCTGCTGACAGGGGATGTGATCGGAACTGAGCGAGTGTCGAATTTGATCACCCTTGAAATGCAAACCCATGAATATTGGGACCGCGCCTCGATCGCATTCCGTCCTGTGTGGGTTAATGCTACAAATACAGAGATGCATATCGCATTCCACTGGCTTCCGTTTGTCAAAGATGGACCATTGGCAATTCACATCAAGCAGACCGAGCTTGTACCGACCCAGGAGCACATCTTTAGCGACCCATACTATAAACCTCGTATGGGCCCTGGGATGAATAACATGCTTTTCCATACGGAGACACTCAAGCCGATCGTCTCTGGCTATGTTTTCAAGATGTCCACCACCAACGCAAAGGAGCGGCCACTGCCGTCGATGGAACTACTGCAACTGAAGTGGAACTTGTCCCGCATCGCTGCGATGCAGGGGGCTGCCGAGGACGAAGACAGCGATTACGAGTCCGACGGAGGCTCTGTTGCCGTTCCCGCAGGTCCTAGAACGCCAGTTAGAGGACGGCGCATGTCTGATGAGAATAGGCCACCCTTCCGTTCCTCTATCCAATCATTGTCTCCATCAAAGTTGCAGAATCTGTCGTTGGAGGATGACAACACATCCAGCTACCTCGTTGAGTAACGAGTTCCTTTTTCTTGCTGTTGTATCTTTGACGATGCCACGACTCCTGAATAGGGCTGACTTGGTGAGAGGGTTCGGCTTCTTCTGTTCCTTTTAACAATCATACTATTTTTACCATTTTAGACCCGAAATTCATTCAAGGTCTATAGAAGGGCATCTTCATATTATTACGTGTCGAATTGTTTTACACCACAGCTTACCACCCCTAAGCCGATGGCCAATCAGAGAGAACGAACCAAACCATCGAAATAACAATTCGACATTGGTACGCACAACAAACTCTCCAAGCCGACCCAGACGACGAGAAACCGACCAGCAATTAGGCCAAAGCCCTACCATTCTTACAAGCCACGCTTAACTCTTCCGCCAATACCTACCTATCCCTCAAAATCTTCTCTTTCCTCTTCATACAACTTCCTTTATTTAAACAAAACACACTGCAACATGCCTACTAAACGCAAAAACTCACTGGCCGACGACGATACCAGGCCAGTCAGCAAAAGGACGAAGCCGGGCTTAAGGGCTCACGCTAAACAGCTAATGGACCTCATGACTGAAACTGATATGGCTTACACAACCGCGGACGAAGACAAGTATACCCAGGTGATAGAATGGTCGCAGAGAGAAGCCGATAAAAGACTCGACGCCGACGCCGACTATACTGAACGCGCAATATAGAGCCCAGGCGAAGAACCCCCGACTAACTTTGGCAAAGTCCTGACCGCGGCTGAGATGGCAGAAGCACCACTTTGTATCCAAAACGAGATCGACAAAAACGGCGAATGGGTTCCGCCACCACGCGGTGTGAAGCTGAGTGACGAAGGTGTCTATCTGGCCGTCAAAAACATGTCTGCTGTAGAGCGCGGAGAAAGATTCCCAGTCGACTTCGACAAAAATGGACACGTCCGAGCTACATGTATCCCAGAAGACCCTGCACCACTCGGTTGGGCACACGACCTACCTATGATAATGGTGGCACAAGGAATAATCCCACTCGTTGGACAACTGCATGCCAGAAAGCTGGGCAACCTCACCTTGAAAACCGACGCCAATATCAAAAACTCCCCGGCTTTCACGGTCGGCCCAGTGGTCGCATCGAAATCCGTTGTTGAAATGAGCAGATCGATCCAGCGCCAATATGTGACCCACAAGCCCGACCGGGGGTACAAAATGGAGTACAACTTGGATACCGCAGTTGACGTGGTCTCCAATGACCACCAGGACATGGCAATCCTCCTAGGTGACTGTCACACTGGCGCCCAAAGCCGTCTACCTTCCAGCCGACCTTTCAAGTTATAAAACTCTATCACCGCACAGAGAACGTTACATTTGTTCTGAGGGTCGCGTAGGTAGAAGAGTTTAATGTCGCAGTAGCAGACCGAGTCCAGAAGCTCTGTTACGGGTATGTGCTTCGGAAGATCACTCTGAAAAGTGGGATTTTGTTTACACTTGCTCAGAGAGGAGTCGTTAGGTAGGGAGGTATTCTGTGGAAGTAAGATACCGGGTCGGGTCCTAGTAATAGCTGACCTGAGTTGGATGGTAGTAAATTGGACATTTATACTCCTGTGATAAAAAAACCGCGAATATACCCAATGATACCGATAGATCACACAAAAGACATCTATATCTAGAGTATTCTTATCTTTCGTTCGTCTAGAAATTTTGCGCTTAGCCGGGAATTTGCTATTAAGAAACTATGCTCTACTTAGCTCAATCCCCTTTAGAATAGAAAGAGCAACTGTACGCGTTGTATCTGCTTATAAATATCGTTACTAACACTACGGCGGGCGAATAGCTTAAAGTATTGATAAAGGCGGCGCCAGTATTCGTCGTATGATTGAAGTGCTTTCTTTCGCGATGTCTTAAACATCCAGTCAAAAAAGTTCACATAAATCGCTTGGTCTTCCAGCAGAAGATAGTCCACGTAGTTATGGTTCGATTGAATGTAATATCTATTCCGGTATTAGTGCCCAGCCCTAAGGCTTTCATTTCATCAAGATTAAACCCACTTCCGCCAGTACCGTTCGACCACGGCGATTCCTATCAGTGTTCTTGGCTTGAAGTTTGGAGGAAGCCATCCGAGACTGCGGAAATGCTGCAATCTGGCTTACGTTTCCTCGCAAAGGATTGGATCGGTCCAGAACTGGTGATCAACTTGAGCTGGAGGGGCGGATACAGTCGCCATAGGGAGAATTAAGAGACAAAGGTCAAGGTTTCGATTCTATGATAGGAGTCTTGAGAATTAGGTGTATAGAGGTCGATCGAGGCAGCGGAGGTGGGATGGGAAGGTTGTTGAAAGAGCCACCGGGGGGAGGGCAAACGAAGTATCTTATAGCAGCTCGACCAGGCTGGGCAAAAATGAAGGCGGCCTGGATTTGTATGCAGAGGGGAGCCATTTTCGGCGTCTTTTTGGTCGCCAGTAGAAACAGTGGGGGGCTTACAGCTGATCGAATGTTAGAATGGGACCGCTAATTTAGCGTGAAGGAAAATATATTAATCCGTGTTAATCCGCGTTTCGACCATCTATCTGCTCAGAGGGGTCTTAGCGAATGTCGAGATC